TTAACTTAGGTAGCAATTTAAGATAATCTGCATATATATTATTTATTGAGAAATACCGAAAATATCCATAACAATAAGCGCATTGAAAGGTTGTTGCATAGTGTAAGCCTCGATGGCCCTTCGCCCGAATAATTATGCGCATTCTGAGTCGCGGGATTGGCAGTCGCCATCGCATCAGAGCCCTCTTTGTTCGACGGAGCCGTGACTTGGGTCAATTGACGCCGTTTGACACGCATAATTAAGGGACGACGAGTGTCAATTGGGGAGATGGATAACGAGGGAGGTGGCAAAGGGGGTTCCTTCGGGTCGAAGGATTGCGGGTTGGTCGCGACAATGTCAGATGGCCCACCGCATTGCCAAGGATACGGAGGAAAGCGCGAAAATTGCCATATTTCGCCCACACACACTCCCTCCGCTTCTTTTTTCCTTGAAGGGCATTTGCATAATGCTGTCTAGTCACAACAAACGCCACCTCTTGCCCACAAAAAACATAGAAGAGGAGAACCCACTGTCTATGGAGGCATTTAGGGAATGTTTAACTAAACTCTCGTCGCTTTCAGCACTCCGGGTGGCAATTCTATTTCGGCCTGTGAGCTGACGTGCATCCTAATTGGCTCCCTGGCCCGGCCCGTCGTCCCCGCAGGCCAGAGCATGAAGGAGGGTCGCTGGGACAGGAAGCTCTACTCGGGCACCGAGCTCTATGGAAAAACCCTGGCGGTCCTTGGACTGGGACGCATTGGTCGCGAGGTCGCCATTCGCATGAAGACCTGGGGCATGAGGGTACGGATAAGGATTGTGTTTACTTCACGTGATATTCTAATCGAACCTTGAGTGTTTTGCAGATTATCGGATACGATCCCATCACCACGGAGGCGGAGGCCAAGGCGGCGGGCATCGAGAAGATGACGCTCGAGGAGATCTGGCCACTGGCGGATTACATAACCGTGCACACGCCGCTCATTCCGGCAACCAGAAGTGAGTTAAGCTTTTATTGTGAATCGCAAGAACTTTTGATTGATTTATTGATAGGATAATATATTAGGTTTTTAAACTGCTTTAATACTCTTGGCACGTGCTGAGAAACGAGTTCGGTCTTTTGAGCCTCTTCGTTTAAGTTAGTTGTTTTCAATACTTTATCTATTATCTTTAATTCTAGATTAAATAAACAAAAGCAAAATGTTCAGGACCAAGAAAAAAAATAATTTTTTGAAGATATGTTACCTTTTAAATAAATAAAACATTTTAAGCTTGGGATTAAGAGTGCGATTAAGCTTGCACTTAGGTTTATGTGAAAAATGTGTTTATTATCGTTGCATTTATAAAAATCAAAATGGAAATGCACAGAAGACATGTTTACATAGTTTATACTTTTCTGTGATTGTTTTAAAATCCAAGGATGTCTTTCTTTTAAATCTTTGCAGATCTCATATCTTCGGAGACTCTGGCCAAGTGCAAACAGGGCGTAAAAGTGGTGAACGTGGCCCGTGGCGGCATTGTGGATGAACAGGCGGTGCTCGATGGCCTTGAAAGCGGCAAAGTGGCAGGAGCGGCCTTCGATGTTTATCCGGAGGAGCCGCCAAAGTCTGCGGTCACCAAGGCCCTCATCGCTCATCCCAAGGTGGTGGCCACGCCCCATTTGGGGGCCAGTACAGCGGAGGCGCAGGTTCGCGTGGCCGTCGAGGTGGCAGAGCAGTTTATCGCCCTCAATGGAACCTCGCCAAAGTACACCAGTTATGCGGGTGTCATCAACAAAGATGCTCTCGCCCACTATCAGTAAACCAGTCGAATTTTGCAAAGCCCAAGCACATTATAAACTCCCTTGCATAAGTTTACAATAGCCATTGTAAATACAAATAAGAACAAACAATAATAAACACTACAAACTATCTTTCATATCATTGCAATATTTTTATTTAAAAGCAAAGCTAACTGCTTTTTATTTCGAACGGAACAAAAATGTAAATCATATCCTCCTGCTAAACATGTGCTTTTGTTAACAAGATGAATAAGTCGGCATCAAAATACAGAAATCAAAGACTGCATGACATTTATTGGCACTGAAAATAACTGGTGGTCTTCAGTAACTTTTAATTAACAAATATTTTATAGAAAGAAACAAATATTATGTGGCTTTGGAGTAGGTAGGTTTCCATCTCACAGTACCACATAAAAACCTTTGGTAAAACACCGAAAACAGTTCAAGAGAAAGTTTTAGGTTGTGTTTATTTTGCAATTTATTAAAAAGTACAGCTTGCATAAATCCTTCCAACTGAAATGGTTGCAGTTGATTCACTGGGACTTCTATATACCAAAGGTGATATGTTAATACGCTCGAGTTTAAAATTAAAGTCCATTATTATTCTGTATTGGTAGTTGCAGCCTGAGGAATAACAAAATCAACTGAGTTAGGGGATCAAGAAACGGAAGTTATGCTTCTTTATTGCTTTAGTGCTTGTTTTAATTGTTTGCCGAGCAGTTTTGCCAAAAAGTTTCGCCAGTCATGTCGTCGCCTTAAATATTCAGCATCTCAATTTGAATTCCAGGTTTTTTTATAACAAAGAGCTTGAAATTTGCTACACTATGATTGCCCGATGGAAAAGAATTTTTCTGTTCTCAATAGACAGATTTATTATTCGTACAATGTAGTGTATATATAAATTTTGCATACAAATTTTTCAGCAAAATCAATTCCCAAGGGGTTGAAAAAGTTATTCACAAATGTGTTTAAAGGCATTTCTTTTACTTTTTCTTATTGCAAAGAGAAATTCGTGACAAATATGAAACGATTTTATTTTAAAGCGGACATCAAATTCAGTAAAGAAATACGAATTTCGAAATGATTTTAATGTTAAAGCGGACATGGCTTTAATAAATAATTACGCAAATAAATAACTGCGAAATGACATCTTAAGTGAGGTAAATATATTCATTTAAGTCGGCGAATGCAGGACTCATTTCCGCATGTCCTGGCTGCATTTCAGCTGAAAGGAGCCTTCTTCTGTCGATGCATAATTTATTATTCAGAGGAAGCGAAAACGCGCCGGCAATTTTGTATTGTCATATGCAATCCAGCTCGCCAGCTCAAAGGGTAATGTGAATCGTCATGGACCCATTGTCAACCATTTCTGGACAGAATACAAAGGAGTAAGGAGTAACCAGCCATTGCCAACGAGGAACAGGAGTCCCTCGTCGAAAGCTTAAATTAAATTTTCATTTCAATCAGCTTACGTGTCGGCTCAACTCGAATTAAATTGAAAGCTACCATTGAAATTGAACTTGGCCTTTTACAACATTCTAGACCAAATGGATAGCCACGTATTCCAATGAAAGTGTATAAGTGATAAAATATTGTTGATACAGTTGACAACTGAACTTGAACGTTTCACACATAAAACCCTTTGTCAAATTGTATTTCTATTTATGGACATTATATTAGGTGTGATAGAATTTGTCAGTTAAACCTTATTAGCCACATTAGACTGATACGCACTGTGGGCTATTGAGTTTCTTGGAATGTGCATCGGTATTCAGTTGCAAATTACCTTTCACGAAGCAATTGAAAACAAAAGCCCAGACAGGTGCTAAGCAAATGTGAATTTCATTCGTAATAAGTTATGTGATGCCATTTGAGAAGCCCGAGGCAATTTAATTAGAAACTCAAGCGCATGGATATATGTAATTGTACAACGCAATTAATGCTAAGAGGTAAGCAACTTTGAATTGCCACACTTTTCAGTAAAACACCCTGCAAATTTGCGTTTGGATTTTGGTTAAAAGTCCTAAATATACCTCTAGTGGTTAGCCAAATTCGGATTATGTTAAGAAGCTTTAAAATCGCCAATGAAATTTAAATTTCGCTGTCCTTGAACTTGAAATTCTGCATCGCATTTGATAAAGGGTGTCCCTTTTATTGCATTAAGTGTGATGCAAAAGCAAATAATTATTATAAAAATTCAATGACGGATAAACAAACCAAACCAGTTCAACTATTAAATATGTCGATTTAAGTTTTAAAGGCAATCTTTTTGTCAAGTTTCGTTACGTATTTACAAACACGGAACAACAAACAAACCCTTTTCGAATCAAAGGCATCTAAATATAAACAAAATTAAGCTCCTTGATCTATTGGAATGCTCCTGGATCATTAGTTCTAAAAACCCTTAAGCCGGTTACACAATCTGACAAGACAAAAACAAAAGTTTTTACCCATAATTGACTGTCAGACAGAATGTATGGGGAAGTATTATTGCCGTTTGCGAAGCTAAATTGCTTCAATGATGAGAATCAGGAACAGAAAAATAATGTGCTCGACGGCAGGAAAGATAAACCACTTGACGTGACCCGAAAAACTGGGAGTCCGAGGCTGAGATTCAGACAAGTCATCGTTTGGGGTCACTCTAAATTTACAACGAATGATTTTTGGCTGCCAAGGAAGCTGCCAGGAACAAATAAACAAAAGTCCTCGACATCCTGTCCAACTGACCAGCAGCTGGAGGAGGAAAGGCCCCGGGACACTTGTGTCCACTTGTTCCGCTTTTGATCCCCGGGCTCCGATGATTTTGTCATTCATAGACCACTTAATTTTGGCGCGTCCATTCTGCTCCCCCACATCCCCAAAACTACCCAAAACAGCTCCCCTTTTCCCGATCCGGAACCGAAACGAATCCCGCCGAAGGACACGAATCACGAAGGCTATAAAAGCAGGACCACTGGCGAAACGAAACGCAGTTGTTTAAGGACTACGGGCGTGTTAACTTGCCGGAACGGAATACGGAGAATCCGAGCAACAAGTTGAATTTCAAACGGAGTAATACGAACACCTGTTGGGATCAGGTATTAAGGACAAAGGATTTGGTCAAACAAATGACTGTCGGTCGCCAGTGCAGCAGACCATGTGAAAATCCCTGACCATTAAGTGCTCCAAAGTCGGCTTGTCAAATCGTCAGTGCTTGTGTCCCGGTGTCAGTTTCGTGGAAAATAAAACTTTATTGCCGTCGAGAATGCCAGGCTTTTCCGCCTCCACCGCTGCATTCTCCTGCATCTTCGTCCTTCTCAACTGTCAGCGGAGCAATCCCATGGCCTCCGGAGCGGCTGCCTCCACGCGCCGTCTATCGGACACAATAAATATCGGATTCCTCGCGGAATACTCCCAGATGCGGGTAAGTAACCGGATCAGGGGCCGTAAAATATTTCACTTTTCTCATAACATTTTAAACAATTTTACGAGTTTTATTTAAAAGTCATACAGTTCATTGTGTCCCTACTTTTACATTACAGTCGAAAATTAAGGGTTAGTTTGTGATAAAAAATGAACATTAAAATCTTAAAAAAAACTCTTAGAACGAACTTTTTGTTTTAATATAAAAGTCATTTAATTACCCCAATATAAAAATACATTTTTTCAATCATAAAAGTAGAAACATAATTTCTACTTTTTAATAATTTTAAATTAAATCTAAAAACTGCGGATGTCGTGGCAAAATTCACAGTTCGCATTTAAATGATATGTTGAATGTATAATTTCCACGAATTAAAAAAAGATAAACACAAGTTATATTTGGTTCTTCACCCCCTCGGGACTTAAAATTATCAAGAAATTATCGAAAAATAATTGTAAATGCTACCGGTACTAATTGTGTATGTGCATGCATAAAATATCAACCTGTCAAATTTGCAATTCAAATGCCAATCTCATTTTGGAGCACAAGTCAACACATTATGTCCCAAAAATATCACGAAATTTATGGCTCATCGCAGTGATTGAAGGGACTTTTGTGTTGCCCCAATCAAACACATCGTGCGTCCCTTGAGGCATTTGTCGATAATACCCTAACAATGGTGGTTATGTTTAATTGCTGATCGATTTATTGAAGAAATTATCACATATGATAAATCATTAAAATAATAGGTAATTAATATATTACGAACCGATTAAACAAAATCGCAACAGAAAATGTATTTTGATGTTTCAAATATTTTCTTTTTAAGTGAAAAAGAGGTTACATGAAATTAACTACATTTTATAACATGATTAAAAATATGCTATTTAAATCCATTTAAAATATTTATTAAATCTATAAAAAGAAAAACACTTTAGACTACGTATTAAACAATGCAATGTTATTTCAGGTAAGGGTTTCTCATACTTCAAAGTATTTTTTTTTATTTTGCATTGATTTGCTGATGTTTTTTCAAAGAGGATTGACAGCGGTCATCGGACCTGTGCTAGGAAAATAATGGAGATAAATGCATTTTTTTATTTCCTATTGATAGCCTAGTAATCCAATAAAAGCTGTGTCCTTTATTCCGAATTTAATTGGAACCCGGAAAAAAACGAACAATACGTCTAATAGTGTGCGTATGGTTCTCGTTTATCTGACTGACTGCCTAACGAAATAGAAAGCTTAAAAGCAAATCCATCACGAGTCCTTTTGAGCTTCATAAATTGGCTAAAGCCAACGATTCACATCTTTTTTCGTCCCTTCTCATTTTCTTTCGTAAGTAAATGCGGATCATAGAAATATATTCAGTTTTATGTAAGCTGACAAGGGTTCCTCAATGATTTGTTTGTGCGAATAGATAAATAAATATGGACTTTGGTTTCAATTAAATCTGATACTATATTTATTCAAAGCTATTGGTTTTTCTTAACGCAACTTTCTTTCGTAATATTTCGATTGCAAGAGCAGATAAATATAATAAAATCGACAACGGCAACTGATATTTTATTTATTTATCACGCATAGTGGCAATAAGTCAACGTTATAAATTAATAATATGTTCTCCTTTTGTATCCTCGTAAGTTTTATTTATCCCCATAGGGCCATTTTATGCCTGATTTAATTGACTTTAATGAAATTAAAAACGACAAACGCTGTGCTTCTTCAAAAATATTTTTATTTAGTCAAAGTCCCGAAAATCTTTTAAAATTCAATAACTAAATAAAAATGTACTTCAAATATTTACGTTGACGCTCAGGTATTTTCTAAAGCCGCTGTTAAAGAAAAGCAAGGTAAAGCAACTCCTCTTATTTCTTTTTAGAAAGTAAAAGGAAATGCACTTTAATTAAAGGAACTTTAATTAAAACACTACAACTTCTTGTTTCACCTTCATTAGAGCCACCTTTAACTTTTAAACTTAAAGAACACAATATTGTCGCGTGTGCACAAAAAAACTTTTTTGACACAGTTTAAGCAGCGATTACTTCTAAGAAATTCTAAGTCAAGATTTTCTTTTGTTTTCTTCTTTCATTCACGTTGCGGATTCACCCACTTTAAGTTTATATAATTAATTATAATTAAAATTAAAAACAAAAGTAATAATTTTTTAAGTGTATTGAAAGCCTAAGTAAATGTCATAGGTAACCTAGAAATTACTTACTTCAAAATCTGTGTAAATTTAGCTGCCGGAATATTCCGACTTCATATTATCAACTACAGAAGTCAATAATATAGTGTGTTTATTAAGTACTCGTTACTTGGCGCAGTTTAAACAGTAATTAATTTTGATAAGCTGTATCTGTAATCTTTTCTACTGGAATATTCCAAAGCCGATGCTTTAAATTCGAGGAACTATAGCAACCAATACTTCTTCAATTTTGGTGAAGTTAATTTTCCAAAGCCACATTTAAGCAGGGAATATTTAAAAATGGTTTTATGCTCACATGCCTTCTTTAATTGCTTTAATCTGGCAGCTTAAACTTCAACAACTTTTGGAGGTTACTATGACAGCTGCACCCTTAATTTATATACATACTTCCTTGGTAATTTTTTCCCTTATATTAAAAAAGGGCAGGAGAGTAATTTTATTTCGAAACTTTTAACAAAGTCTTGGAAGTACACATTTTCAAAAGACGCAACTACAATGTATTCCGTAATTGGTAATTAGCTTCACTTAATGAGACAGATAACTGATAATGATAGCTAATAAAGGCAACTATAAATACAATATAGGGATGTTACAAGAATGTAGTAATTTTCGTTTTTTTAATGTTTTAGGATTGCTGAAAAGAATTTCTGTTTCAATCGTATCTTAAATAAAATTGTTAAAACTTTTCCGGTCAACTGCAATCTTTACATACTTTTACCATTTGTCATAACAATTCAAACAAAAACATTTAATTACTTTCCAGAGGATAAATATAGACATTTCTTGGGAATGCGTACCTTTCGTCGTTTTAAATTCCCCGAACGAAAATAAAGCAGGTGTAAAATGAGGCTATGGGGAAAAATTAAACTTCCGAGAATAACAATTAAGAGAAGGCAACACAATACATTTTCTGCAAAATGCGATGACTTATGACTTTTAGTGGCATAAATCTCTTGACCATTATTTATTAAGATCAAAATATCATTTAAGCTGCGAGTTTTAATAAAAGCCAATGGCTTTCATGGTATCGGTTTTAATCAGTAGGTATTCATAATTATTTATCTTCTTGCTAAGAAAAATCATGTAGGAATCATTGCCATTTCAAAATGTATAAATAAATTCAGATTTTTACTATAGATCAAATATACATAAATTCATGAAATGATTCTTTTAAATTAGGATTCCATTTTTATACAAATTTTAGGAAGCTTCGTAAGAGAGATTACAATTTTGTGAACTAACGAGTATATACATACATGCAGCCTAAATCCAATCACGCGTTCACTATCATTTCGAAGCCGAGCAGAGCGTTGATTCCTTGGGCGTAGGCCCTTAGTTCGTGGTTCCTGTTCCGAATGTACCGGGCTCCCTGCATCCGGAGGTTGAGCCCCACTGCCGCCACAAAGGAGGCGATGGCCAGGACCATCTGGTAGTTCCAAAACAGAACGGCCACGATGGCGAAGAGCAGGAAGTGGTCCGCCCCGAGGCAGGATTCCTTCCTCAGGCACTCCCACAGGTGCAAGGGGAAGAGCGCGAGTCCCTGGAGCACCTTCATGCACCACGGCAGCAGCATCACGGGACTGCTCCTCTGCCACACGGACAGACCGGAGCTGCGGAGTCTGGAGAGGAATCCCCCGGGGGATCCCTTGGTGCGAAGGTAGATCAGTCCGTACCCGTAGAACAGGGCACCCATGGCAAACACGGAATACAGAGGACTGCAGGCCAAGTCCCTTGGCTTGGCCACCAGGTAAACTCGGGTTACGGATCGCTGGAGCTCCGCGGATTTTTCAACCTGAATTTTAACCTCAAGCATCGACAGCATTAAAGTCATCTGCATCACGCTAAAAATACAAAGGCAGCGGTTCGAACGTATAAAGCTGCGAATACGTTCACGCATTTTATCAGCGACCAAAATAAAAATATGAATTTTTTTGAGGGGCTTAATCCGGACAGGTATCGAAACGGTTCCTTGAACTAAAGCACCACCGCCTGGTGATGATAAAATAAAAGCGGTGAAAACTTCGAACAAAACATTTTTCACACCTACATTTTGCATAATGGCGAATAAACCACAAAGGCATGTAAACTATATTTCAAAATACGTTTTAATAATGTATGGAGTTTGAAAACATATTCACTCATCCCCGTGTCAGCCAAATGGTTTCCCTTTGAAACCCTAATCCATTAAAACAGTTTGTATAATGGTTGTATTTCATTTTTGATAATTATGCCAATCAAAATCAAGACTAAAATTGTGGCCATTGCCCAACAATTTCTATCAAAATTAATTAAACATTTATGGTGTCAAAAATGGGTTTGTCATTTGACAAATTATGCTTGGTTGACTGCAGTTGTGATTTACCAAAGAATAATAATAAAATTGCAAGGTAAATGAAAACATGTTGTAACCCCATTCCATCATAAGAATTACAAGTACACAAAATTTGGTAAAGAGGAAAATGGAGTACTTTGGGCTTGTTTCTTAACAAACAAATGAAAAATGAGTAAAGAGCACCTATTGTTTTTTATAATTAAAATCCACCCAAGAGTAAAGAGCTCCAAGGATTTTCGTACTTGTTGCTATTAAGAGACTTCCGTATATGGATATCAAAATACATACTGAGAATTTTGCGTAGGCAGAAAATGTGGAAGGCACTTATATCAACCATTTTTAAAGGGAAAGTGTGGGAGGAAGCTTTAATTACAGTAGCTGTTGATTAATTACTTTCTGTGCTTGCTAATGGAAATAAGTACTTAACCGATTTCTTGATGAATGAAATGTAATTTGCAAGAAATAAAAACACTTAGGTTAATTCATAAAGTACCTCTTGAAATACATTGATCTTAATAATACACAATCTTAAAACTCATCTCAAAGGAATGTGGTCTTTACTATAATAGGCGTTTGTTTATACACTTACTTCACTTACTTTATTGTTTTTTGTTATATAAAAATAGGAAACTGGCCCCCTAGTTTCACTTCAAAAATTTAAATAACCATTGGCTGTGCACATTTTCATAAGATGAAACTACAATGTATTTCGTAATTGGCAATTAATAACATTAATTGAGATTAATTTCTGATAATGAAGGTTAATGAAGTCGCATTAAACACACAATAGGAATGTTAAAAGAATGTAAATATTTCAAAATGGAACGTTTAATAAAAACGTTTATTTTTATTTGGTCAGTATGAAAATAATATCTCACAAATTTGTAGCAGGTTCGATTTACACGCACAAGAAGCCTTCAACTTATGGACTACAATAATCAATATTACGTTTACTTTTAAAGCTTCCTATAAAAATTCCACCGTGATTTTCAAAATTGTTGACTTAAGTGTCTACAACATTTCCTGCCTACGCAAAATTCGCAATAAGGATTTTGACAACCATACGCGAGTCTGTTTATATAACAAAAAGAGGGAAATCATTCGGTTTTTATTCTCTTGAATTGTTTTTAATAAGAAATTATGAGACCTTTTAGGACCATTTTTTCCTCCTTTGACCTGTTTTTTGCATCTTTTTAAAGATATCATAGTTGTGTTTCGGAAAACGAATTTATTTCAATTACCTTCGACGTTAATTACTCTTGAGATATTTATAATTGCCTCAAACAGCAATCTTGAGTAGCCAATCAATGAAAGGCTATCACAATGCCGAAAACAATTCATTTTGATTCGATTAAAATTTTCAGGCATTCTCCGCAAAGATATTATGCATTTTAATTGACTTAATCACCATAAATAATTATTTAAGTTAAATCATTAGATCGTTTACTGCGTTGGCGGAATGTTTTGGGAAATAAATCTGAATTACAATTATTCTTCCTGGGACAAATCGAATTTTTTTCTGACTTAAAGTTCGCTATCATGAAATTGGTTGTACTTGGTTTAAAATTTGTAAAGCTGCGTTTTTTTCACTAGCAATTTTTTTATTTAAGGAACAGTTCCGATAACTGTCCAGATTAAACCCCTCAAAAAAAATATTTTTTATTTATTTTGGTCGCTGACAAAATGCGTGAACGTATCCGCAGCTTTATACGTTCGAACCGCTGCCTTTGTATTTTCAGCGTGATGCAGATGACTTTAATGCTGTCGATGCTAGAGGTTAAAATTCAGGTCGAAAAATCCGCGGAGCTCCAGCGATCCGTAACCCGAGTTTACCTGGTGGCCAAGCCAAGTGACTTGGCCTGCAGTCCTCTGTACTCCGTGTTTGCCATGGGTGCCCTGTTCTACGGGTACGGCTTGATCTACCTTCGCACCAAGGGATCCCCCGGGGGATTCCTCTGCAGACTCCGCAGCTCCGGTCTGTCCGTGTGGCAGAGGAGCAGTCCCGTGATGCTGCTGCCGTGGTGCATGAAGGTGCTCCAGGGACTCGCGCTCTTCCCCTTGCACCTGTGGGAGTGCCTGAGGAAGGAATCCTGCCTCGGGGCGGACCACTTCCTGCTCTTCGCCACCGTGGCCGTCCTGTTCTGGAACTACCAGATGATCCTGGCCATCGCCTCCTTTGTGGCGGCAGTGAGGCTCAACCTCCGGATGCAGGGAGCCCGGTACATTCGGAACAGGAACCACGAACTAAACGCCTACGCCCAAGGAATCAACGCTCTGCTCGGCTTCGAGATGATAGTGGGAACGCATGAGGGAACATAACAACTAAATTATTATGATTCATTATGATTCCGAGCATCTAAATTATTAAGATTCATTTTGATTCTTGAATGGGAATACCTATCAACTAATTCTCTAAATTGTATATTCAGTCCAAATCTTAAGAATTTGAAATTTTATGTACAGTCTTAACATAAATTGAAGTACAAGTGTTTATTTTATTTTTTCATAACCAATGCATTTTTTAATGAAATTCGAGTTTAGAAAAGTTAATATGGAGAAATCTCCCCTTGAAGCTTATTATAGTTTTATTTTACCTTGCTGCTTGTTTCCTTGACAATTGTTTTTTTTTCAGCAATGAATGTAATTAATGTCCTCTATAAACAACACCTTCTGTGCACAGGTGCAATTAAATAATGTTACTAAAATGAAAACATGAAAAGTTGACTCATAATATTTACCTGCCATTATACAGTGTGAACATAAAATGCTACTATTCTAATTAGTTCTCAAGTGTTCCACAGAATGCCAAGAATTTTCCTTGCATTTTTATTAAAAATTCCTGAGAGATTCCTAAATCAGCCGCCAGCCTCAAGGATGAAGCCATGTGTAAATGTTAGTTGTTTTGAATTGCGTTACTATGTTTTGCTTGGGTCCTTTACCGCTGGAACAACATGCATAAATTAAGTGCATCGCACAATGAAAAGCACTTTCGAGATACTTGTTTTCACCTTAATTATCCACTACCCATCGCAGACCTCTAATTTGCTTACTTTATATCAGGTGACTCTGGGCGGACTACCACTGGCCATCGAGGATGTGAACAAAAACCCAAATCTTTTGCCCGGAAAGAAGTTGGCCTTTAAGCCGGTGGACATTGGCCACAAAATGAGCGCCTACCGCGTGAAGCCTTTAAGGTAAATCACTCAATTATCTCAAAATTAAATAACTTCGGCATTCCCGCCTGGGTAAATTGGCCAATTCTGGTTATTCTGTTTCCAGGGCGATGACTCAAATGCGGGAAACTGGCGTGACAGCATTTATTGGCCCAGACGAGAGCTGCACCACGGAGGCCCTATTGGCTTCCGCCTGGAACACCCCGATGCTCTCCTTTGTGAGTAGCCCATTACTCGAATCTGGGTCACCCAGTCTTCAGTTCAAGAATTGAATACCTGGCTTTCGCATAAGCGAGTCTGTTTTGTCAGAGGTTACGGAGATTGCTTCTGCCGTGGGGATTGTTTCACAATTTATTTTGCCTTCACCATAAAATGTGCTCTAAGCTTTGGTGGCAGAAACAGAAAAGGCCAATATAACAGACTTATTGAGATATAAAGCTTAAAACTTAATTGCTCGGTTGATGTGTACTTTGTTTTCGTTGTACCATTTTTGAAAAGGTGGCATTTGGCTTAACAAAAACAAAGGTGATTAAAAAATATGAAAAGCAAAACATTTGCACAACAATTAATTCAGATATTAAATTAGATCGTTTTCTTAATATCTCGCATGCGAATATAAGGAATTTTAATTGGGGAGCTTAAATTAGAAATCTCTTTAAACCTATTTCTACAATTTCTTAAGGAATTTAAAGCATTACATTCAACAAAAGACTGCCTGTTTTGCCACAGGTTGCTGAGATAACTCAGCCTGAGTAATATGATTCACGATTATTTGCCCGTTGCCGTAATAAGAAAACGCCACAAAATGGCCAATCGACACTTAAAAACTTATGTTCAAGTCAAGCACATATAGACGTCATAAACAGTCTTGAGTCTTTTCAAAGAACTTTAAAACTACACTGCCAAGTTGACATCTATTCTCGTTTACTTTGGCAATTGCTTGTGAAAGTACTATAGACGCATATGAAATCGACAAATAAGAAACACAAAATTAATTTTCAATAAGAAATTGAATTAACTTTTTAAACAATATTTTCTTGTGTCCTCTGCAGAAATGCTCCGATTCAATAGTCTCAAACAAAAGTACTTTTCATACTTTTGCAAGAACTTTGGCTCCAGCCTCCAAGGTAATTTCTATAACTATACACTGTGCTTTGTTTATTAAATTATCTCACATTTTTCAAGGTTTCCAAAAGTGTAATAAGCCTTCTGAACGCCTTTCACTGGAACAAATTCGCCATAGTGGTTAGCTCAAAACCCATTTGGGGTTCAGATGTTGCTCGTGCCATTCAGGTGAGTGTAATGCCCTCATTATCCTTGCTGATTAACAATTATGCGGAATAGGAATTGGCGGAGGCAAGAAATTTTACCATCACCCACTTCAAATACATTTCCGACTACATTCCGACCACCAAAACCCTTTCGCAGATTGATAAAATTATTGAGGAAACTTATTCAACAACTCGAAGTAAGAATTCGTTTAACATGTTTTTAATACACAGTACGTTTTATTGTTAAAATAAAATAGAGTTAACAAGCTTAAATTTGTATAGAAAATATTCATTATTTTATTATTCAAAAATATATGTATAATAGTTGCGTATAAAAAATTGACATTAAACTAAATTGCCTAAAATAAAATACTACTGGCTCCCAGTGCTCTATTTTATTTAATTTTATTTTTGACTTGCACTTTGCAATATTTATCGATATTTTTCTAATGTTATACCCAAACAGTATATGTATTCATTGGGGAGCACATTGCAATGGTGGACTTCGTTCGGGGCCTCCAGAATCGACGGCTTCTCGAGAGCGGGGACTACATCGTGGTTTCCGTGGACGACGAGATCTACGACTCCAACCGGAGGGTTAACATTATGGAACGTAGTAAGTGGATTGTGCGGATCGGCGGCCCGGATCGTGCGGATAGAGTTCTAATGCATGCACCATCTTTTCCAGATTATTTAGATCCTTATATTAGAAAAGAAAAGAGCAAATCACTGGACAAAATCTCATTTCGTTCAGTTATAAAAATAAGCATGACATATCCACAAAACCCCCATATTCGGTAATTTATCTGACTCTTAGTTATCTAACTGTGCGTATTTTTGTTGCGTCTTTCTAACAATCGTTAATTGATCTTTAAGCTGATGTTTTTCCAAGATCACTTGGGCTTTTTCTTTTGGTAAAAGTAGTAGCTATTATCAAGCATGGAGTTAAAGTTTATTAAGGAGATATAAAGATGTCGGATTTCCAAAGAATTCAAACTCAATTTTATGTTTTTAAATTCAAAAGCCAAGTTTGGAAAACATTAGGAACTTCCTGAAAAAATATATTTTTACTTTGGTTTATCCTTAAAATCTTTGAATAAGTTCACGTTAACCATTTGCATGCGAAATAAATCTTTTAAACTATACATTTTAACTCAGTTTATTTATGCTTACAGCGATATTTGTTCAAAAATAAAAGACTATGCTCGAAAAACCCCATTTCTGGTGCCATATCATCAACGCGTGTTCGACAACATATCGGTAGGAAAATGTGAGATTATATAAGTGGTCTTTGTTTTTTTTAATAAATGGTTTCTGTAAATTTTTATATATATTTTCCTTAATCTTTTATTGAAAAGGTTCCCATATATGGTCTACATCTCTACGATAGTGTTATGATATATGTTCGGGCCATCTCAGAAGTTCTAAAACTAGGCGGTGACATATACGATGGGAACTTAGTAATGAGTCACATTTTTAATAGGTCATATCATTCAATACAGGGATTTGATGTGAGTATAATTTAAAACGAATTTGAACCTGGTTGAAATTATATTTTAATTTTATTAAATTAGTTATTGTACTTCTTACAACCTGAAATGTGATTTTTGATTTTTAAAGGTCTATATCGATTCGAATGGCGATGCTGAGGGAAATTACACAGTCATAACTCTGCAAAATGATTTGGGCAGTGGAACCTCATTGGGATCTCTCGCAAAAATGTCCATGCAACCAGTTGGGTTTTTTGCCTACGACAAGAACTCCTTAATACCGGTTAGATCTTTATAGACATATATTTAACTATGCTACATATATAAATCCTATTTTCTTTAGGAATTCCGCTACATAAAAAATGATAGACCTATTCAGTGGTTAAATGGGCGTCCTCCGCTTGCAGAACCTCTGTGTGGTTTTCATGGCGAATTGTGTCCTCGGAAAAAACTTGACTGGCGGTATTTGGTTTCTGGTCCATTAAGTGCCCTCGTCGTTTTGGTGGCCATTGGTCTGCTGATTAAGTATACATAATATACCTTACTCTATCTATTATTTTAATTAATTTAAATTTTTTAGGCACTATCGCTATGAACAAACTCTGGCAGGACTTTTGTGGAAGGTTGATATGAAGGAAGTTACCGTTATTAATATGGGAGAGTACAACAACCCCAGTAATAAGAATATAGTATGTATCCCTTTATAAGAATTAAAAAAAATACTTTTGTGACAAGTTTAGACAACAGATATTATAAATATGAAAATCACTCCTAATTACAGTTTCAAATCTGCCGTCAAAGCATTTTGGTAGTTGGTGAACCCAGCAAAAGGTCCTTCACAAATATAGGTAAGTTAAAATGACTAAATTGGATAATTATAATATTACGTTTTCATTATAGTAAAATATTTTAATTAATATAATATTTTCTTATCGAGCAGCTCTTTTTCGTGGCAGTATTGTGGCCATGAAAAAGATTCACAAGAAAAGCGTGGATATCACCCGATCGATTCGCAAGGAACTAAAACTCATGCGAGAGGTAGATCAAAATAATCTATATCTATGTTATCTTTACTCAAAAGAGTATTTTTAAGGTGCGACATGAAAACATCATTAATTTTATTGGAGCCTCAACCGATCATGGATCAGTGATAATCTTTACTACTTATTGTGCACGAGGAAGTTTGGAGGATGTGTTGGCCAACGATGATTTGCATTTGGACCACATGTTTATCTCCTCATTGGTTTCCGATATCCTAAAAGGAATGATATATCTGCACGACTCGGAAATTATATCTCATGGAAACCTGCGATCCAGCAATTGTCTCATTGACTCCCGTTGGGTTTGCCAAATCTCTGACTTTGGACTCCACGAATTAAAATCTGGACAAGAGGAGCCCAACAAGTAATTTAATTTACTGAATAATTTTTTTTACAAAAGCTATCCCAAATGATTTTATTTTTATAGAGTCAACAAAAGGGAAAATGTTAGAAAATCCTTGCAAAAATATAAACAAGTTTACATCGCAATAATAAATAATTTCTCTATTTTGATGACGTTTGCAGGAGTGAATTGGAAGTGAAACGTGCTATCTGCATGGCGCCGGAGCTTTTAAGGGATGCCTTTCGTCCTGCACGCGGATCCCAGAAGGGGGATGTCTACTCCTTCGGGATTCTCCTCTACGAGATGATTGGCCGCAAAGGTCCTTGGGGGGACACCGCCTACTCAAAAGAGGGTGGGTCCCGTTACTTGGGCAATTAGCAACCAATTACTAAACAATAATTTATTTACTCTGTAGAAATTATTCAGTTTGTCAAGTGCCCAGAGCTGCTGCAGCACGGCGTTTTTCGACCGGCTCTGACGCACACTCATTTGGACATTCCCGACTATATCCGTAAATGTCTGTGTCAATGCTGGGACGAAGATCCGGAGAATAGGCCCGATATCAGACTAGTTCGCATACATCTAAAGGAACTTCAAGCTGGCTTGTGAGTAATATTCGTTTTTGAAAACAATAAAGAATATCAGGAGAATATTATTTTACCAAAATTAATTTTCAAACTAAACATATTTTATTTCGTTTTTTTTACAAGTGCATTTGTAAGAATTTGAAATATTTTCCGGCATTATATTTTAGGATCAAAATGTGTTTAATAATTTAAAATATATTTATTTAATATATACCCATACTCAATTCAATACAGAAAACCCAACATATTTGACAATATGCTCTTGATAATGGAGAAATATGCTTACAACCTTGAAGGTTTAGTTCAAGAACGAACTAATTTACTATACGAAGAGAAAAAGAAAACCGACATGCTTTTATATCAGATGCTGCCTAGGTAAAATGTTAAATTTATTTTAAAACTAATAAAAACATATGAGTTCCTATTTCTTAAAGACCTGTAGCTGAGCTTTTAAAACGAGGAGATCCTGTAGAGGCGGAATGTTTCGATTGTGTGACAATATTATTCAGTGATATTGTGGGATTTACCGAACTCTGCACCACTAGCACTCCATTTGAAGTGGTGGAAATGCTGAACGATTGGTATACCTGCTGCGATTCAATTATATCCAACTACGATGTCTATAAGGTTAGCTTAAGGTACTAACAAAATGTTGTGAAAATGTAATTGGATGGTTTTTCTTCTCAGGTTGAAACAATTGGAGATGCTTATATGGTTGTATCCGGATTGCCATTGAAAAACGGGAATCGCCATGCAGGAGAAATCGCCTCCTTGGCTCTTCATCTCTTGGAAACGGTGGGAAATCTGAAAATACGACACAAGCCCACCGAGACAGTGAAGCTACGCATTGGAGTTCACTCGGGTCCTTGTGCAGCTGGAGTTGTGGGTCAGAAGGTATGGCAAATAATGGATTTATTTACTTAAATAAGTAATGGATGTATTCTTATATATTCTTAGTGCAAAATGTATTATAATCTCCAATAGTTAAGTTAATTTAGATTTTTTTTTGTGTATATTAGATGCCCAGGTATTGTCTTTTCGGGGACACTGTCAACACAGCTTCTAGGATGGAAAGCACTGGCGATTCCATGAAAATCCACATATCCGAGGTCACCTACCAACTGCTGCAGTTATTTGGTGGCTATGTCTGCATCGAAAGAGGAATGACCAGCATTAAGGTAATAAAAACCTAATATTTTGAGAAAATTATATTAAAACCTTAACCTTCAGGGCAAGGGCGACATGAGAACCTATTGGCTGACAAAACGTCAACAATCCGAACTAACTCCGGATCTCATTAGCACAGTGGATGCGTTGGATAGTTATTGCTCCGTGGGAAGGGAAATTATTGATCACTCTGTATACCAATATTGCAACCAAGCTCCGAAGAACTACAAATTGGGATCCTGCAATTGTGACACCAAGTGTTTATATAGCCGGCGATCGGATGATAATGTTGCCCATGGCACCCCGGAATTTCCGAAAATTAGTGAGCCCACGCAGGTCAACTGCAATCAATTATGTGTCTGTCGCTTGAACAGCAGCCAAGTGTTCAACAATCGAAGTCCTCGATCCGCTCCAAGCATAACATTTAGACTATAAGTATTCAATTATATTAAATGTAAGATTCTTCATAGTTACGTTTGAGATGTAGTGATTATTAAACTAGAATTATGCATTGACGTCCAATAATGTTTACATATTGTAGAGAATGCCGCACTTGCTTAAATTCTAATGACCTACCTAAATTTTTATGTAAATATGTTTAGAAATGCTGAAGCTTATATTTACAAACATTTTAAAAATCTGTATTTACAACGTATTTTTTATTTATACAATATTTTAAAAGGAAAATTAAAATATGTCCGTCCAGTTATTAAGATATGTCCACCTTTAATATAAAATTTAGTTTGTCATTACAATTTTTGTGGGTGTGGCAAATAAATAATCTTCCAAATATATTTACTTGTGAAATAAATTCTGCGTTTATTATGTCGACCTTTTGTCTATGTTTACTTTAAATTTTAAGTTTTTTGGAAATTGTTTTTCAAGTTCTGCCAGCATTCGTAGTAAGCTGCATCTAGTTTCTGGCAGGTTTCCTCGCCCCATTTGGTCACAGCCAAACTCAGGGAAGACTCAAACATAAAGGCCTTTGAAGATGGAGGAGTTAGAGTTCGTTAGCGATATAAAAGATTTCTTAGCTTTCAAATTACCTGAGTTCCTTCAGCCACTCGTTCTGGGACCAATTTAGCATTGGAGGCACCCTCAAAACACTTTACATCTGGACCATGAGGGGTCATAATCGAATGGAGAGTTGCCCCTCCAGCAGCAAAGCCATCCTCCTTGGCCTCGTATTTGCCCAGGATCAGGCCCATGAACTCACTCATGCAGTTTCCTAAAGGAATACATTATTCATTTTAAGTAAAAGAAATAATAATATAGCTAAGAAATAAACTTACTATGGTAATAAGGTGGCCGGAAAGTGTGCTCCTGTACAGACCAACGTGGTGGGAAGATCACAAAGTCGGCTATGGCTGTTCCAGCCCTCAAGCTCGGACAGGTGAGTACGGTAAAAATACTCGGATCACAATGATCAAAGCTCACCGAGTTGATCACCATAAACTTGGAAAGATCGTACTTAAAGGGCACGTAGTTTCCATGCCAAGCCACCACATCGAATACAGTATGATTTTGTTTGGCCACAAAGAGGCTTCCTTGGAATTTAGAAATAGCCTGAAAATCTTCGCAAAATAGTTTATTATTATTAAAATTTAATTTTATAATTAATAGTTAGTAATATTTACCTTTAACGTCTTGATCATCGAACCAGGCCACAGGAGTTTCAAAGTCTCTGGGATTGGCCAAGCCATTAGCACCAATGGGACCCAAATCCGGTAAAACGAAGTGGCCATCATAAACTTCCAGGATGTAACCCCTTAACAGAATATAATTAATATAAGCAGGCGATTTTGCTAATTTAAATGAGCAGATATTAAATGAATATTATACTGACCTGGAGGGAGAATTCACATTAATAGCAAACCGAATGCCTTGAGGTATAACGCAAATTTCGTTGGGAGCCACGGTCATTCTTCCAAACTCCGTTTTTATATCCAATATTCCTTGCTGGGGAACTGATTATAAATATAAACATTCATTGAGTATTAAAAATAGTTACTGTATTATAGGAATAATTCTTACCAATCAAGAAATCGCCATCACTATTGTAGAAAGCCGAGTTATCCATGGATATGTCGCAGGAGTAGATGTGTATGGCAAGACCATGACGAGATCTGGGATCTCCGGCACCACAAACCGTATGCAAACCTTCCACAAAGTCTACTGGTTTTCCATCCTTTGGTGGCAGATCAAAGGGTTTCCACCGAAGCTGATCACAAATTAAATCGATAAAATTCTGTTTCATATTGATACTGTAACATAATATTCACCTGATTTGGGTTCGGTGGCTGTTCATCCCAGTTTTGTCTAAAGTACTTGGCCCCCTTGAAGGGTTGGAATGGAAGGTGCACAGCAGAAGGTAACTTCCTGTAGAGCCAGGTTCGCACATTCTCGGTCCTCGGAGCTGTGAAGGCACTTCCCGAAAGCTGTTCCGCATACAACTTATAGGGACAAACCTGAGGTGAGTTCTGTCCAACTGGCAGGGAGTTGGGATACCGCTCATCCTCGGATGAAAAGTGGGACCCAAAGCCAGACAGGTACTAAAAAAATTAAGATACCGGCATTACACATATATGAATTGAGCTTTAGAATAATTTTTAAAAATGTTAAGCTGCCATTAAGTTTTCATTACCTAAACATTAAAATTTTAACATTATTATTCTTTCAAGAACTTCGCTATCTGATAAGTTTTATTCAAGCAAACACTGGATAAAAGATTTTTGACCTAGAAAGCAGATAGCAAATTTTAATAAATAAGAACTTTAGTCTTTATCTAAATAACAACAAACCTTGAACCTAATAAACCGGTACAAGACTATTAAATAATTCCACTTGTTTTTTTATATTCAAAGACAAGAATTTAAGATAAAACCGAGCGTGAACGTAACCCGACCAACTTGGGTCTAAAAAATATTAGGATATTAGGATATCATTACAAAATTATTTTAAAGAAAATTGTTTAAGTATTTATTTCACTTAGTATTTATTTCACTTTTCGTTGTTTAAGTTTCTACTTTTATAGAGCACAAATAAAACCATTTTTTCCTTTACACTATACCACTCTCATATTTTGCAATTTGTTGTCATCGATTTTGCTTGTATCTTCAATATAGTTTGTTGCCATTATAAAACCTTCCATTTGCACTATGCCACTTGTCTCTTTTGCATATTTAACAGTTAAGGATATTTTATAGCTTCAGTAGGTTTGCTGCCATTATAAATCCTTTTAGATACCTCGATTTAATTCACTAAAACACATTTTTGCAGAAGGGTTACCTTATATTGCGACATGTGTGATCCTCTGGCGGTTAAAATTATCACTGAAGTTCGCCGCTGATAGTCGAGCCCATTTATATATGCTCGATCCAGTCAGGCCACTGGTTCTCCACCGGGTGTTTTGAATACTGGCCGGAGAAACTAGTCGCCGAGAAAAGGCCAGTCCCCTAAAATGTGCCGAATGATATGAGAGGTAAACACCTGCCTCCAGTTGTTGATGCGTGCGGATTGTTTTGATTTTGTTACCAACTAAGCGCACCACAGAAAATCTGATTTGCTTAGCATAGCGGTTTTACAGGTTTACATATTCCCCAGATAAAAAAATAAAGAGAGTAGGTACACCAATTGAGATATGAAAAGTATCTCAGTATTCCTAATTATTATTGTTTTTAATTTGTTTACTCCATCCATAGAAATCTGTATAAGAATGCATCCGACAACCAAAACAAGAAAACACCGACCTTTGTAAACTAAGTAACTAGTCGTTTAATTTATTGCGGCAAAGATTCAAAGTTATAGTTAATACGGTAGGCAATACAATACAGTTGATGTGTGCGCTGTCTGTGTTTTAAAATACTTAAAGTACTTTTACGCGGTAGTTAAACCTAAATTAGTACGAGTACATTAAATTAAACGTTCAAGGACATACAGCGCTCTTGAGGTGAGTAAAAGCGGAGATTCACTCGTAGGACTGGCGAAATCTTTACGGATCATGATGATTGTTTCGATTGAGATATGCACGGCATATCTGCGTTGTAGAAATAATCCAAAAGATAGGTTTTAAAATATAATTGATTACAAAAACAGCTGGCAATCAGATTCATATTTCTGATCTATGAACTTTACACTTAGCAAGAAGTAAACTTAAGTAAGGTATAAAATAAAATAAAATAAAATAAAATAAAGTAAGAATAAGGTAAAATATTTCTCCCGAAAGATACTGATTGGGCGATTAAAATGACGGACACTGGTACGTTAATGGATGCTTTACGTATGGGAATAGATACTGTTGGGGAAATACTGCGTCTGCGATTGCGCTGGCAAGGATTCCAGTTCAGACATCCTAGTCGTGCGACAGGTTCAGGATATCATCGCCCATGCTGTTCTTGGGCATCTTGGCCGGTGGCGGTGCAGCCAAGTCAGCCACCGAGGCGAACTCCATGCGCTTCTTGGGCACTCCACCGCTGCCGAGCAGTGATCCTGGTGGCGCGAGCTCTCCGTAGAGGCGACTTAAGTCCGGCGAAGGTCGTCGGTGCGATGAACTGCTGCTCCCGTCGGAGGGCGCCGGCGATGGTGTGTTCGAGGGCACGCTCGAGATGGCCAGGTCCACGGCACTGAAGTTGTACTTGCCGGCGGAGTTCGAGTTGCTGCCCCCGCCGCCACCTCCTCCACTGTTGGCAGACTTGGTGGGCGTCAGTCGTTCCAGAGCCGGCGAAGCCGAGGATTCACGGGTGCGCGCCGATGAGGGCGTCGTCGACTTGGGCGGCTTCATCATCATGGCCGACAGCGATTCCTGCTGGATCTTAAACAGAGCCGATGGCGACATGAACATGTTGTTGGCCGCCAGTGTGGTCTTGGACAGGGGATCGGGTATGCCGTATTTGCCGTGCTGTTGCTGGAAGAAGGCGGCATAGTCCTGCATCTTTTCCTGCGCCAACGCATTGTAGTAGGCAGCTTGGTTGGACAGGGAAGAGGGTGATGACATGCCGGACACCCCAGCGTTGCCCGAGGAGCTGCCCGACTTCATGGCATTCGCTGAGGAGCCAGCGCCCACCACCGCGCCCGAGGGCGTGGCAAACAGGGCGTCCAAATCGGCCGCAGCTTTGTTCTGGCGATACAACAGCGCCTTGATCTCCGAATCCTGTTTCTCCAGTTGCAGCAGCTGGTTCAGCATATCGCTCTGTATGTCCTTCTGCTTCTGCTTCGATCCTCCGCCGCCTGCACCTCCGGCCACGCCCACTCCCGAGGAGAGCAGGGCGGAGAGCTCGTTGTGGGCTCCAGCCATGTGCTTGTTGGAGGACATGGCCGCTGCGAACTGATTGTTGGGATCGAACAACTTGGTGTAGGTCTGCAAGAGGGCCGTGTAGTCCGCCTGGGCAGCCGCCTGCTGCTGTTGCTGCTGCTGCTGCTGCTGCTGTTGCTGATGCTGCAACTGCTGCTGCTGCTTCTTGGATGAACTGCTGTTGGAACCACCACCCGAGGCAGCCTGCGGCGGCGGAGGAATCGAGGCGGCGGCCACAGCTGCCATTTGCTGTTGCAGGAACGCGTTCAAGTCGTTGCTCTGCTTACTCTGCTGCATGTAGGAATCGTAGCCGAGCAGCTTCGATGCCTGGATTAGGTTGTTGTAGTCGGCACTGAGAGCAGCCGCTGCTGCGGCCGCTGGCGAAGATTTCGACGACTTGCCGGATGAAGAGTTCGAGGGTTGACCGCCAGTCAAAGCATTACCGGCGGGCACTCCTAATCCTGCTCCCGTCAAATAGCTGTAGTCCGATCCAAAGCCGAGGGTTCCCAATGTAGTGGCTCCCAGGGCTTCGGCCTGCTGGAGGAGCAGTGCTGCGTATTCCGGCGAACGGATGAGCTCGCTCATCTTGAGCGGATCGTTTTTCAGTTCGTCCAGCTCCTTCATCAGCTTCGTTTTATACGAATTGGAGGTTGAGCTGGAGTTCGAGGAGGAAGAAGAGGACGAGGACTTCGACGACCGTTCCGACTTGGACTTGCCGCTGCTGTGCGTATTGCTGTTGCCACCACCACCACCTCCTCCTCCGATTCCCACTCCCGTGGGCAGCGGCAAGTTGAAGCTGTTCGAGTAGGCAGCCACGGCTGCCGCCACATTGGGATCAGTCAGGCCGGCGGCAGCAGTGGCGTTGCCCTGCTTGGAGCCACCCACCTTGGCTGCCGCCGCCGCCAGCTGATTGAGCGAGGAGCTGCCGTAGTCCTTGCGCTGCTGCTGGAAGAGTGCAGCCAGATCGCCTTGAAGGAAGTTCGGAGGAAGTTGCCCGGCCAGTTGGGCCAAACTGGCGGCCATCAGATCGTTGGCCGTGGGCAGACAAGCGGCCGCTGGAGGCACCAGAGCAGCTGCAGCCGCCTCGTACTTGTTGGGCGTGATGCTGGGACTGTTCCGGGCAATGTCGCTCACGCTGAACTTTCCCGGACTGGGAGCCGGTGAGTTGCGGGTGCGGGAGGTGGAGGCATGCGACGAGGTGTCTGATTTGGCCGGCGATGGCGACGCCCTCACCGGAACCTCGAACTTGGCCGGACTGGCGGAGTTCGACTGGATGGTGATGGGGCTGTCCCTGGGCGAGGCACTCAATGCGGAGGACAGCGCCGAAGTCGTCGCAACTGGTGGGATGGCTGGAGGTGCCGTTGCCGCGGGCATCTGCGGTGGAAGCAACTGGGTGGCGGCTGCCGGCAAGGTTGGAGGCACCAAATTGGGCAGCACCGACGGATGACTCGTGGGATTGGGTGTGGCCAGCGGGGAAAGCATTCGCACCGGGTTCATATTTAGTCCGGAGGGCATGCAGAGCTGCTCCTGCAGCGACATCACCTTCACTTCGCTGGCCTTCTGCTCCGCCTGCGCGTTGGCCTCCTCCTCTGTCTTGCGTGCACTCTCCTCCAATGCGGTTATTGACTCACTGAACAGTTCCTCCTTGGGTGCCGTGATTTTCACATCGTTGCTAAGATCCATCAGAGCAACTGGCTTGTCCTCCTCCTTCACCTCCAGTTCGTCGTTGTCGATGATCTTGATGGTCTTGGGTGGAATGAAGTCGTCTTCCTGCTCGCAATCGAGCACTGCGCATATCCAGTTCCACAGCGCCTTGTCGCTCTGCTTGGAGGGGAACTTCGGGTAGAGCGTGTTCTTCAGCTTCTCGTTGTAGGTCACGTCGTTGTTGTAAATGTTCCGGAACTTGACCACCTCTCCCCGGTACTGCGAGTAGTAGTCCACGCACAGCTGGATCTCGGAGCGCACCTCCTCGGGAATCTCCTTGTCCGGCAGCACCGAGTACTGCATCAGCATTGGCCTTCCGTACTCCATTGATTGCTTGTTCTCGTTGGGCGGCACAATCCAAATGCACTTGACCACCGACTCCAGCGTGGGATTCTCATCATAATAAGGAGCTGCAAAAAAATAAATCGTTTCAGTTTAAGTTGCGAAATTTTATTAAAAAACTTTCTTTACCCTTTCGCAATTTTACACAATTATTTATTTCTCTAGAGTAAAATTTTAAATTGTCGTATTTAAATTATCAATCTCAAAAAATTTAATTTAGAAATTCATTTTTGGATTATAACATTTTTAAACCTGGCAAACTACAGCATATATTAACAATCTCAGTTGCTATTTGTAAAAATAGATTGTGTTTATTGGGACAAAAAAGGACTTATTTATCTCCAACTCGTTTGAAATCAAAAACAACCAACTAAATAATACTTACATATGATAAGGGAGACACATGGCGTATAGGTGAGATCGCTAGCACCGCGCATTCGAATCTGATAGTCCAACTGCGAGTCGCAGTCCCGCAGTGTGGGTTCCGCCTGGAACTTGGGATGCGAGTGATACCAGCCAACCAAGAGCAGTTGGTCCTGGATCATCATCTTCTGGATGTCGCGCTCCACTTCGCCGGCTCGCTGTCGATCGAAGCGTGTGTTACGGCAAGGATATGTCTTGGTGATGGACAGAGCTGAAATGAGCAGAGATGTAGAGAATTCTTGGGCAGAGGAAGTCGCAAACAGAGCCGGACTCACTGTGTGTGTTCATGTCCCAGGTGCCCCCCAAATAGCCGCACACCTCGCGCACCGTCAAATGGCAATGGAAGTCCGCCAGCAGAAGCGCGGAGGAGTTAACTGTGATGAGAAAGGGCTGCAGCTTGCCCACCGATGTAAACGGCACCGATTCAATGAGCATATTGGCGTCGCTGTGGGTTAGAATGCATTAAGAAATAATCTGTTAATAATACTTAATAACTCAACTATTAAACTACTATTACTCTATACAAGTTTTTATTCCACAAACGCATTCCTTACACTACTTGGGCAAATTGTGACAAATGGTATGACAAAGTTGATTGAAGTATGACAAAACCAAAGACCTTTCTATAATACGTCTCAAAAACCACCCTCCCTTTTAATTTCCCTTGCACTTGGTTTACTTACTGAACAACATTGCGATTCGCTACGGTGTTGTGTGCGAAAACAGTTCGTTTAACGACAATCTCCGGTGAGTCCGACTTCCTTTCGGTATCTGCGGATTCAATGGAATTAGCAAGGATTACAAAATTGGATTGTTCTTTACATACCCAGGTCACAATCATCGAGCGGCGTTTCCTTCTGCAGGGCGCACTTGCGCAGATAGGTGTTCTTGTACGCGTCCAGTTTTTTGCCCTTGTACTTCACCGAGGCCCAGCCGCAGCCGCTCTTCTTCTCCGGATTGATGATCCGTTTGCAGTGCATGGCCCAAGCGCTGGGTGTCAGGAATATGGTCTCAGTCTCATGGGATTTGATCTTGCCATCGGCCAGCAGGTCTCCGACAAACTTCTGGCCCAAATACTCAATGGTCATGAGCCCCAGTCCCGGTTGCAGGACATTGGCAGCCATCAGTGTTTGCAGGGTGACGGTGCGTCCGGTTCCATTGAAGCCCTCGTAGTTCTCCTTGGTCTTGGGGAATAAACAGGGATTATTGGGATGCCATACACTAGTAGAGTCTCAGCATGCTCACCTCATCATCGTTGTCTTCGTCGGCAGCATCGCTATCCCCATCCTTGTCGCACAGGTTGTCCTCCAGGATGGCGGCAGGTGCTCCTCCTTCTGCAGGTGGTACGCCGGATTCGGGAGTGGCGTCCATAGCTTCCGTTGTTGCCAGTGGACCCTCTCCCTCCCCCGTTCCCTCTCCAGCACAATCACTATTTGTTATTTGCGGCGGCGGCGGCTGCAGCACCTCCCTCTCCACTTCCCCCTCACCATCACAGTCGCCCTCGCCGTCCGAGCTGCTCACCACCTGGTTCTCGCCCGCCTCGTCCACACCGTGTTCCACTCCGTTCTCCATGCGTTCAAGTCGCGATTTTTGTGCAGTTCCACAGATTTATTACTTTCAAGATACTTAAGTTTTGCGACAAAAAAAACTGATGGATGCAGTAAGGTCGCGGCTTTTTCTACGCAGAATGCCTAAACGTTTGGCGAAATGCGGCCGGAAAATAAGGCGTTTAAAAATCCCCAACCAGTGGTCACACTTTTTTGGTGAAAGTGGAGGGTGTCCTAGCTGAGTAGGATTGATGTACTCGCTAGGTTAGTTGGGTGTGTTTCTACGATAAGAACGATACGAATTTGCTTGGTTGAGAGCGTGACACGACCAACATATGTTTTGCAGGGTGTAAGAACAAGATTTCTCTGGTGATGCCAATCAAAATATTTAACCGTCTGGCAACTCTAAGTCCGGCATTTACGGAAAAAGGCGCGCATTAAATTGTTTTGTTAAATTGTTGTTAAATTATTGCATGCTAAGATATAATGGCGCTTTGGGTGGATAAATATCGACCGCGGGAACTGTCCAAGCTTGATTTCCACAAGGTTAATACGCGGAGCAGTTCCTTATTTGCTTGTTCAAATTGATAACTTTAATGGATAATTTTTCTTATAAACTTTTTTGTTTACAAAAACAGGAACAAGCTGAGAACCTCCGGAATCTCTGTAAACAAAGCGATTTTCCGCATCTCATGTTTTACGGCCCCTCGGGGGCTGGAAAGAAAACCCGAATTATGTGCCTCCTACGCGAGATGTACGGCTCCGGCGTGGAGCGCCTGAGGAGCGAGACCATGACTTTTACCACGCCATCCAATCGGAAAATCGAGGTGATGACCGTAAGCAGCAATTACCACCTAGAAGTGAATCCCTCGGATGCTGGCATGTACGACCGGACGGTGGTGATCGATCTCATCAAGCAGGTGGCTCAGACGCACCAGATAGAGATTAGTGGCCAGCGGGAGTTCAAGGTGATCGTAATTTCCGAGGGAGACGAACTTACAAAAGATGCCCAGCATGCCTTACGTCGCACCATGGAGAAGTACGTGGCCACCTGCCGTATAATCATCTCCGTCAATTCCACATCGCGTATCATTCCGGCCATTCGATCACGTTGCCTGGGCATTCGGGTCGCTGCTCCGAACGAAACGGAGATCGTGTCCATCCTGCAGAGCACCTGCAAACGGGAGGGACTCACCCTGCCCGTGGAACTGGCCAAGCGAGTGGTAGACAAGTCGGAGCGTAACCTGCGACGGGCACTACTAATGTTGGAGGCCGCCAAGGTAGCAAAAGCGCCGTTCACCGCCAACCAGGAGATTCCTGACCTCGATTGGCAGGTGTTTCTGCGAGAGACAGCATCGCAGATTATCAGCGAGCAAACGCCCAAACAGCTTGAGAAGATCCGGGAACGCCTGTACGAGTTGCTCACCCAGGGTGTACCGCCCAATCTGATATTCCGCGGCTTGGTCGAGCAGCTGGTGAACAACTGTGATATGTCCATCAAGGCGAAGACGCTCGAGTTTGCCACCGAGTATGAGCATCGGATGCAGTCGGGTGCCAAGCATATCTTCCACCTAGAAGCGTTCGTCGCTCAGTTCATGAACATCTACAAAAAGTTACTTTCTGAAATGGACATGACCGATGATTTTTAAGCAGATTAAGATTTACACACAATCATTTAATTCAATAAACTTATTAAATAAACTGAAGAAAACAAACTAATATCGTAGTTGCTGCTGTCTTTCCTCTCGACTTTGCAGAATGGCCAAACTCATCTTGTCTTCTGTAATGCGTTTTACGGTCTGAATGTACCTGTGGACCTCCTCCTCCAGTTTAACATGCGCCTGTAATGACATTTAAAATGGAGTTGATAATACATTAACAAATCATGTTAATTCTAATTTAATTTTTCATCATTTTGGCAAAGTCTGAATTTTGCTTTTTTAAATACTAAGCGAATTATAATTTTTCATTGAAAATAATCAAATACAAAAATTGATTCCCTGAAAATAAAACCAATTAAAAAGCTTTTAAAGGTTCAAATGCCATCATTATAAACTAACTGAAAAACTATTTTGAAATCTTTATCTTGAAAATGTCTTACCATTTCATATTCAAAATCCTCCTGGCCATTTATCTTCAGTGCGTGCAGCAGTAGATCAATTGTGTTTATGGGGAAGGAAAGCTGGGGATTTGTTACGTTCACAGAGTGTTTGAAGTCGAAGTACTCGCTGCCTGCACCCAGCATGCCGGCGATCATTTCACAGGCCAAATCGGCAGCTTCCAGCAGACGGTTGCGCTTCACAAACAACTGGAGAAGTTCTCGGGAATCAGACAACTTATACGAGTCCACCAGCCACTGGGGCAAAAATGCATTCAAGGCCAGGAGTCTTTGCACAACGCTCTTTCTAATCAAAGTGGAGTCCTTTGCCTCGTTATCCAGCACCAGTTTTTGAAGCAAAGTCCAGGCCATGTCGGCGGCATTACTTCGATGAGGTAAATCTGGAGTAACGAATATCATAGTAATTGATTTGACACTTTAATTTAGCGATAATCCCCACCTGCCATGTCGTTGTTTTGTAGCCAATTCCAGGCATCCACGCCCTTGTCCTCGGTGGCAGTGACACAAGCCGTTGTCAGACTCTCGAATATGGGCAAAACGGAGAACGAATATCCCCGGGAAAGTTTCAAGGCGGCAGTGTACAATCCACAGCTGGCCAGGAGGTAAGACAACTCCTCTGGCGTCGACCGCTCATAGGCAGCCACGTCTTTGCGGTAGTGTGAGAGCTCCTTTAAAGCTTCAGCATGCACCAGTTCTCTACGGATATCGGCCAATTCGAGGACAACCACCTCCTGACCGTTTTCATCGCTCTTCGGTTCACCATCGTCGTTATCCTGATCAATGGAGGCCACTCTCTCGTCACCAATTGTCGGCTTTGCAATCCACCTGTAGCGACTATCCACCAAATGCAAACAGTTCAGGCAAATCAATAGTGAAGAGCAACGCTTTTCCAGTGCATTGGGTGCGTCGCTGTCCACTTGAAAACGCATGGCCTGCTCGTACATAACCGTAGCAGCTATAAAAATAATAATTATTCCAGATCAGTTTGAATATAAGTCATTTGCAATACTAACCTTTCCTCATGTTACCCTTGTTCGTATGGAACGCATATAAAAAGTTGTACACGTCGTTTTGATCGATGCTCATCGACCTGGCCCGCGATTCCACAATGCTCTCGAATTCGTCCTGCAGTCCTATGTAAGGAAATCGCATCAGCAGGGGCAGACTTTTGTTTTGGAACAACGTTATGACCAACTGGCGAAGGCAATCCTTTCGCCTTGAAGTGTCGGCATTGTAGACTAAGGCGTAGTAAGCCTCCTCGTAGTGTCCCAACTGAAGGTGATTGTTGAAGACAATCGATTGGAACATGGGCAGCTGAGGGTCATCACGCTGCAGCTCATTCATTGCCATGTGAGCCAGTTGGATGACATAGTCCAGTGCAGAATGCTGCTCAAAGAGCTGAATAACCTTCAGATAATAGTGAACCATAGCCAGTTTTGCGTCTTCAGTCGAAACTGCTTCGCCACGACTGACGGATTCATGTAGTTTGCTGTAGAGCGGAGTGTTTTTGAGTACTTGCTCGAAGAGGAAGTCATCTTCCACAACGCCAGGCGCAGTTTGGTGGAACAAATACACTGCCTTGTGGGCCTCTCCGCAATCTAATAGGGATACTGCTAGCATAAAACGTCCTAAGAAAATTTAAAAAAGCAAAAATTACAAACTTAGAAAAGAGAAGTTAATAGATATTCTTACTAGCGTGAACTTTGACGGTACACCAGCTGGACAAAAGACGCACATAGTCCTGCACAATGATGTGGTGGCAAGTGCCGAATAACCATTCGGGAAACACGTAAATCGGAGAATCAGGCCAGCTAAAAATATAAGTAAAGTAAACACATCTCTACAGAATTATATGCTTTCTTTACGTACAGCATCTTGTTAATGTACCCCACTAGTTGAAGCAACGTCTGGCGAAGATTTAATTGCTCTGACTCCAACTGCATACTATCACTCCTTAGCAGCATGGACAGAGCACTAAATAAGCCCTTGGATTGCAGAAAGAGCCTGAGCAGCGTGGTCTGATCATTTCCATTGTTCCGCAAATGGCTTGCATACGGACGGGTATATCCGCTGAACAGTTGAGCCCGGCTTAACCGCTGGATAGAAGCTTCACTAAAGGAAGTCAAAAAATGAGAAAAATACCTCATCAATTTAAATAAATATAGTTACAATCCAGCAGGCGTATTTGATGAAATGGGCATCTCGGCAATCCAAACCAGAGTATAATACGAGTTCAGATAATTAATGTTTGTTAAAACGTTAGCGGTGCCCATTTTATCTGGGCCATTTACCATGTATTGCAATACCAAAAGGTTGCGACAAACGGAAAATCTGAAAAGAATGAGAAGTTATTACGAGTATTAAACTTATTTAGGTAGGATTTTATAAGTCAAACTAACCGTATCATAGCCATTTGCTTAACCGTTTCTGACAATATTGAAAGTCCATATTCGCTGCCCAATAGTGCTCCAGAGGGCTGCAAAAAGCGTGTAGAAAGGGAGTAATCTGCGGATAGAAATACAAAATATATATAAACATTGTTATAGAAACTCAAATCTATAGGTTTTATACCATGTGGTGGTGCATCTGGATCAATCATGCACAGCACATCGAGCAGCATTTCTAGGGAAGGTGTAAGGTTTGGAATTTCTTGAAGCTTTTGTTGAATTTGCTTCAAACTGTTTGACGGCAGCAGTGGACCGTCTTCGTCGCCCACAGTAATTCGAGAGACCAGCTTGCCGATCACCGTAATTGGCGATTCTCGCTGGTAGAGCTGCTTATCAAAATCGATCTTAAGTTCCTCCGAAATCAGCTTATCCAGAAGGGTCACCACATTCATAAGGTCCACAAAGCCCTTGGCCATTTCGGGATCATTGCGAAAGAGTGGAGCCACGTAAGTGGCCACCTCCTCATTGTGTTCCCCAATGAGTAATAGGTGCTCCAGCACTTCACAGGGTCGCAGCAGTGCAAAGGATTGTCGCCTGACCAAGCACACTGCGTCCATGCCGCCGAGAACCGCAAGTCCAGTTGGCTCAGAGAACTTAATGTGATACTGTTCGCAGCAGGAGTAAAAACGGTCCCAAAGTCGCATTGAAATTTCCAAGTACTCATCATCGGTGACCACAAAGTCCTTTAGTTCGTTCTGAATTTCATCCTCGACGGCCTGGCAAACTTGCTCCTTAAGCACCGACATGGATAGCTGCTTCACATCAAATTGCAAGTTTACTCGACGGAACATCTATAAAAAGTTATATATAAAATAAGTTTCAACCAGAAATGTAAAAATTTTCCAATTCGATTTTCTCACATATAGAGCCTTGGCAATCACATTCCGGTCAAACCGACCAGGATGAAATATGTATGAGCAGTAAGACTCTCGCGGATCCACTCCCTGCTCCATTGTTAGGCAATACCGATCCGGTGGAGGTTCCAGAGCAGCGGAAACCCATTTTATGGCGTTATTCGAAGCAAAGTAAATGGCAGAGACATTAAAATCTCCCGCTGGGTTGCTCCACAGAGCCCAAATGTGCGAGGATGTGGCATCGAAGTCAATCAAATCCATTTGGGGTGCCGGCACCGAGTTCTGCGTTAAGCTGATACCACTGTTCTCGTTCGAATCTGCCACGATGCTCACACAAATGAACTCCGATCGACGGTCGTTGGAGATGAATAAACAAAAGTTCTGATCGCTGATTTTGCGAAGCTGGTTGTTTTGGGCTGCATAACAAAATCAAAGGGAAGAGCAAGGTATTTTACATTAACATCATGTCATTTAAAATATTTCAATTAACAGAATGCTCGCTTTGTGTATATTGTACTCACGTCCTTGAGCGCCTGAGCCACCATGCCCTGATTCACCTAAGCAGTTAATGCTTGCTACGGTCTGCAGACTATCCACCGACCACAATCGCAGCTCATTATTGCGGTAAAGAACCAGGATAAATATATTCTCCTCTATTTCGCTGAATGCCATGGATGTGGCTGCCTCCTGTGTTTCAGAGCGGCCACTTAAAGGATGAGAAATTGTAAATCGTTTGTATTTTTAGCTGAATTCAAATATGTACTCACGTTAGGGCACCCTTGAGATTCGAAAGGAAACGAGGCATCAGATGCGCTTCCTTGACTTCATGGGTGACCGTGTTGCCAGTGACACAGTTCATGATGTGGAGCAGTAGCTTGCTCTGATAGGCCACCGCAAAGTACGCCACTTGGGAGTTTTGCGAGAGGTAAGATACCGCCACAGTGGGCATTGTTCCAAATCCATCCGTCACAAAGAACGTGCTCGGATCGTTTATCTTCTCGTTGACGTCGTAGAAAATCGACTGGGACAACAAATCCTCAGGTGAAGCAGTTGATTCATCCTGTCCGACTATCTTTAGGGGGAAAACATAGCGATGCACACTGCTTACGGTGACAACTAGCAGGGTGATGGCCTTGGCTTGCTCCGTAAGCGACACATTAAGCACGGCAGAGTCGGTGAAGCGCATGCGTAGGTGATTTCTCTGCAGGGAGATGTCCAAGCTGACTTCGGAGAGTTCCAGCACATCTTGGTAGGCGCGCCTGCGGTTAAGCATTCCGGTGAAATTAAGTTTGCTCCTTTCAAATAAAACTTACCAGTATATAAAGCGATTCCTGGTCTGTACGTTTTTCCTGCTCTTGTAGCAGTAGCCCCCAGAGGTTTCAAATGTCTTTAGATCTTGCAGAGTGCTCTGGGTTCCTATTTCGCGAACAGAAACGATGGGTCATATGAAAGTTTTCAATGATCTTGGAAGCAACTCACCCGTGTGTATCTTAACCTCGATCCACTCAGCCGGACTGAGGTTCTTCGGGATAACCTCCCTGTAGCTCATGTTGGCATGCAGTTTGGATGTCGGCATTTTGCAAATACAATAAAGTAAAACAAAAATTCAAGGAAAACAGAAATTATTGGCGGCACCGGCGTAAACACGCTCAGTTGGAGTGTTGGAAAACGATGAAAGCTGAAGCACATCCTACAAAATCGTCGCATTTATTTTCATCGAGCCCAGCCCTGGTTTTCTGTAAGCCACGATAATATCGAATATACTTCAATAATTGGCACATCCCTATTGCACATGTGTTTTTGTTGATTGCGGCTTTATTTCTTTATTATTTTATAAATTAAAATCTATTTCCTGAATAAAAATGACTACCCAGGAAGATGAGACCATAGTATGTTTGCCCGGAGAGCGCCTTTGCCGGACGGAGGACAACATAGTCTTGGGCATAGGCACCTACGAGCAAAATGGCTATATATACGCCTCCAAGTCAGGAATCGTGAACATCGAAGAGTCGGGCGAAAATGTGAGTTAGCTGGGCAATAAATTAATCATTGTGATTACTATATATATCCCTTGCAGTGCCAAGTGGTCAGTGTCCACAAACCGGGCTTCCATCTGACCATCCCAGCCACTGGAGATGTGGTCACAGCTAGAGTACTTGTCACAACTCCAAAATTCGTCAAGTGTGCAATTTTCTGTGTGCGAAATGTTCTTCTGGAGAGTAGCTATCGTGGACTCCTGCGCAAGGAGGATGTTAGAGAGACGGAGAAGGATCGTGTGGACATCTACAAGTCCTTCAAGCCAGGCGATGTGATCCTGGCCAGAGTTATCAACCAGCTGGATCAATCATTCCTTCTGACCACCGCTGAAAACGAACTCGGCGTAGTCATTGCCTACGCCAGCGATGCTCGAAAGAACCGGGTGCCCATGGTTCCGGTTGGTTGGAGTGAAATGCAGTGCCCCCAGACCACGATCAAGGAGCCACGCAAAGTGGCCAAGGTCCTGCCAGAGAGTTCAATAAACGCAGTGAAATAAGCTTAACCAAATGGTAATCATTCCACTCAAGACTTAAACTCAATTGGGGAACTATAAAAGTAATTAATTAATAGCTAATTATTTAATTACTGAGCAACGGAATCTCCATAGAAACTTGTTGGAAAATTAAAGAGTTGCCATTTTCACAAAAAAAGTTCATATGAATAATATATTACTTCATTAGGAAGTTTAATGCATTAAGAACTAAATGGCTCTGCAGAAACCCTTAAAGTGACTTAAAATGTTCTGTATAGTGAGTAGAATTTCTGGTTTCCATAGTTATGCGTCTATGCTTTTTACTAAACTTTGATTAGTTTTGGTTGTTATGCTGATTCAACAAGAGATACGTATTTAATATTAGATCGACATGCAACTATTAAACTTTTTAACTGATCGCACATTTTCTTTGATTTATAAGTCCAACTTATTCTTTCTGAATTTTTCAAAATTTACTTTACCTTAATCATAAAAACACACGTGCTTATGGCACGAAAATCAATATGCACATGCACTTTTCGAATGTCGAACATAAAAGCTGTAGATTTGAACGACAGGTACTTATTCCCAACAAACCAAATTACAATTACATGCCATTGCACGTGTTCCCAAAAAAGAATAAAGTAACGCAAATAAAAGGTAGTATGGGCCCAGGCGTCAGAGCTGTAAAAAACCCATAACCCAATGCCAATCAATGTCGCTGGGAGCTGTTGTTGATGGATGACTATTCTTATGCAAATAGCAGTTCGTTTCGCGTGCAAGAGTTCTACTAATTCAATCAAAGGAGCAGGAGCCAGGAGCATTGAGCTCCTGCTCCAGGACTAGGCCACCAAGTCTTTTCTTGCCAATAAAAAATGCAAATGCATAGGAAATGTTACAGGTGGGCTGGGAGTTGAACGATTCCTGGGTCCCGAACCGGTTGATCCAAACAACCAATCATTGTTTGGTCGATGGGAAACGCAGCCGGTTCGTTTTCTGGTGGTTCGAACCCCGGTTAATATTCAAATTAAATCGAGGGGGAATACGGCCAATATGCGGTGCAAGTGAACATTCGAACGGGTAGTTGGCCCTGTCGTAGTTGTCGTAAAATCACCAGTCCCAAAAAAACATAGTCAATTGTCAGTTGAAGACCAACAGTAGAACAACCACGGCAAGAGTAGCGGAAACGGACCGGGAAGCCAAGCAACTCATTATGGTGCAGATATCGCAGACAGAGGAGGACATCAAGATTTCCATCGAGCTCAATCGACTGGTCACTCGCAAGCCGGACGTTGTCCTTCTCCCGCAGTATTTGAAGTTCAACAATCCGCCCATTTTCTTCGAGCGCCATTTGGCCCAGGAGATCGACGAAATGGCCAGGTAAGTAACTTTTCTAATAAAAAAAAACATTTTATGATAAACTATCAACCTAAAATAAATGATCAATGTCTGGTATGGTGGTAAATCTTTTCCGAATTATGAATAAGTGATTTTTAATTTTAAATGAAAAAGCTTTTAATACCATCAAGTTACAATATATCGATCTCTTGCAGCTTCTGCCGTATCTTTAAGAACGAGGCGCGCATTGTACTGGTGAAGAAGGAGAAAGGCTTCTGGCCGGAGTTGTTTCAGAAGCTGGACAAGGAGGCCCTTATGCAAAAGCGCCTAGAGATCGCTGATTTGATCGTCGAGCGCAACAAGAAGCGGGATGAAAAGGCACTCGAGCGTTACGAGAATAAGCGGCGGGCGGAGGTTCAAAAGGAAATTAAGCGGGAAACTGCCATGCGGGAGAGACTGAAGCAGTTCCAGGAAAACTCTGTTCGGGAAGCCCTTGTGGTTGATGTCCGCAAGGAGGCCAATGCGACACCTAAGCCAGATGTCCTGCAGTATCCGCCATCGTCAATGGCCGCCAGTCGCCTGGCTACGCCTCTTTATCGACCGCCCATGAACTCTGTTCGCGGCAGCGGGCGAATCACTGTGAGCTTCACCAACCCGCACAAGCGGACTACACCGAAGCGAGAGTCGCAGGACACCATGGAGAAGACGTACGCCGCTGCAGGAGGACCGAATGCAAACGATCAATCTCCTATGGAGAGCCTTGATGAATAAACTCGAGATGTACTATACAGGATCGTCGCTTGACGACTAGCTGTACGTGCGTATGTTAGACTGTTCAAAGTGTTTCCTATTTTCTTAGTCCATCCAATAAATCAACAGGTGTTTGCATAAATAAAATATGGATTAATAGGGGGTTTTTGTCACAGAGGTGGGAAAAAGTTCAAGCTTGTTCTAGTGTTTGTTTAGGTAAGTAAAGTTAGAGATGTGCGGAAAATATTTGAGAAACAAACTTAGCTAATGTTTAAAATAATATGTGAAACAATTGATTGTAGTTTTTTATCTAATGACTTTTTACATTAAAACGGCCTACATATTAATTACTATTAAATTTTAATATCAGTTTAGCAAGTTAATAATCAAAAAAGACAAAAACCAGCAAAATAAACTAAAAATTTCCTTTTAAAATCCGATAAGTCCGTCTGCTCAACTTTAGAATTGTGCCTATCGATAGCATCAGCTGACGACTGTCAGTGTTGGGCAATCATTCGGTGAAAACATTTGACGTTGCTTTTTTCCACAATTTCTTTTGCCGCTATGACATTACAAATCTAAAAGAATTTTAGATTTTCTCAGAACAAGACTGAGGGAACACGAATCAGCAGGATTAGACACTTGAAACCGATGACCGAGGCAGCAAGAGCACGACCCGCCAACTCTAGAGGGGCCGCGGGAGACACGCAAATGTACCCGCTTTCCGGCGGATCAAAGGAGCCACCGAAGCTGGACGACCTGGTGCAATATGTGAGCTTGTACGTAAGGATCCCAACGCCGTTGACCGGCGTGGTGCTGCCCTTTGTGCCGCTCTACCTGTCCGCCTTCTACTTATGGGTCCACGTGACTGGTGGCGAGGAAACACCTACAGCCGGTGTGATTCCCCTCAAAAATGAGACAACCACTGATCATTCCACAACTTGGAATGACTTTGGCTTCATTGCTGTGCTGGCTATTGCCTTTCTGCACATCCTCACGCTACTTTGTTGCTACTGGAGTGTGCATGTGCTGGCTTTCCTCACCTGCCGTCGGGTGAAGCTGCCCGGCGCCAATGTTCTGGCCAAAGTGGTACCCACTGCCAACAACGGAAACTCAAAGATCGTACCCGTGCGCTCCTCCCAGCTGGAGGACGGATCCACCCAGTATTTCTTGGTCTTCCAGAAGACTAAGTACGTTTGGAACGAGGATCGCAAAACGTTTCAGGCCGTTGAATTCCCGGTAAATGGGCTGCTGAGCAGCTACTCCTCATCGCGCGGATTAGAGTCGGAAGAAGCTATTAAGCGTGCCACTTTCACGTATGGCAATAACGAAATGGAAATGGTGGTGCCCGAGTTCCACGAACTCTTCGTTGAACGCGCTACGGCGCCATTCTTCGTGTTCCAGGTCTTCTCCGTGGGACTTTGGTGTATGGACGACTACTGGTACTACTCCCTGTTTACGCTCTTCGTGCTGGTCGCCTTTGAGTGCACCATTGTCAAGCAGCAGCTCCGAAACATGTCCGAGATCCGGAAGATGGGCAATAAGCCTTATCTAATCTACGCCTTCAGACAAAACAAGTGGCGACACATTGGCTCCGATGAGCTGTTGCCCGGTGATTTGGTCTCGATAACGCGCTCACAGAACGACAACATTGTACCTTGCGATTTGGTCATCCTTCGGGGCTCCTGCATCGTAGATGAATCCATGTTAACGGGCGAATCGGTGCCACTAATGAAAGAGTCGTTGGAATCGCTGGACAATTTGGATGTTGAGCTGGACGCCGAGGGAGATGGCAAGCTATTCGTTTTATTTGGTGGCACTAAAGTGGTTCAGCACACTGCTCCTACGAAAGAATCGCTTCGTGCTCCAGATGGCGGCTGCATTGGCTATGTGATTCGTACAGGTTTCAACACATCGCAAGGCAAGCTTCTGCGAACGATCCTATTCGGTGCCAATCGCGCCACTGAGAACAACGTGGAGACATTCGCCTTCATTGCTTTCCTAATGGTCTTTGCCGTTGCCGCCGCATCTTATGTGTGGGTCAAGGGCAGCGAAGATCCCGAGCGCAATCGCTACAAGCTTTTCCTGGAGTGCACTCTCATCCTGACGTCCATCATTCCCCCGGACCTGCCCATTGAACTGACCTTGGCCGTTAACACGTCCCTCATCCAGTTAACCAGATTGTTTGTATTCTGCACAGAACCCTTCCGAATTCCCTTCGCCGGAAAAGTGCAGATTTGCTGCTTCGACAAGACGGGAACTCTGACTACGGATAATCTTATGGTAGAAGGAATTGCCGGATTGGCTCCCAACGGAGCTTGTGTACCAATCGAAGAGGCAGAGGCGAATACGGTTCAAGTACTCGCATGCTGTCACTCATTGGCTCTTCTGGATGACGGACTAGTGGGAGATCCACTGGAGAAGGCCACGCTAGCAGCAGTAGATTGGACGCTTACCAAGATGGATAGCGTCATTCCGAAAAAGCCACAGTTCAAGCCCCTGAAGATCATTCAACGCTACCACTTTTCATCAGCACTGAAGCGAATGTCGGTATTGGCTGGCTACCTAATGCCCTACTCCAACGAGGTGAAGCACATAGGAGCGGTGAAGGGAGCACCAGAGGTTATTCAGAAAATGCTAAGTGAGGTGCCCACAGACTACGAAAAGGTAATTGGATTTGTTTTTTGAAAAAATGGTCAATTCAATAATCAAATTATTCTACTAGGTTTATTTGGAGTACGCTCGCCGTGGAGCACGAGTTCTGGCTTTAGGTATTAAGGAGTTCGGCACTTTGGGATCTCAAAAAATTCGGGAATTGAAGCGTGAAGAGGTGGAGTGCGATCTGACCTTTGCCGGATTTGTGATAATTTCCTGTCCCATGAAGCCTGACTCCAAATCCGTTATTAAGGAGCTTATTCAATCCTCGCACAAAGTGGTGATGATTACGGGCGACAGTCCGCTCACCGCCTGTCACGTGGCCAAAGAGCTGCGCTTTACCCGGAAGAAGCTGGTAATCCTAACTCCGCCCGACCAGGAGGAGGGCGACAAATGGAGTTGGGTTTCCATTGGTGGGGATCAAACTTACGAGCTGGATTTTAAGGATGCTAACAAGAGAATTTCACTCTTGTTGGCAACTCACGATCTCTGCATTACTGGAGAGGGATTGCAGTATCTGCAGCAGAACCAACAGCACTACATGCGCCAACTGTTGCCTCAAGTCACGGTCTGTGCTCGTTTCGCGCCCAAGCAAAAGGAGTTCATCATCACGCAGCTGAAACAACTGGGTTACTGCACTTTGATGTGTGGTGACGGCACAAACGATGTGGGAGCCCTCAAGCAAGCCAACGTTGGTGTTTCCCTGCTAACCAGTGCTCCCGTGAAGCGAAAGCGCACCGAGGAGGAGCAGCGCCAGGCGGCGGCAAATGCAGCTGCTGCAGCCGCCCAAGCAGCTGCCAATGCCAACCAACAGTTAACGCCACGGGAACGGGCACTGCGTCGTCGCCAGGAGCATATCAACCAAACACAAGCTCGTCTGCAGAGCGCATTAGCCGACATGGAGGAGCAGACAATGGTGAAGTTGGGTGACGCCTCCATTGCAGCGCCATTCACCAGCAAGTCCTCGTCGATAATGTGCGGTAAGTAAAGTGGCTTTCACCTTGGGGATTGCGTTTTAATTTCATTTTGAAATCTCTGTTCAGTGAACCACATCATCAAGCAGGGTCGTTGCACGCTGGTAACCACGCTTCAGATGTTTAAGATCCTCGCCCTGAACGCCCTTATCCAGGCATATTGCCAGTCAGTGCTATACATCGATGGCATTAAGTTCAGCGATACCCAGGCCACCATGCAGGGCATTTTTATTGCCGCCTGCTTCCTTTTTATCACACGAGCCAAGGTGGGTAAACTGTAGCATTGACTTTAAATTAAATTTTCGAGATTTTGTTGGAAAACATGTCAATGATTTATCATAATTATTTAATAAATAATGTTGTACCTTTTGTTATTCATCCAGCCACTTAAAACGCTGTCCAAGGTGGCCCCACTGCCAAACATCTTCAATTTTTACACGATTTCGACTATTCTCTGTCAGTTTGCCGTGCACTTTGGAGCGCTCTATTACCTTACCAGCCAAGCCAACATTTTGGCACCACCTAGGTATGTTTACATTGAACAACAAAAAACAATAAAATAAGAATATTTTATATTTTAATTGTTTTGCAGAGAAGGCAAAGTGAAATTGTATCTTGACATGGATCCTGAGGAGAAGACGAAATACGATCCGAACATTGTGAGCAGCACAGTCTATATAATTTGCTTATCACTGCAAGTGGCCACCATTGCGGTCAATTACAAGGTGCGTTCTATAACTAAAAAAATCAACAGAATACTAAAATTTACTTTCAACAGGGCCATCCTTTTAGGGAAAGCTTGCGTTCTAACCGCATGCTGATGTATGCCATCGGAGCCTCGGCCACATTGGTCATTCTTCTATCCACGGGCTTGGCGCCCGAGTTGACGGAATTCTTTGAGATTATCGAATTCCCTACGGATGTAAGAACTTTTCAATATGTTGTTGAACTTTATTTTAAAGACTTGGCTTTTTTAGTTCCGCAAAACTTTGCTCTGTGTCCTAGTCGTGGATATTGTTGGAGCCTTCGTTTTGGACCGCATTTGCTCATTCCTGTTCGGGGAAACGCGTCGCAAGTCAAAGGTGCTGAACTGTTAGGACCATTTAATGCTAAGTACTAGAAAAGGAGCAACTTAAGAAAGATAGATAAGCCTTTCCCCTTTTATTTCGATCCCTCTAATGGTAAACAACTTATCGTGTTTAATGGCGTCGGTTTCTTAAATGTTAAAATTCCGCATCAATGAATCATCGTAATGCATTTAAAGTGTATTAACGGGCAAGTGTATTATCGACCAGCCTATATCATTTTAGTTTGACAAAGCAAGAACCTTTGATTCTTTCGACTACCGTATATGCGATTAGTGAAATTGTCGTAATATTTGTAATGCTAATAAAGATAGAAAAAATTTGAAAAAAGAGAAATACATATTTGTCAAAAACTTTAAGTGGTCTGATCTGGTTCAATGTCCTCCGATTTAGAGTCTTCAAGCTGTTTGAATTGGATTAAGATGACCAAGTACGTGGTAACAGCAGAAAAGATCTACGTATTGGGAAAAGGAAGAAATAACTTAATATTTGAATACTTGAGATGACATTTTAAAACTGCTGCACCTTGAACAGAGTGGTATTATCTATAGCGAAGAATCCGTACGCCGTAAACTGTACCTCCTGCTTAATGCTCTTGGTAAGAAATTTATCAATCTGTAACAGGAAAGCCATTCGTTAACAACAAACTTTTATTTAAACTGTGATAGTAGCTTACTATATTTTGATATTCCCTGCACTTGGCATATACCCTCGCCAGTATTTGTGCCGTTGCATTGGCCTTGAAATAGAAGCACTCATGATGATTAGTTGTAAACTTATCGCTGATATCGTTACTCACCTCCCTGGTGGTCAGACCACAACTTGTGGACAACAAGGCCAGCAGGGAAACGTGGAGACAGAGCCAGGCAGCGCACCACTGAAGGATGTTCGGGGACACCGTGCCCCTTGCGGTGATCTGGACAAATAGATTGTAGCAGTTGGTGGTGACCGTGTAGAAGGAATAGCCTAGGAACGAGACCAGAATCAAGTTGCAGCAATCGTTGATGCCCTTGTAGATTCGCAGCAGTTTGTTGTGCATACGGTATATGAAGAGCGAGTCCTCTGGGAAATGTTCCATAACAGCTGGATTGGGAGTGGGGTTAACGTTACTATTGATATTTCCCCGGTTCCGTCTTCCTCCCTTTCGCTTATGCTGCTGACCATAAGTATATCCATTCAGTAATTCGTTAATGAAATGAAACCGGATGTACACTATTTTCAATAATGCTGAAGCGAATACTATGTACGTGGCGGTAAGTCCATTTTGGATAGCATAAAAGGCAAGCAATATATAGGATGTGGGCGTGATAACGCCTTGCACCGCATAAACCTTCAGGACGATAATGTAGGTTTGGCAGATAGCGATTCCTACCAAAAACTTTACCGAAAACCCAAAGTTCTGGTTCAAATTGACTCCAAACTGCCGACGAACCTCCTCATCCAGTTGGAGAATTTCATTCATGACCCGTAGCATGCATTTGGTATTTCGGGCGCACACAAAAACCGTAAGGGTGTAGGTCAGGATGCAGAGCAAAAGTTCGATCCACTGGTTCACATTATCCGTCTCCCGGTAGGAGTAAAATAGTTGGGCCGATATCGGTGTAAATAAGCTGTAGACGTTGAAGATGGTCAAGGCGTGGACAACGCCTCTTACAAAAAAGGAGTAGAACTCATTCGCTTTGGTTGGAGGACCCACTTCGTAGTTGGACACCTGTTCGTAAATGGGCATCAAACCACTGGCCTTTAGCACGGACAAGATGGTGCGAATGTCCTCGAAAACGGGATGATCCTGAGGGTTCCTCAAAGGAGCAGCATGAGAGTCCCTTGTAAAGGCATCCCTGCTCAAAGACTGATTTCGATACGGCGAAATTCTTCGCGGATACGGACGCGATCGCGTTTTCTGCGTAGGCATTTCGATCACCCAAGTGTTCGGGGACATGTCCAACAAAGCACTGACAAGGGCAAAAGGATTCGGCTAACAGGACTGACCACCTTTCATATAAGTGGGTCCCGAGTTATCTGATAGTGTTCGTGGAGTCACTGGGGTCACGGGCTATCAATGGACTTCAAGTGCCATTAGCGTAATTGTTTTCCATTGTGGATTATTGAATATTGCCAACGTTACGGAACTGAAAAATCAATTATTTCATTAAACAAAAATAAAATTATCTCCTTTTTTAAATATACTAAGAAAAAATACAAAAATAAAACACGTTCTAAAAACCTATATTATTACATGTTGAACAAAGGTTTTAAGTAGTATAGTCTTTTACATGACTATTTTATTTATTGGCTTGCTTTCCAAACTTGTTGAGTTTATTTATTTGTTATTGTTTAATATCTGAGAGTATTTTAAGCTAGTAAAAATCCATTTGTAATTAACATATCCTCTGATTTTCTTATTTATTAACCATAATCCTAGAAGATTGTTCCAAATTGCTTTTCAATTTCAAGCCGATATTAAATTGTCTGCTACGAGGCTTTCCTTAAACCCTTAGTAATCCCATGAAAACAAATCCCATAAATAAAAAAAACGAGTGGGGAAACATTTTCATATAAAACCTGCGGAGGACCAGTTCACCCTCGGATGTTGTTAGACATGAGCGTGTTATGGGTGTATTATCGCTGGGATGCGTGAAATATTATCTTTGTCACACCTTTTCCGCCCCCAAGTCACCCACACAAGGACAATCTCTCTTGCTGGCAATCATACATACATATGTACCTTTACATGTACTTTTCCACCCCTAATGAGGGATTGCAATTCCATGCGGCTCGGGCTGTTGCTAAATTTTTTGTCATTCCTAACTTTTCTTTACCTTTGGGGGAGAGAGAGTGATAGCGAGAGAGTGCTAAACGGGCACGCTGTTGCTTCGGCACACGCCGCACTGTGGCTAAAAATTAATTAAAACTAGGAAAAAAATATCCAGGCATAAACTTGCCTTGATGGAAAATTAAATTTGATTAAATAGTTTCTTATTATGTCTGGATTTCCCAAAGAAAGGGCAGATGAATTCTTATAAGTGACCATTATTATGTGACCATTTTATGCCATTTTTTTTTTATATGTCCAACATCATATTTGTATCTGCGTAAGGGGGAATATTTTTGGGATAAACAAACACACCAAAAAAACGTTAAACACAAACAAAAATGTACAAGTATTACTGATCTGAAAAAAAGATTTTTGAAACACAATACAATTTAAATTTTAAGACAACAAAGAAATGAAATTTTGTGACCATCCGAATTTAATTAAATTTTAACTAAAGTAACTAACAATTTATATTTTTGTAGTTTTTTATACTGTTTTACCTAGCTTAAAAGTAAAGCTTGTCCTACTGTTCTTCTACTTGACCCACTGTGTGCTATTTACCAGTGACGTCACGGCTTTAGCTTTCGGCTTAGCACACTCCGGCGGATACAGATATAGATAGAGAAAGGCGGAGCGGAGAGATTGAAAGATAGGAGGGAAGGCGAGAGAGCCACTCTTATCAGCGGGCGGCATCGACAAATCGAAGACAAAACAAAAAGCCGTCATTAATCCCGCTGAGAAAGTCGAGCGCATCGCTTGTCGCACGGAATGCTGTCGCTCCTTTTGGTTTTGGCCACCCTCGCCAGGATCCACGCCCACTACACCAGTGGGGATGTGGTCTACCACCCACTGCCACACTTCTGGACGGGCGTGGGCTTCTGTCCCGCCGGACGGATCGATCACAGAGGGGTTAGCTCCGCCCTGGGCGATCCTGCCCTGCGGATGAATCTCCGACAGATTGCCGCACTGCCCGTTGGTGCGGTGACCCACATTCGCATCCACTGGCTGCTTGAATTGGTCGAATTCTGGCAGTACGACCAGAGTGGAGCTCCGATTTATGATTACTCCAAGTTCGATGACTTTATTGATTTCCTTTACGAGGAACTGCGCTTGTCTCCCGTGCTTGAGTGGATGGGCAATCTGGGTGGGGTTTTCACGGAGAACCCCCAGCAGCAACCTTTTTACTGGGAGCACTTGGTAAAAACCACGATTAACCACCAGTTGGGTAAGAAAAAAATAAATACACCCTACAAATATATCTTCATTGTTTTTCTTTTCCTATAGCAAGACATGGTTCCGCGAGATTGGTTAACTGGCGCTACGAGACCTGGAACGAGCCGGACCTTCGTGGCTACAATAAACTCAATCTTACGTCTCAATCCTATCTGGATTATGTTCAAGCCGTGCGTCGAGGTCTCAGTAAAGCTGGCAATCTGGACACTCTACCCATGTATCGGGTTTTACGAGGTCCTGCTGGACTCTTCAAGGACCTAAATAAACATCCTCTTTGTTGGAAGTTGTTGGAGCTTTGTAGTCAGCGGGTGGTTTATTGTCCAATCGATGTACTCACGTTCCATCGAAAGGGAATCGAAGGTACTGCCACGGAGATCGTGAATGGTTCGCTATCTTTAATGGCTAAGATCTACGGGGAGTATCCGAATCTAAAATCTCTACCGGTGGCCAACGAGTAAGTGGTTCAGACAACTATTTACAACATTTTATGAACTATATTTTTTACATTCCATTTATTTATCTTATCAATTATTTAACAATTTCACAGTGAGGCTGACCCAGTGGCTGGATGGAGTACTCCCCGGGAGTTTCAGGCGGATGTTCGGTATGGAGTCACTTTAATGTCTACAGTGATGCAGTACTGGCATGCAAAACTAGTTGCCGGACCACTGAGTACCTTGGAATCGATTAGCCACGACAACGCGTTCCTGAGTTACCATCCCCACGAGTTCACACAGCGTACTCTCCTAGCCCACTTCCGGATGAACAATACAAATCCACCGCACTCGCAATTCATTCAAAAACCAGTTTACGCTGCCCTTGGAATGCTGGCCAAGTTGGGAGGCCGGGCTGCCGATTTGGAACTGGTCAACATGGACACCAAGCACAGCGTGCAGGTCCTTCGTACAGTTTCCGGGGGAACAGCTGGTCCTGGTCAATATATGGCCACCATATTCCTTAGTCCCGAGGAAGCTGGTCCTAAAATGACAGCATTCCATCACAAATACACGCTGAACATGTCCATAGCGAACGAGTCAGCATTTATTACGGAACTTCTGGTTCCCCAGACCACGGATCCGTATCACGTGTGGCAACAAGCGGGAAGTCCATCGTATCCCAACGCCACTTTGAGGGAAGCAATGCGAAGGGCGCAGACACCAAGGCTCTACGAAACGGGACCGATTTGGCAGTACAACAGCGAGGTGGTTATCAACTCCGCCAGCATTCCCTTGCCCTGGGCGATGCTTCTCCGGGTGTGTTCCGCTTCGTGGCCTAAGCTGCGACGGCCACAGCAACTCTCCATCGTGGAGGTTACTCATCGTGAGGTTTTCATCACCTGGATGGAGCACCCCAAATCCACGCAGTGCCTTCTTAGCTACGAGGTGTGGTTTAAGGAGCGCGACAGCATGGGCTTATCCGCCGAATGGAAGCTCATCTCCCGTGATTGGCACCTGCCGTATCCGTCGTTTCAGTTTGCGCCCGGAGAAAAGGGAACCGTCAATGGTGAGTGGAGAATTTAATAAGAATATAAAATCCGTAATTTGCCAACGACGAAATATAAAGATTTATATTCAAATTCAAATCAAACTGCGTTAAATTTAAAACGATTTATTGCATGTAAATGTATGTTTACAAAAGCTACTTTTTTCAAATTTCAATTATTTTATGATATAAAAAGCATTTATCAATGGACCTCAAGGCAAATGTTTTTCATTTTCTTAACAGGTTTCTATAAGGTTCGTGGAGTGGATGTTTTTAATCAAACGAGCCCGTACTCGCAAATAGTGGAATACCTGGAGTTGTAGTTGAACAAACCGTTTATAAATCAAAAGAACATATTTAAAGTGCAAGCAAACATAATCAGGCTTCGGCCGGGCGCTAATGGACCTCCTTCTACTCTCTATCTGTCTCTCTGGGAATGGACTGACTTCACCGGCACAATCTTCTGGACTTGCGCCTTCGCCTTAACGCCGGCAATATCTTATATACATTATATATATATATATAAATAGATATATTATCTGTGTTGTGTTCGTAATACATATATGCCTTTATCCTGCGAGGGAATCGGCGAAAGCGTACATATATATTTTTAATTCCCTGCGGGGGTATTTACAAAGGAATAATTTAGTAACTTAATCGAGAACAAACGCGAAGAGACATGTTCTAGTAAAACAATATAACATATTCTTCGCTTTAAGCAAACTATTAAAGATCTAAGTCCATTTTAGCCTTAGGCGTCCAGGACCAACCACTTTTCGTTGATGTGCTCGATTTGCTTGGTGAGGATGGGATTGCGAACGCGTACTTTGACTTCAAGTTTGCCTCCCACTTGCTTGCGGCCATCCATTAGCTATTTTGGGAAGTAAAAAATACATATTTATTTGTATCACATAGTTTATTTATTATTTTATTACTTACATCGTACGTATCGTGTATATCACATTTCGTCTCCAACGGTTGCAGCTTGACATTTACGGTTCCAATCAATGTATCCGAACGCAGGAACCCTCTGAAACAACACAGGGGCAGTTTACGACTTAGTCCACAACAATCAATACTGCAGCTATTTTTTATGCACGATATAAAACGCGTAGCATTGGATGAGTTTTTTTTTGCGATTTGTTGGGAATTGAGGCGTAAAGATTTTGAAAAATATTTTATTAAAATGATCCACGTGAAAATATATGAAGTTCAATGTGTATACATGTTTTGTGAAGCCGTGACTGGTACGATACTGAATACTGGACCAAACGAACATGCTGAGTACGGGAGATAATTAAATTATAGCAAATAAATTTTGAAGCTATACGAAAAATATGGGAAACAACAAATTAAGAGAGTATATTCTCTACAGCCTTATTAAATCGTGTACTAATTGCTTACAAATCATATTACTCCTAAAATATTTTCAATTATTTAAAATAAGCTTTTGTTTTAAATATCTGAATTCTTATAAGATCACACGATTACATCTAACGACAGCAGTTAAGTTTCTTTTTTAAGAATAGAGTAAATGAGCTGAAATTATACACTACCCCCTTCCAACAACAGCGTGACTTCCTTAAATAAATAAATGCGCTTGATAAAAATTATATACCACCTGTGTTAGTCGAGGTTAATATGCATGTTAAGCGACTTAGTACGGATTAAATAATTGTGCCAACTTAGTTATGTTTATTACATAAAACTTACCCTCTGGAATATATTTCAAACTTAACGCCGTGGCGCTTGAAAATTCTCTGGAACTGGCGGTTACCTCGCTGAATCTCAACTTTGAAACGCTCATCGTAATCTGGACTACTGGTGTCCCTGATAACATTAGTTTTTGTTTTAAAAGATTCATCCTAAAAAAATGCAAATTAGTTAATACTCGAAATAACAAGTATAAGTTTCAAACGCACATTAAGAAGGGGAAACTCTACGCGGACATAGGTGTCGACGTCCTTTGGATTGGCCACGTTGTAGTGGATTCCCCGAACCACAACAATTTCCAGTTCACAGTCCGTAAGGTCCGTGTTGCAATGCACAATGTTGAAACTTCGCTTCTCATAGTGAAACTTTGGCAGTGGTTCATTCTTTCGCTTTGAGTATCGCACCAAATCCAAATCTTTTTGGACTGTCAAGGCCAGATTTTCGAAACGATTCATGCCTGCAACATCGCCCATTGCCTTGTGATGGTCTCTGGTATTCTTGCACATCATCAGCTGCTTGGCCAGCTGCTCCTCCATACGAACACCAATCTCGCAAATGTCATCGTTGGGATCGCATTCTTCAGCGGATACAATAGCGAAGGAGGCTTCCAGGTTGTCGCGTTGGGAAGGTGGCACCGGTAGCTATGATGAAATAAAAAGCTTTAGCATAATAAACACAAAAATCAGTACTAATCTTACAGTGCTGAGATCCACTGGTAACCCACTGCTGGCCGCATTAAGCAACGAATCAAATCCCTTGAAGATTTTCAGATACTCCTTGGCCTGATCAATCTCTCCCGCTTTTTTGGCCTCGATAGCAGCCAGCTTAAACTCCTTTTGACGCTCGAGAAGCAGTTTCATTTGTTGCTCGGCGAGATTGTTCTTCTGCTGATTGCCAGAAGTGCGGGTGGTCAGCTCCTTGGCTTGTGGAGGAGAAGGCGCTTTTCGAGGAGCTGTAGGCGTAGTTGCACTGGAACTAGAAGGAGTTCCCCCGGCAGATGTACTTGCCGTTGCTGGCGGTGATGTGGGAGAAGTACGTAGCAAAGGAGTTGGTGCTGCTGGAGCTGCATCCCCCGTGGGCAGGGGACCGAAACCGGGCGGAACAGGGAGTTCGTCATAAGGCACAGTTTTGCCCGCCTTGTACAATTTAATGGCATCTTCGTATTGCTTAACAATCCTTCCAAAGCGCCTTGCCTTTCCCGAATTGTTTTCTGCCTTGGCAGCCGCCTCCACGGATTGATACTTTTCCAAACGTTGCTGCAGAGCCTCCAGCATGTTTGTAGCTGCAGCTGGAACAGGAGCAGGTGCAACAGGTGCTGGAGCTGGCTCAGGAACAGGTTCAGATGGCGCTTCCGGTGCTGCTCCCTCCTTCAGCTTGTTTAGGAATTCCAGGAACTCAGCTGGCGGAGGCGGCATATCGCTGAGATCAACTTCTTGACCGTCTTCACACATCTTTACCACAACATCAAACTGTTTTACCACTTTGAGGAACTGAAGGGCAGTGGCAGTGTCCCCACTTCGTTTTGATTGCAGGGCGGCCGCTTTGTATTCGTTTTGGCGACTGCGCATTTGTGCCACCAGAGGATTTGGAGGAGTGGTAGGTGCCACAGAGCTGGTGGGAGCCACTGGTGTAGTCGGAGTTGGTGGAGCTGGAGCTGGCCGATTTGGAACAGGTGGAGGGGAAGCTGGAGTAGAAGCGGGTGATTCCTGTGCAGCCTCCGGGGGAGCCTGTCCACCAGCTGGCTTTACACTGACTTCCGGCGGAATATCATCCACGTTGATGGGCTTGCCGGCTGCAGCCTGTTTATGTAAATCCTGCAGGGTCTTTAGACCCCTTCCAAAACGCCTTGCCTTTCCCGATTCTCCGGCAGCCTTGGCATTCGCTTCGGCTAGCTTGTACATTTCGAGGCGCTGCTTAATGATGCTCAAGGTGTCCACCGTAGTAGTGGGCAAGAAGGTTTGGACGGGCTCCTCACTGGCAGATTTTGGTTGGGCTGCAGACTCCTCCTCTGGCTCCTCTACTCCTCCAATTCCACTTAGCTCGCCCAGCAAATCCGAGTCGTTTTCTAGGTCATCATCATTATCGTCGTCACTCACGTCACGCAAGCTGTCGGCGATCATTTTGTCCAAGTCACTGGCGGGGACTAACTTTGCTTTCGGTTTGGGTTTTGGCCTGGCTCCTCCGCCGGCGATGGCAGCCAGTTCCGCCTCCAGATCGCTGTCGCCACCGTCATCGTCTCCGTACCCAGCGCTGGGATCAAAATCATCCGGGATTTCCGTAAGGCCAAACTAAACGTATGAAACGAGAGTAAGAGTGTAGCCGATGACTCATAATTAATAAATAGACGGATCTAGTGTTTGCTTTTCGCCTTACCTGGGATAAATCGTGTTGCCTTCGCTTCGCTGGCTCTGGCTTCTTTCTGGCGAACATTTTTAACTAATCAGGAGCTACAATTTATCAAAAATATGTCTTCAAAGCCTTTAAAATCCTTACTTAATTGCGTCGCAACTGTTGAGACGCAGACAACAATAACAGAATGTTTGTGGGGATCACGGTGGCTTATGTGGAGGTGACGCAGGAAAACTCTTCACATTACTGACGTCACTAGCACAGAAATTCTCGAAGATAAACATTTATGGATTTGTTTCAAAAATCTATAAGTCATGTGACAAATGTTATTATTTTTTAAAGTCACATATTAAAATAAATCGGTTTTACTAATAATAAAATATTTTATTTAAGCTCTCAGAATCACACAAAATACATTTTAATCCACCTTCTAGGCCGTAATCATGCGGAGCTAAACTTTTACCGGCAACCAGGGCTGCCACAGGCTAACAGGTACAGGGCTGCTCAGCCAGCTGACTAATCGATAGCTCGCCAACTATCGATATCAAGAGCCAGCGCACACACAGGGCAAGAGAGTTTGCGAAAAAAAAAAACCTGGACAAAAAGCCTCAATTGATTGCGAACAGATTAGCTTGAGGAAGCAGAAGTTGCCCGTCGACTAGTGCCGTGAATTGCTCCAACCATCTCTACCGTGGCGACGCCGAGAAGCTAGCGAAACCTTTGCCAGTGGTGTTCTCCCACCATCAACCTCCTCCAACTCCGTCTCTTGGGGGGCCAAAAGGTAGCAGAAAAACAGCAGAGACTTCGCGACGAGGGGCGCGCGACAGCGGGGATTCGGCCTGCTGGGTTTAGTGTGGAAACAAACAAACGGATCGGATTCCGGGTCCGGATCGGAGGAGGAACGGGGTGTGGCTCGCTAACTGGGCAGCAGCTTGGCAAACAAAAGCATCGGAGGCGGCAACAAGTAGGCGGCAGGCATGGACGTGTCGCTCACAGAGCCGGAGACGCGCTTCTACAATGAGTTGTTTCAATGCTGTGACGTAGAGAAGACGGGCAAGGTGCCTATGCTTAAGGCCACCGAGCTCTTCCGCTCGGCAGACATTGCCAACGAAACGGTGATTGAGGTAGGTCCACTTCTCAGCGATCGTGAGTAATTAATTATCTGGCTGTGGGCTTTCAGATCACTGGCCTGGCGGGGATTCCCTCCACGGCGCTGCACATCTCGCGGACGCAGTTCTACTCATGTCTAAAGTTGATCGCCGCCCATCAGGCGGCCATGCCGCTGCGCCAGGAGCTGATTTTGGCCACGTTTCCGCTTCCACTACCGCACTTTAGCTGGAAGGAGGCGGTTACAGCTCCAGTGGCTGTCGAAAATGGACTGGCCGCCCTGCCACCGCCGCCGCCCACAGACAGAAGAAACTCGCTACGCCGTAACTCGCAGCAGGAGCAGCTGCAGGACACCTCCGACGTACCCAGCACCGACTCCGAGGTGGAACAAAACGAGTCCGTGGACGAGGCGACGGGCCACGGACGCGGCACCGATGGCAGCGGGGTCGTCAGCAGCAGCAGCCGAGAGAATGTCGGGGTGCGTATCTCTATCTTATCATGTGACACATGCAAATAGGCTTGCGAGTGACCGTTCCGCGACCACCACTTATCTCTTTTAGCGTCGTCGAGGGGGCGGTGCCGGTGGTGGTTCACCCGAAGCCTGGAGCACAAACAGTGACAGTCCCACGCCGACCAACAGTGTGGCCGAGCGACCCTGGGCGCAGGACAACCTCTGGCAAGGACTGCTTGGCGACGAGCACCGCCAGCTCCTGGGCACCGAGGAGGAATCCTCGGATCGCCACAGTAGCGATGACGAGGACAACGAAAGCGAGCTGGTTACTATTTACCAGATAACTCCGGAGCAGCGCGAGTACTATAACAAGCAGTTCAGGACGGTCCAGAGGGATCCGCATGGACTGCTTTCCGGCCAGGCAGCAAGGTTAGTAAACGATATTTTAAATCAAAATTAAAAATATAAATATATCTAAAATTGTTTTGTGATAGTTCCCTTATTTTAAAACATTTTAATGTTTTTCATATTCCTTAGAATCTTTTTCGAAAAGAGCCGCATTCCGGTGGAGGAACTACGTCACATCTGGCAGTTGTGCGACGTTACACGCGATGGAGCACTGAGTCTGTCCGAATTCACCGCCGCTATGCACCTGGTGGTCCTAAGACGCAACAACATTCCGTTGCCCACCAGCCTGCCCAACTGTTTACATCCGAACGTACTCCAAGCGGCTGCGACTGCCAGTGGACAGGGAGTCAGCTCTTCGTCGTCAGTGGCGCTGCCTCAGGAGCCGCCTGAGGCTGATCTCCTGCACTTAAACGACGACGATGAGGACGACCACACGGACAATACAGTCATAGCCGGCAATCTCAGCGGCGGTAGTTCTACCAGCAAGCCGCGACCCAATGTGCCCAGTGACAAGAACATCATGAATCTGAGCAGCATCTCCACGTCCTCGCAGGCGAGCAACAGTTCCAGACGTGAGGCCACACCGCAGAACTCGTTGGCCAAGAACCGTAGCATCTCGAACTCGCCGAGTGTGGAGAAAGCGGTGACAGCAGCTGTTTCCTCAACGGCGAATGCTGTAGACTCGAGCAACGCCTCCAGTCAGTGGACAAAGTTCAGCGAATCTCCCACAACAAGTGCTGCTCCGGTGCAGTCAAATTCTGGAGCGGCACCTGTTGTCGCCGCCGGAGCAGCAGCTCCTGCCGTCTCTAGTCCCGGACTCAAGCCAGCTTTGTTCGACATGAAGCGCTCTGCCCAGGACGTTGTCTCCAATCCGCAAATCCTGCACCCAGTGCCGTTGAGAGTGACACCCATTGGTAAGGAAAATTATTATTGGGAGTCCTTTCGAAGGCAAACAGTTTTTCTGATTTATGCAATTGTTTCAATATTTTACCACGAAAACCAAAATTCCTTGGATTTTATTTTATTCTTTAATTATATTAAATCAAACATTTAGGCACTGCCATCGCTTCCTCCGCTGACTCATCTAACGACAACGAAAGCGTTGTGGTGCTGCGCGAGGACAGTCCCAAGGCCATCTCTTCGTCAACAGTCAACAATCAGTCATCTGGATCTGCTGTTCCAATGGGAGTATCGGGCTCCCATCGCGAGAGCAGCGATCTGCGTGCCATCCAACGGCCTCAGGCCAAAAAGCTGCCGGCCAAGAACAGTGCATTGCCACCGCCACCGCAACGTGAGCCAAGCATCGGATCTAGTGGGCCGAGTGAGCCGCCGGAGCCACAGGCTGCTTATGTCGTCTCATCTTTGGCATCCAAGAAGGAGCCACCACCATTGCCGCCGCCGAGGCCTCACCGCCATGCGCGAAGCAGCAGCCTGGACTTGAACAAGTTTAAAATGGGCACAACGGGTGGTGCCCAGCAGGCGGAGGTGAGTTATGGCCTATTGTCCGAAGATTTACTCAACTTGTGTATTTTAATATTATCTGTGTTGTACTATTGGCCCCGGTCATTACAGCCTTGCACGGGAGGATATGTCATAGATATGCAAATATCTTTCCCTCGCAACGCTTTTTAAATTTGAGATACGTGATTTCAGTCTCTCCATCCTTCTGTCCTTTCCAAAAACTATTTGTGGTTTACTCTTGCAAAGAATAAAAAAAACGTTGACGACGTGTTTTTGATTTCCGATCAAACCCAAAACTAAATGTATCGTCATACTTCTGATAGTAACAAATAAAAATACGATCCTTGCGAAGTCTTTGCAAGGGTATTTGAAACTTCGGTTAGTCGAAGTTGTGTACCTCTCTGCTACCTTTGTGTGCTGTACTTTTTAACTACCTATAACCTGTGAAATGTATATAAAATATGCAACCCCACTCTTTGTTAAGATCACCGCGCAGGCCAGCTTCGATATGCAAACCTCAACGGGTTTTGCCGATTTCACGCACTTTGCCGACGAAGGCGCCGCGAACGTCGTAAGTCCAATCCTTAATGTATGCAACTCGTAAAGCATTCCACCCAAATTGGCCGTAGCTCCATTAGTGTCTTGTGTCCAAATTCAGTAGCTTAACAAAGTAATACACCCACCAGCCATTCAATCTGACTAATCTGCGGCTAACTTGTAGGTGGACGAGCAGCAGCTACACTCTTTGCCGCCGGCAGCACCGCCTCCACAGGCTGCAGTTGTGCCTCCTACGAGAATTACCCTTCAGCAGGCTCAGCAGCGCGTTTCCGCCTTCGAGGTCTATCGGAAGCCACACACACCTCGCGGATCGCAATCTCCGCCCCAGCAGCCACCACCGCCGGCTCCAGCTGTGGGAGCTGGGGTCACCCAACCCGGTCAGCTGCCCAGTGCCGATAGCTTCGAAAAGCGGGTGACTGCCATTAGCGATTCGTTGCGCCACGTGTCCTTCAAACAGGGTCAGGCCAACACCACGGAGGTGCTGCAACGACTGCGCGAGCAGAACAACTCGCTGCTCCATCTCTGCAACGATTTAAGCGACGAGCTATTAAGCGTCCAGACGCGCAAGGAGGAAATGCGACTGAAGTTGGAGGGACTGGCCGCAGGTGATGCAACTGGGCGGACGAGCTCCTCGATATCCGCCCCGGTGACAGCGAATGTGACCGGTGGATCGTCTGGTTCGGCAGGACCTTCTTACACCAATGTTTAAGCAGCGATAAAAAATCATGTTTACTAGGGTGAATCGATTTGTTCGGCAAGAAGTAGAGACAATTTTTTTTTGCGTTCTCTCTTTGCCAAAATCTAACATTCCTTCTTAGGTGTTAAAAATGTTTTTGTTCTTTTATTTTTAAATTGCGCATTGGACGGCATTATTTATTTTTCCCCCAAATTTCATAAGACAAAAAAAGAAAGTTCACGAAACCTAATTGAATAATTAGTACAATTTTTGTAAATGTATACATTTTTCTTTCCAAAAAGAATTGGTCACGTTTGCTAAGAGATCAAGATGTTTTAGGCAGTGTTGAATCTTGTTTTTGCACTCTAACAAATCGATCCACCCTAATTGTTTAACAATTATTTTGTTGTTTATGTATGTTGCAAGCACAATTAACTAATTGGAGTATTTAACCAGTGATAAGACTGAGCAAACATTTAAGCTTCTGACCGAAATTTTCGTCAAAACCGCTTTTTCTTGTGAAAATGCGAAAAGTATGTGGGCAAACAAACCACAAGATCTGCCAACCTCAGCATTCTCGGTTTTAAAGATGTTTACTCAAAAGTTTGTTTAGTCTGTGACTGGCGTAAATACCCCAGATGAAGCTGGTACCGCGTCCGTTTATGCATTGAAGTTGCTAATTTAATTTGTAGGCTAGTTAAATCTCAAGAACACAAACAAATCATGCGAGAACAACAACAATAATGCCGCCTCTATAGATATTTATGCAGATCGATATATATATATATAAATATGTATATGTATATTTAGAGATATATGTATATGCGCTTCTCCTAATTGTTACGAGTAAATGACACACAGTTCTTTCGCTTGACAGCCACCCGTATCTCACCCTCACCCTAGTGATTAATGAAACTGCCACAAAGTGGTCCAATCCCAGCTGTAATATTTCCTGCTGCGAAGGCATTTTACTTTCCAATTTGCTATTTATTAATTATTAATTTGTGTATGCCTCTAAAATGTCCCCTTCTATTCATTCCGGCAATGAAAACTAACAAAGAAAACAAAAAGAATCACAAAATCGAACCTAAAAAAAAAATAAAAAGCCAGGCTTAATGTTTAAGTATTAGTAAAAAGTAAAAAAAAATTCATTTCCTTGAAAGCTTAGCTTAGGTTTTTCAAAAAAAGTATATACATATTAATATATTTTCTATCTGTATAGTGTACACAAAAACACAAACTACTTGATATTATGTAAATTTACCAAAACTTCTTTCTACGACTAACGAAGAGGAAACAAGATTGAAACAGGAGACAAATTTAATTTACCCGGACCACTAAATGTGTACGTATATGCTAACTTCGAATTTATCAGATATACCGGCATATATCACTTCTTTTGCATACTTAAACCACTAGATGTATGAGTTTTTCTTCGACTTGTTAAACATTTTCAATGATCTACCACACACAATCACACACGAAAAACGAAACAAACAAAATGTAATGAAAAGTAAAAGTGATATTGAAACACTATGTAAACATATTATTACGTGGCTGCGTAATCAATGTGTATTGTTTTGATGGATATACATCTCTATGAATAAAGATAAATGTATTAAGTTGATGTTAAAATGCTAAAGAGAATGCAATAAAAAAGAAAGTGCAACGGAAGTTTCTTTTGATTTTGAAAGAAGCGCTTGCAATGGCGTTCATCCCTGGCGCCATGAAGCGCCGATAACAGACGCTGGCAGTAATCGATTACTTTAGCATACGCCGCTACACATCTCTAGGGCTTTGCGGCATTGGGCAAAAAATTTGCGAAAATTTGTGAGTTTACAAGGAAAGCCATTAAATGGTGTAGCTTCGCAAAGCAATCGAATAATTGCTGTAGGCCGGCGTTTCCAGAATATCTGGCTGGGTGCATTTCGCAGGAGAAACTGAGGGGAAGTCAACTGCTGCATATTGATAGGGCAGGTTGGTGAGAGTCGTTGTTGGGCATAAAAACTTGCGAAATTAATGTGTACCCCTACGATTTTATACTCTGCCACCTGCAGTCAGCCGATGTGTCAATGTTAATCGCGCTTTTCGCGCTTGCACATTTGCCAATCTTTCGTAAGACGCCGCCCCCAGCAGCCCCCTCTCCGTCTGTCCCTCAGTCGCCAAGGTGTGGCAGAGCGTTCCATCTACCGCCAGCAGACGTCGGCATCCGTTCTTCGGTTAACGAAAAAGCATCCGGGATGAGCAGCAGCGCCGACCAGGAAAAGCCGATAGCCGCGAATGGCAATGCGGTGGATACCCAAGATGTGGAGATCATGTGTGTACTTTTTGTTATTTATTATATCATCCTAGGTGACAACGTGCTTGATTTTCTTCCAGCAACTTCCTGCAGCACGAGAAGCAGTGCTGCCGCGCCATTAGGACTAATCAGACAAAGGTCCTCACTTCCGGCGGCGGCCACACACGCGGCTCCTCCAAGGTCAAGCTTAAGAACATCGTCGACTACAAGTGGGAACGCAAGTACTACTATCCGGGTCACCTGGTGGCCGTCCACCGCGATGGCAAGCACTTGGCCTACGCCATTAATGGTAAGCTTTTTAATTCCCAAATGAATTATTTTTACGTATTAATATTTAATTGGCCAAACAAAACGCTGTTCCTGTCTATAGAATTGGTTAAAGTAGTTAATTGTCATTTTTAATCAAATTCAAAATGGTTGCCAAAATTAAAAAATCTTGTTAAATATTTTATTTTGCATTTAATGTTATTAAAAAAAAAATTAATTAACTAAAAATTTAAATACTTTTTGAATCGTACCCACTTGCCTAATTACACCCAATTAAAAGAAACTGAAATTGTATTTACAGTCAATAATAAGGCCACCGGAATGGAGGGTATGGTGCGCGTATGCAACATTAGTACCAGTATGCGGGCCCTAATCAAGGGGATGAGCGGAGAGGTCTTGGATCTGCAGTTCGCCCACACTGACCGAGAGCGCATTCTGGCTGTGATCGATGTCAGCTCCCTGTTTGTCTACAAAGTCGATCAACTCGAGGGCAATCTTCTGTGCAATCTTGTGCTGAAGGTAGAGGACCCTATTGCCAACTATGTTCCGGAGTACGACATGGTCTCCTGGTGTCCCTATGTTTGTAATAGCAACTCCGCTGTTCCGATCAACGACGAGGACGATGAGAATCAGCTGCTTATTTGGTCGCGCAGCTCTCAGTTCCAGTGCTTCCACGTCAAAATGATTGTCTCTGAGCATGGGGTGCGTTTGGCTTTTTATTTTTAAGTAATTGAATTTTATAATAGTTTATTTACCTAAACAGCGTGGTAAGATTGAACCGGCTGCTCTGGAGACTGGCTATTTGAAGATCGAAGAAGACTCGCTAATCACCTGCGCCGCTTTGTCCCCGGACGGTACTACTGTAGCTGCAGCCTGCGCCGATGGTTTGGTTCGCTTTTACCAAATCTATTTCTTTGATGTGCGCAACCATCGTTGTCTGCACGAGTGGAAGCCGCACGATGGCAAGAAGGTGTGCTCCCTATTTTTCCTGGACAATATCAACAAGCCAATAGAAGAGTAAGTAACTTTAATTACTTTTATTGTTGGCCATTTATTAAAAGATTTCTTAAGTATTGAAATATGTAAATAAAGTAATATAAAGTAAAGTTTTTTTTTTCAATCACGAATCAATTTTTTGCATCATAAATAGGTGGCCACTTATTACATTCTAGGCTCTTTTCAGCGGTTATTTAATAAACGTTTCTTTTTTTTTTCATAAGTTCCTACTGGCAACATGTGATCACTACGAGCGATGCCAACACCGAAATCAAGCTGTGGAACTGTTCGCTGTGGGAATGCCTGCAGACTATTAACGTGGTGTCAAGTAATCCGTCATCAGGGCAACATGGAAACTTCATCGCCGGCATTGATCGCAGTGCCAATTATTTGGTGCTGTCCTGTTTGGAATCACGAGCCGTATATGTGTTGCAGATCAGCACCGTTGCCAGTGAAGAGTTAGCAGATAGCCAGCCCGATAGCGACGGAGAAGGAAGCGACAACTCCAAACGCATTTTGAATGTAGCCGAATTTAGGCTAAGCTCGGGAATCCTATCATTCTCTATTGTAAACGCCAGTATGCGCCGGGTGAAGAGCTCCATCGAAAGCTACTATTCTATCGAAGAGCCCGATGACTTCGACGACGACAGCAACTCAACCAGTGCGCTTGTGCTGCACATGTTTGTGGTGCAGGCAAAGAGCCTCCAGGAGTGCCATATCATTTACCAACCCTGCGTTGCGGCGCCCGAAAAGACAGAACGCCGTAGTCTGAGTAGCAAGCGATCAGAGACACCGGAGGACAACCTGCTGATCAAGCAGGAGCCTGAATCTCCCAACAGCGGAACATCGGGCACTGTCCAGCTGGATGCTCTGTTTGCCAAATCAACAAAGAGATCCTCCACGGGCAGCTCATCTGCCATCGTGGCTGTTGCGGCAGCAGCAGCTGCTGCTCCTTCGGTCATCCTGCAGGACGCCGCCAAGGAGGCCAGCAAGTCAGAGTCACCTCAACTTGGCAGCTCCTATCCACAGGTGAATCTCATGACCCCAGATGCCTTCAGTGCAAGCGGAACCTCGACGGCAACAGCAGTGGTGGTGGCCTCCAGCACCACGACAACTACAGGAACGGATAGCTCTACGTCGGGCAGCGGAAACAATAGGTCCATTGATTCGGCAGTTCTGCAAACGCTGCGCATGCTGGCCACCGTAACGTCCAAGACATCGGAAAATCCCAACGCGGAGGTCCTTGTTAACCTAATGAACAACACACTTATCGAGGACAGGGAGCAGCAGAAGCTGAAGGAAAAGCTGGACGCTCGCAAAAAGTTCGTTGCTATTGACCGAAATCCCGAGCGTAATGTGGCTGAGAACTTGGCAAGTGGCGGTTCTAGTCCGAGTCGTGAGGTACAGGAGATAATGGCTACTCAGGAGGACGACGATGTCTATGAGACGGAGCTTGATGCCTATGAGGCCGAGCTTGAGAATGAGGAGGAAGAACTGGCCAACTCATCGCCCCTGTTGGAGGCAGTTGATGGAACCTGGCCCATTGTTAAGTTGCCACCCCTCAAAAACTCAGCTGCGCTTCAGAATGCTGCCCAGATTATGTCGCAAGCGGTGCAGAATACCAACAATGGCAATGTGCCTCCCACTCTTGGTGGCGGTAACAACAACAACACTAGTGTGGGCAGCAATAGCAACAACAACACGGCCACAACGCTGAACACAAGCAACAGCAGCAGCAAAAACAACGCAGGCGGATCGGGCGATGATTCCAATGGGAACGGAGAGCTGAATGCCAAGATAGAACTGCTACTAGGTAAGGTTTTTTTTATTTTTATTTTCAATTTGAACGCGATGACTAATTCCTTTAAAAAAGATATGTACTCAAATTGTTTACCTTTTAATAATACAAGAATAGCCATTATACAATTTTAAAATATTAATCATTAATATTTTGAATAATGTAATGAGCTTAAGTGGTTTATTAATGACCTTTACTTTTTTCAGATCTTGTTAAGGCTCAATCCAAGCAATTAAACAAACTGGAGCACGAGGTTACCAAGCTACAAAAGCAGCAAGAGACGGTGGTCGCCCAGCAATCCAAACCTGATGCTTCCTTGGATGCGAAAAATGTCAACCAGCTGGCATATAAAATCGAGATGCAGCTGTCCAAGCTGATGGAGCAGTACCTCAAACGCTACGAAAACGAACACAAGAGGAAATTAACCGAATTCCTGGCTGCACGGTAAGTAAAGGGACTACTTTTAACTACTATTGTCTAAGTTCAAACAATTGCCTTTCACAGTGACGGTTTAAATCGGGATCTGCGCGACTCTGTGCTTCAAGTGCTGAATCAGTACGTGATGAATCATTTTACAGACATTATAGGCAACGTTTTAAATATGGAACTGCAACGACAACTGCTCCCGCGGGTTAATGCCAAGATGGACCAACTTCAAGCCCAAATGCAAGTGGAAATTGTGCAGAAGTTGAGTGTTTTCGATAAGACGGTCAAAGAGAATATCGCCCAGGTCTGCAAAAGCAAGGTATTCATTTTTAAAAACATCGCAAAGACATTTTCTTACTAACTTTGTATAAACAATTAGCAATTTTTGGATACCTTTGGCAAGTCGGTTTTGATTGGTGTCCAAGCCAGCCTCCAGACCGCCTTTATAGAATCTATGAGCAGCACTTTGATTCCAGCCTATGAGAAGTCCTCGCAGAACATGTTTAAACAGCTTCATGAAGCCTTTAGCGTGGGCATTAAGGACTGTAAGTATAAAACATTAGCAAGTAACTTTTAAAGGTTTATTCAAAAAAATCATTATTTAAAAATATTATTGGTTTTGAAACTTCTCATTAGTAAACATATATTTTAAATTGTTATTTTTTGTTTTAGTCATGGTCCAGTTTAACACCTACCTGCAGCATATGCCCCAACCTCAAGCGGCGGGCGCCAACTCCGAGGAGCTGAACAGCAAGCTGACCATGCTTAAGCAGCTGGTTGAAAGCAGCCTCCATAAGCATCGCACTGAACTCACGGACGCCATGCTGGAGACACAAAGGGAGGTGAAGAGCTTGGAGATTTTGCTGGCGCGCCAGGTACAGGAAACGATCCGAACAGAGCTTCGCAAGCACATGGAGACTCAGAACATGGCAATGCGCTCGCAGGCTGCCACGCCGGCACCACCATACGACCTCAAGGACAGCATCAAGCAACTCTTACTAGCTGGACAGATCAACAAGGCGTTCCATCAGGCTCTGCTGGCCAACGACTTGAGTCTTGTTGAGTTCACCCTCAGGCACACAGACAGCAACCAGGCCTTCACTCCCGAGGGATGCAGGCTGGAACAGAAGGTTCTGCTGTCTCTCATTCAGCAGATATCCGCTGACATGACCAATCATAATGAGCTTAAGCAGAGGTAAGTTATTTTATTCTGAATTCTGTGAATTTAAATTTTCTGATATTAATTTCGCTGTTAATTTTCAGGTACCTTAATGAGGCTTTGCTGGCCATCAACATGGCAGATCCCATTACCCGCGAGCATGCGCCCAAAGTGCTCTCCGAGCTGTATCGTAATTGCCAGCAGTTCATCAAGAACAATCCCAAGAACTCGCAATTCAGCAACGTCCGCCTGCTGATGAAGGCAAGCATCACGTACCGCGACCAGTTAAAATGATATCAAGAGAACTACAACCTGGCCAGCGGCTGGTACTGATAGAGAACCCATCCGACCCTGTCCCGGCATCGATCCCAATCCCAGATAGTTAATCTAGGACCACATACACAGATTGATACATACACGCTTGTAGTTAAGTCCAGAAAGCAGTTCATCCCTGCTAAAAAGCTCTCAGCCAAGATCATTCTCAAAGAGTTGAAAATTAATCTATGCCTTTCATTTTATTGTTTTTATGTTTTGTGCGTGTTTTGTTTTAAGTAAGGCAAATGTTCATGTCGCTATATTGAAAATGTATTATCCTTAGAAAGATTATCCTACTAAATGGCAATATTGTTTTTCATAATTTAATTTTTGCACCGATCTGCGAGCAGTTCGACTGTGCTGCCTTTTTAGTTTCGTTCTTTTTTATATTCTTTTTTAAAATTATGACGCTTACTGAAAAAAATAACAAAAACACTGAGCTGTAAAAACTTATTTAAAAAATGATTTTCAAAACAATAGAAGATTTCGATTATGACGAACAACACAAACACATTTATGATGATTGCAAATGCAAAAACTACAAGTAAATCGTAGGTAATAAGTTAAAAACGAAATAAGTAAAAAAAAAACTAAAATTTATAATTAAAAAAAAAAATAAATGTATGTACTTGAAAAACTCCACAAACAGTTTTTGTTGTAGTCTCGTGCTTACATTCCCTCGGTTCAATATGCGGCTTGCTTAGCTGATAAATGGTCATATATTTCTTAATGGTATGCAAATCGTACAAAAATCTTTTGCTTAACGACTAAAAAACACCTAATTATGTTGATATCCACAGACATGAAAAAAAGTTTAGCATTTTTAGAGCTGAGAGGACCACTCAACAGTCAAGATCCAGATCAGCTGAGCAAGGCTAGAAGTTCCGATGTGCGCTCCAAGCACTTGCATCCACAAGTAGCACAAACTTCGTGTTTCTGGAAGAAATTAAAGAACACGTACGTGTAAGCAAAAATTTTATCTCTACTGTATTTCCGTAAATTTTCATATTTTATTGTTCATATATGTAAGACTGAGATCTCTGATTTCGCAAAGTTGTTTTACTAAATTAAGAACTTTAAATTGTTTAATAAATGTGGAGATTTGTTTTGCCGTTTCTGGGAAGAATTTTGAGAATATTTACAAAAGTTTCCTTTTTGGGAGAAAATGCTAATGTTAGAATTAAAATATTTCCTTATTGTTTCTTAGGTAAAAATAAATGTACCTAAAAATTGAACTTTTTTTTTTGCAAAAAAGATTAAAGCTTACAAAAATTAATAGCAAATTTCAGAAAGGGTACGCACCTCAAACCACTGCATCATGTGGTTCATATGACCGCCATGACCACAAGCTAGGCAGGCGTTGGCTGCTCCTTTTACGGGCAAACGGCACAGCACACAGAAGAGTACGGGTCGCTTGCAGGGCTCGCATTTCGGCGTCCTCTTGGGCTTGGCACACGTACCGCACTCTGTTACGAACTCCACACCCTGGACAGGAGGTGGCATGTTCTGAGTATGCTTGAGAATCAAAGCCCGCTTCGAAAGCAACTGCCAACCAAACAAAACTTCGGCGTAGGCACGCTTGAACTGATCGAACAGTGGCATCTTGGCGCGTCGAATTAAAGAACAAGCGTAAGAATCCGACTGGTTGTGCTTCACCTCCAAATCCAAAGAATCCGACCATGAGTTGCTACGTAGTTGCTTCAGCTGCTGCCAAGTGTTGGATGAAGACGAAGATTTGACGTCGAGTGGTAGCACCGTATGATACGGGGAAATCTGAGAGCTCAGTTGCGGCGGAAGACGACTGGCCACCTCCATGATAGCACTTCCGCCTGTGGGACATTTGTCAAACAAACAAACCAGCAGGACAGCAGTCTGTATGTCACCGGAACTGGCATAATGCATAATCAGAGATTCCAGCAGGCATTTCTTAAAGGGATCCTTGTAAAACAACAACTCATTAAGCGTCTCATGCGGGACTTGTGGTGTGGCTATAAGTTCAGCCAAGAGCCACACGGGCACCAAATCCGCACGCCCATGCTGGCGACAGATCTCTCCATTTTTGCGACACGTCTCCGCTATGTTGTGCTTGTCCAGCGAGAACTCCCTGGCCATGCTGCGACTGATGTGGAGAAGACTACTTGTGTCGTATACGTGAACTACCGGACTTCCATTCATCTGCCGGATGGCTCGCTGTTTGCCAGGTTTCCCTGAAATCATCCTCTCCTGGAGATAGAATGAGGCATTTGCATCCCGCTGAGCAGTGGCCATCACATTGCCCAGCAAACCACTACCATTAATAGCCGAGAAAGTCCTCGGAGTTAAGGCTGTGTGCTGCCGCAAGGTTAGCCGTTTGTTGTTCACCGGCTGAGCGAATGTGGTCAGCATACCAATGGCGTTGAAGTGCACCCCCGACGTTCGTGGGTATGGAATGCAGGCATCGTGCAGGGTGCTGGACAGAGCTCCTTCCAACCGAGGGGATTGCAGAAGCAACTGGCTTCTATCCGCTCCACCAACAGCTGCCACCTTTTTCTTCATGGCCGCCACCAGGGCGCGTAGACATTGCTCCAAGCACGTTCGTGATTTCTTGACGCGCTGCAGGGCATTGCAACGGAGCACCTTTAGCAGTACTCCACTCACCTCGCTGGGCAGCGTGGTGCCTTGGCAAAGCTGGAAGTCTGGCGGAGCACTGGGACTAGGATACGAAGTTGCGAAGGTCACCTGCAGAATAACTGTGTGTCCACCGGCGCAAATCTTGAAACAGGCATACCGCTTGATGGCATCCAACGTGTCCACCTCCACATGAGGCATGTTCGTGTTGAGTAGCGAGAACTCGTGGTGCAAAGAACACGTGGGCTGATCTGTCAGAGATCTGGCGATATGGGGCTCCTCTCGGCGATAATAACCACCTCCAAAGCTGGGAGAGCGTGCCATGGGCAACGTGTTGCAAGCTCCGTCACCCGTAGAAATTGGCAAAGAAGCTGCCACCAAAATGGAACGTGGATGAAGGAACTCCGGCGGAGTTGGAACTCGTAGTTCACTAAAGTCTGGTTCAAAGCGAGATTCCTCTTCCTCTGCCGAAGGCTCGCACAGCTTCAGCATATTATCGTCGATTTTCCACACCCTCAGTGTGCGATCTCTTGACCAGGTCACCAGTTCCTAAAGAAAGTCAACACATTAAGTGGGAACACAATGGTTTCCTCAAAGAACTTACTATTTCCGTGGAACTCTCTCGATTTGGACGCCAAGCAAAGTCCAGAATGACATCAGTGTGACCCACAAAGGAGCAAATGGGATCCGTTTGCTTGCTGTTGCTCCAGAGCAGCAAGCTGTTCTCGCCACGACCCAAATGAGGCACCACAATGCTAACCAGACCGTTACCAATGGGCTACGTTAAGAAATTCATCATTATTCGCGTCTTTTAAAACTCTTTATGTTATAAATTACCGTGTATCTAGCTCTCCACACGGGTGACATAGTAGTGATGATCTTCTCGGCCCTGCGAGGATTGCACACATCGAAGTACTTAACCGTTCCATCCTGACTAGCGGTGGCCAAACAGGTTTCCCTTTTGTGGCTCCAGTTGATGCCGTGAACTCGATTTAAATGTGCTGTGATGTAGTGCGTGGGGCAGCTGCCCTTACGCATGTCCCAGATCCGCAAATCTCCATCGTGAGCGGCAGCCAAAAGGTTGCCCGAAACGCGATTGAAGCCCACTTGGGTGGCACCAGCTAGGGAACAGCGAAAATTAAATGTAATTCTCGCAATTTTGGTCATTTTACTTACACATGCAGACTGCATTTAAGGACACCGATGGTTTTCGCGGTTCCCTTAAGTCCCAGATGTGCGAGAAGGTGTCTATGGAGCAACTGACCAGCAGGTTGGGATCCTTGCCATGCCAGTCGATGTCGGTCACTGTGCGCGTGTGTCCCCGCAAGGACATCTCGTAGTGGGGTTCTGCAGTTCCCCAACGCACAATGTCTATGTGCTGACTGGTCTGGAATTCAAAAGAGAATATTGGCTTTAGTGATCAGACCTATTAATTACCACCTGTAACCCCTTACCGCTATGGCGCAGTACTCTTTTCGACTGGGACATATGGCAAATTCCGCCACAGAGACCTCGTACTTCGACTGGCGTTCGTGGCGTCGCAGGGATCCATCATCCTGTCCCAATCGTTGCAACGCCAAGTGGCCGCGACCGGCAAGGAGCACCCATTGGCCAGTGTAGTCAACCGACATGGCAGTAGACTGGAAATCACGGTGTTCATAGTATTTGTTGCTCTGCCTGATGATGTAGGTTTGTTCAGGTCCTCCTGTTCCTGTCCCTGAACCTCCGGCTCCTCCGCGTTCCCCTGGACGCAGGGTCTCCGTGGGTGGCATGATGTCTACTACTATGGGTACTTAAAAAGGTAAAAACTACAAATTTAATCCATTTTTGTAACAGAAAAAACGAAGAAACTAAACTGATAAGAACGATGGACAATAACAAACATCGATAACATAAGTGTGACCGTCGCAGTGCAGGAAATGCAACGGGGATGGCAACTTTTTATTTATCGCTTATCAGTTTTTGAATTGGGCGTTCACAAAGATTTAAATTGGCTCTTGAAGTTTTCTTGCTAAATGCAATTTTTCCTTTAATTTTACCCTAAGCAATAAGGGTTTTTTTTTTTTAAACATATTAAAAAATATACCCCTTTAAGAGAATAATGCGAAATACATAAACATTTGTTTAATTGTTTCAATATTTATTATTAATTCGTCAATCACCAATAAATATTCCTAATTATGAAAATTATAGAAAAACAGGTATGTCAAAAATGATTCTAAAAATATGGAACATTTTAAAATTTGTCATTGAATGTTAATACAATTTCTTCTTAAGAGAGAGGTTCTTAATTGACTTATTTATTATGGTAAACTAGTTTAATTATTTTTCAGTCGGAAACAAATTTTTGTAAGTTTTGAAAACTAAGCGGAAGGAAGGTTTGCATTTGACTGAAAATTAAAGCCTAAGTGAATTATATGTAAAAGCCTCAATGTTATCTATATATAAGACATACATTTCGCATACAAGTATTTATTTATAAGTTCGCTAACTCCCTCGCTATCAGTAATAGTTTATCATTTATTTTACACACACAAAGTATTTTCACGGATATTACGATTATTAGTTTTGTTATTTTTTTTCAGTTTATTGTCCTCTAATTTAATGGGAGATAAACAAATTCAGCTACTCTACCGTGACTATATAGGTGCATAAGACTGGGAACCCCTTACGGCAAAAGCTAAAACTGCATTAATATTTATACAAACATTCGGCTATTTCATAGAAATAAACTAGTTTTTTTTTGGGCTAAGGCTACGTTAATGGGTTTCAAGTCTTTGACGTCAGAATACCCCATCTCCGGAAAGAATCCTATCCGCTTTATCTGTGGCAATAGCAGAACATCTTGAGGGCCGGATCATTGAGGCAGTAGCTCTGGCTTCCATACAGATTTAACCGGCTAATTGTGCCCGTAAGTACGGTCGTGTAGCCCGTCATTCGCACCGTGGACTCAAAGACACCCAGTCCGGGTTTCGTTTGCAGCCGGAGTGTGATGTCCACCGCGTAGTCCGTGGAAATGTTCTTCACGATCTTCGAGTGTGGAGCGGCAATCAGTGCTTGCAATATGGAGTTCAGGTAGAGGGTCCTGCACTGCGAGCTGTCCTTCAGTCGACTGTTGATCAGGCGGACCAGATACCTCGCCGCCCGTTGCACTCGAGGATCGTTGGTCTGCAGCTCCTGGCGCTGATGGCACGTGCACCAGTGCGCTGCAATCCCCGCCTGCTCGCAGGTCCTCGCCGCCGGAATGGGCAGAAATAAACTGATGCCCCTGGGCAACGTGCTGTCCGGTTCCTCAAGCTCTATTGATCTCCGCAGCAACTGATCTGCCTCCAAGTTTCGTAGATTTAACAGCTGTATCATCGTTGCATGAACATCAAAGGGGGTGGTTAATCGACGGGCATTCAACCTCAGGTTGGCAATGGCTTCGGGATAGCGTTCGTTCATCCACGGTGGGTACAACACCATCATCAAAGGCTGTCGCTCCTCCATCATTCCTTGGTAGGTCCTTCGAAAGGAACCCCATCGTAAACCGTGATCTGATAACAGCATCACCACCGTTCGATTGAGCACACCGGAATCTTGCAACTGCGTTAATTGTGTTAACATGGCTTGATCCAATAAGGAGGGAAAATTAAAATAATCATGGGTGAGGGCCACCGTCCAGAAAAAGGAGAAGAACAGATCCCTGCTCATTTTGGGAACAAGTTTCCCCAGGTATTCTAAAAGCACGTCCGCAGTCCTTCGGCTTCCCATGCACAAATGCATATTTAGATCCTTTTTAAAGGCCAAGGACTTCTCCATCTCCATGATCATGGGTCGCAAATAGTAATCTGTTGGCTGCTTCTTAAACCCATTTTGATTGTAATTGAAAGCAGAGAGCAGTGCCACATCCTCAGCGAAAATGGAGCGATATCCAAGTTGCTGATAGCGTTTCCAAATGAAAGAACATCTGTCATACGATCTCATTGTCTTTGGCGTGCAGGCAAGATTGAGTTCCTGGTCATCCAAGCCACTTAGCAAAGGAACTATATTAGGGAAGGTGTTGTCCCCAACCTTATTATAACCCCATAGTTCCACGTGGGACAAATGTTTCCTAATATAGTTCGCTGTGCGGCGCATTTGACGCAGGAAATTCAGATGCGATAGGCTGTCCATGCCCAAAATCATCACAGAAAGGCGTTCCTGCTCCTCCTTGCTCTTATTAAAACTGACTCTATCCGAACCGGCTTTCAAGGGCGGTCTAACCCGCGGTTTTTCCACAGCAAAAAAGTGACAGTCTTTGTAGAAAAGTTTGTCCGAGGAGTCGTAGCACCACATGCAAATGAACTCCGAACTGAGAGGCAGTTGCATCACTTTTTCCAGCTTGAAATTTCCACCCGGAGTGTAGGTATTACTGGAGTCGGTCTTCCGCTTTACCTCCGTGAAATTGCAATGAACGGTGGACAGGTCACTGATGTTGTAGTAGGTTAAGAGCTCGCTGGCATCCAAATTGAGGTGGAGTTCGCCGGGAGCCGTGTCACTGGTCCGAATCAAGGCTCTATTGCAACTATACGAACGTGGCTTGAACATAAACTGGGCAATTGTGTCATCGGTGACCTCAAAGTGCGGCATCCGGCATCCTGCCGTGTCCACGAAATAGGCCGTGGTCACGTTCCCGCCGTAATGGTCCTCGATTCGGGCCATGAAATCAAAGCCATCCCGGAAGCGGAGCAACTTTGTCCTGAGATTGTAGTCCACGCACAGGTAGGAAAATATGCAGAGGCAGAAGATCACAATCACTACCTTTTTGAATTGTCCGCGGCTCTTGTTCATGTTGTAGTAGCGATAGTATTGCTGCAGGTCCCTCTTGGTCATAAACTTAGGATCCAGCAGGTATTTGCTTCTGTGGAATATTAAAAAAAAGAAACAAGTCAGTGAATGATTTAATTTGTATTTTTGACAGGAAAAACAAAGAGGAAGTGATCGAGATTGTGATGTCAAATATTATTTCTTTCATTGAAATATATTTAATAATTTATTTATTTGATACCATGAAACATAATCCCTTTATACTTATATGTAATCAATTAAAGTAATTTCATAACTTTGCCATTATTGTATAACTTAGTTCAGTTCATTGCCTTTTGTAATTACTTGAACTTCTTTCATTATCCGCTGACCTTTCTATGAATACCGCAAACTTCTGGCAGGTTCATTGTGTTCTCTATAGAGCTTAACAGTTTTTTATTCCGACAGCCATTAATTAAGGCAACAAACAATATAATGAATGCCCGAGACGAGAGAGAGGCGTTCCGAGTGGCCACTCAGCCGAAAGTCCTTAATCCGCTGCCCACCTAGACCATTCTCAACCCACTTTTGGGACCTCCTCTACCACCCCACCACATTCTCCAGAAGTTGGATTCCTCAGTCAAGAATTACCGGGGAACGTGACGCTGTCAATGTATTCCAATTTAAGCATGGACCAACTCATGAATATGCACCCGAGGCAGGCCCAATGAAGTAGGCAATACAAAGTGAACAAACAATGCGCTGTTGCAGTGTAAGAATGGTAAGAAGCACTGAGCAAAAAAGTATGATAAAACACTGCGAAAAAAGGTGCCAGTGAGGGTAGGTTAGTTAAACTAACCAAAGATATCAATGACACTTAATGGTTAGATTAACTAATTATGGTAAAACAATATTAAATTAAAATATGCATGCCTTTCCGATAAAAACTATAACTTTATCTAAGAAATAAAATTTTAAATTGAACCAATACCTAATGCAAATTTAAAGATTTTGAAATGACCTCTTTAAGTCAGTCAGTGTCTTAAGGCAAAGTTTACTTTTGACCTTAACTTTTGAGCAGTGTAACCCATTTTTGCCGGTCCAGTTGAAATCCATTCAAAGGAATTTCCTTTCCAATCCATCCGATTGTGGACAAAAACAAATTTTCAATTGACACTTGGAATTGCATTTTACTCGAGTAAACACACGGAACGGGATGGCAGCGAATGGATAAAGCGGGGAAAGTGGGGAAAGCGGATAAGCGTTGAAATGGCATTCGGCTTGAAAGCTTCAAGCAAACAAGCGATGACACACAATGACACACCTGTCCTCTGAATTCCCCTTCCTTCCTTTTCTATCCATCACATACTTTTTAGGAATCCTTTGATGTATAAAAGAGGGGGATGGGGGGTTTGCCCAGTTCGGTACTTACTCATAGCTTAAATCGCCGTATTTTCGCATATCCTTCGCCGTGTAGTAGGTACGCATCTTGGCAAACACTTGCGAGTCCTGATGCGCCTTAAATCCTTAAGTTGGTCGCACTATCCCAGCCCCTGGATCCCCACTCCCCCCACTGCCTCAAGTCCTTGACATCCTGTTTGCTTTCTAGTTAGTCCGCCTTTTGTTTTGCTCTCCGTGCTCTGCTTATTTCGCTAATTGTTTGTGGGCCACATTTTATGCACTTTCGATACAACAATTTTCACACGACTGCACTCGCTCGGCTGTCTGCATATCCTTCTCTCTTTTCCGCCGTGTTTTCCCCAAGTTTCTGTTTCTGGTGTTGTTTTTGTTTGAGTTTTCAATTGCCACGCTTTCGCCAGCGAATTACTGCAGATTTATTTCCGTTTCAGTTGGCTCCTCATCGCGCACTGAGCTTCCGCAGGATTCGGAGGCTGCAGGCTCCCAGTTCGCAGCGTTACTGCCTCTCCGGCTCTCCCAGTGTTTTGACAGTCCCGTTACTCGGGTGGGTGGTTTGGGCGCAGGCGCGATGCCTCTACAGACGCGCCAGGGATGCTGTGACATGAGAAATTACACCCGGAGAAAGCAAAGAGTTGATGTAATATGAAATATAAACAGGGAGTCAACTAGTAGTTAAGGAAAGTAAAGATAAATGTATTTAAACATTTTCATTAAAAGCGTAGATTACTTAATTGTAAAAAATTTAAAGTATTTTTAATTACCCAATTTCTAAGGGTCCAAGAAAGCGAACACCACAGAATACTTAACTAATTAGCTGAATAATTTTATTTTTTTTTTTAAATTTTGTAGCTTATTGCTGAATTTAAAAACGACTCTTCGGATTAACTAATCGATCTGACATAGAATCATGCAGGGAATACATAGTATTAAAGGTTGGTACACATATTTGAAATGATCATAATATTTTTTCCTATTCAAAAATTAGAAACCAAAGCTCACAAAACTTATTAAGCCCTGCTCTCATTTTTTAAAGGATTTCAAGTATTTTTGTTGGTAATTTAAGTTAGACTCACTCTCGGAAAACCACGGGGTTCTGCACATACTTTTATTTATTTTTTTGTTGACTTGTTTTCTCTAGTTTATGGCCTATTTGCGGTGGTGAAATACGATTTGAATGCCAAAATGCACACACTGGGTAATTAATCGCTGGAATCCTTTTGCTTAGGAATGTTTTATGTCCAATGAACTCTGACTCGCCAATCTCCTGCTGTTTCTTTGAGAGGAAACTTTAACTTTGCTGTAAGCAGAAATAATTGAGCTTAATTTGAGAAATCATATAAACAATATGACAAAGTTTCCTGTTGGCTTTCACACTTCGCGAAAAATTATTAAAACAGGACAGTTGTTCCATTGGCGGTATACCAATTAGATATTCCCAATGAAGAAAGATATAGCAAGAGATATAGTCCCTTAGTTATATATATAAGCAGATTTTTTTCAAATGTACCTTTAGGTATTTATTTATAGATTGTCAATGTATTTTCAATGAATTTTTTAAACAAAACATTTTGGTTTCTTTTTTGTATTTATTGAAAGGTAAATAATGAGAATAAGCCGAGCAGATCCTTCCATTGAATCTGAGAGTTCTACGCCTTCATGCAAAATACTTAAGTCGGGACCAAACAGGACATTCATATAATATATGAAAAAATAAGAGGCCACATGCAGCGAGGAGTCAACCGAGTCAACCGAGTTCGTGGCCATCTCATCCCCGGCCCAGCCAGCCACTCATTTTTTGGCCTTAACGAGCAACAAGTCGATTCAAACCGGGCCAAAGGACTTTCGCATGCCGCTCATTAAACGGACCTACCGAAAAAGCGCAACAGGCTGCAACCAACACACATCCAACCACCCACCCACACACATAAAGCTCACATGTGTGTGTGTGTGTGCGTTAATAACTTGGCTGCAGGCAGGACATGGATTTTGATGTACAATAATTACAGGAACGACAAGGACGCCGAGTGTGGGCACCAATCGTAAGTCAAAGTATGAAAAAAGCATTTCACTGTTGGACCAGCTCTCCATCCCGATTAACAAGCATCTATAATGCTTCATTATTGTAAAAAAAAGCAACAAAATATAAAGGAGCAGCGACAAAAAAGCAAGCGAAAAGCAAAGGAATTGTGAGCTATAAAAGCATCGAGCGCATAAAGCCAACGCTTCAGTTGAATTTTCAAAAGTGTCGAACGCAGGACAGCATTGACATTAATTAGTTCCCCGCCCGCAGAGGAGCCACCAGCAGAATGCATCACCCACCTGGGCAGAAACCACTGCATGCTGCCAGGCGTCAATCGAGTGGCAGGAAAAGGACGAGTCGCCTTCCCAAAAACGAGTCCTGCTGCAATCCAACTAGTAGAACCCATCACCTGCCAGCCTTGTTGATTATCCTGCTCGTCCTCATCCAGAACTTTGAGCTGCACATGTGTCGGCAATTGATGAGGAATCCGGGCGACAAACGATCCCTGGACAAGCCCTTTACTATCGGAGGTAGTGCAGCAGGCGAGGTGGCAGGCAATCCGGCGGATGGCAAGCGGACGGAGGGCAGGTCGGCAGGTCCCAGTCAGCCGGAGGAGATTTTCAGTGCCCCGGCGGACGAAGGCTACGACGAGTATCCGGTAGGTGCAAATCCCCAAAAATAAAAATGTAGCACAAAATCCCTGCGTGGGTTGTCCTGGTCACTTGCCGCCTGCTTTTTTGAATCCCTATCACCTTACACACAATTTGTAATTGTATACTTTTCATTTGATTGCTTTTCGGCTTTGACCCCAAGCTACATTTCACTACGAAAGCCGACGAGCTGACGTCACATCACTTTGATTATGGCCAGGTGCATATCTCGTGTTGGTTCTAATGAGGGATGGGCTCTTCGGACCGTAGGTTGACCAAAACACTTCAGCTCGAAGTTAAAAGCTCTGAGGGGTCAGGGTAGATGCGTGGGTTGTTGGTTAGAGTTCCCTGTAAAATCATTTAACTAATTGAGAGGAAAGTTAGAATACTTTATTTTTAATAGAACAAAAGAAATTCATATGAATGAGCTCAGAAAAATATGTATTTTTAATTAATTACAATGTTCTACATAACACTTCGCAAATACTCAAAAACTCTGAAGTAGCAACTACAAATTTTTAAGGCATTTTTTTTACATTTGTTAAGTGTAAAAATAATTGTTATACTTTTTATTATTGGCTTTTTATTTTTTATTATAATATCCCATAATATCGTTACATCTCTTTTATTATATAGATGGTGGTTCCCAAGCGTGCTGCTTTACTTCTGGATCGACTTATGGTTGCCTTGCATCATGCCCTCGAACAAGAACGAAGTGAACAGCGAATTGGCGACTTCTTCGGGGACAAAAACGCTCTCAATGGCAAATTGGGGGAATACCACAACGGATTGGAGCCTCATCAAGTGAGGGAGGATGGTAAGATCGTTTATAAATACTACTTAATAGGTACAGTTAACCCAAGCACCATTCCAGGGATGTACAGCGATGATGATCCGGGAACAATGTTGGATTATGATTTCAAAGATTTGAATCAGATCAATCGCGCCACTGGCGAAACAGTAAGTTGGAACATAAAACCTAAATTGCAATATAAGACATAAAATTAGCAGCGCGATGTGTAAGAAAATTTCAGTTAATGCCAAAGAGCTTTCAGAGAAGAGCGGGCGTCGATCGATCTGGAACATCCCAATTATCCGGTTCCAATTCCGGTTCCGGTTCCGCAACTGGTCCCCGGCGTATCCAGCCATCCGGATCTGGTTCCGGCGGTGGCCGAGCCTACTGGCGTTGCTATTTCAATGCCGTCAGCTGCTTCTAAGAAAAAATAAACAAAAGATAACATAAAGTCCTGCAAAATATTCACCTCTGGAAAAACCAGCAAAGTATAAAGTCCCAACTGATCGTCGATAGAGGTGTTTTCAAAAACATTTTCACGTTCCTTTGGCTGCCGATGTGAGAGTTGTTCGCGCCATTAACTGAAATCCCCGAGCTCTGCAATTGTATCTAGCGGTATCTGTATCTAGTATCTGTATCTGTTAATGTATCTGTGCACTTGTAACTCACTGTGAATCTGCGTTATAAATAAACCACCAACGATAAGTCCAACGGCATTCATAAATAAATTAATTCAAACCCCCATACTCGGTACGCGAGTATAAATTCTGTATATTTGAGGGTAATTTCGGGTAGACAGGTAATCCTACCTAACCAACCTAATGCTGATTGACATAGCCATAAATCGCGAATCCGATTCCGAGCAAGTCCATCGCACGACCTCAGCGCGTGTCCCATTGCGATCTATTTTCGGTGGCAAATTGTGGGCGTGATCCAAGCGGAAGTAGTAGCTTTTATCGATATCTGGCGATATTTGGGTCTTTATCTATTTCATTGCCAAGGATGATGAGTGGAGTGCACTATTTCTCTGATTTATCTAAACAGCTAGTGGTGTAATTTTAATTATGTACGTATACGTAATATTTTATTAAAAGGGTGTAGTATCTAATAAGGCAATGTTAAACCAGTCCATTTGCTCAGCATAGAATTTCATTGTTATAATTTAATTTTGATTAAACCAGCAGAAACTACTAATACTATTTATTATACCTGTATGAAACAAAAATTAATATTTAATGCCTATGCACTTAACCTTTAAAAGAAAATTGGGTAAATTTTATTTAAAGTAATAGATATGTTCCTGTAAGGTGAGAAGGTAGTAACCTTCTATTCATTCCACAGACTTTCTCTATTTTCTATGCAAATTTACTACTTGAACTTCTGGCAAACTATCCGCCGGTGATTGCCAACTCAAAGTTGATGCATAATATTAGCTGTGGGTCAACTGCCTTCCCACAATGAACTGTAAAGTTAAACTGGCGATCGGTTTAAGTGTGCGACGCACGTTTATGGCCTGGCCACCTTGGTTGCGAAGTCGAACGGCAAAGTTTTATTGGCCAATAGCGGCCATTAATGAGTTTGTTGGAGCACACATTAATAGACTTTTATGTACATCTAATTGTCTCCGTAAATTGATGGCTCGGCTTCGTTTGACTTCTACTGCCGGGAACAGCAAAAGTCGCTTCCCAAAAAACACAAAAGTGCTAAATTCATAACTACAATTTTTGGCAATTAGATGCTCGGCGACTAACTCACTGCATTTAATTATATGGCACTTCATGGGCCATAAAGAAATGAAAATTGATTTTATCGATATTTGATATAATACATTTACATATGCTTATTTTAAATTGTAAAATTATTTTATTGATTATAAAAATATTACTTAACTTGTTACAAAAATTATTGTTTAAGAGTTTTGCTTACAATGTCTTAAAGTTGTTTTATTCTTGTGCATTCATGTTTTTTTGTATTTATGTATTAATTATACTTGAGGTTAAATACTTATTAATATTTTATAAAAAATAGTTAATTACAAGAAATTTTCATTTTATATATGTATTTTTTGGAAAAAAATGTATTGCTTCTAGAAGCGGAAATGCTTAATTTCCAACAAATGCTATACAACCCTATATTGTTCGATTACAGCTAATAAATATCTGTAGTTATGTGTCTTTATGACATTATCTTAGTTTGGCACATGGCGCGATTTTGCTATCGAATAACCGTAAATCAACGGCGAATGCAAAGCCACTCGGTGAGCCAACTGTCCAAGTGCATTTCCACTAGTTCACCGTTATCTCACGTCATACGTGCTGAGCTGCTAAGTATGCAACAGGTTTCGTATGGGTGTCCAGTTAATCAGCAACAGGTGCCGTTACTTGCCGCTACTCACCACGCCAATTTGGTGGGTGGTGGGTGGTGAATGGCGGTTGGAGTGCGGTCCACACTCTCGCCTCGCAGTGTCCATGTCCGTGTGGTGAATTAATAAGTCACACATTGTTCATACGCACCATTGTACACGCAGAAAGCACTTGGCATTTTGACATTCTGATCTTATATGCGGCTAGTTGATGCTCTAGGTTGAAAATAAATATGGGATATGTATTGATATAAAAATTATTTGTTTAAAGTAAATATAAAAAGGTTTTTTTCTCTTTAACCAAACTTTACATCTTTTTCTTAAATTAAAAATTAAGAATTTATTTGCTTAATGCTTATAAACATAAATGAATTTTATAAACTTATGGTATTAAATATATTTTTTTTAACATTTAATTTTTTTGGTAACTAAATTTACAGTCTAGGAACCTAATTTATAGTCCAGTATATAGCCCGAAAAAGTATGCTTTGATTTTATTCATGATAATGACTCCAAGAAAAACATGTAAGGTTCAACAAGAAACTCAACATTAAATAAATGCATAGTTTTACCTTCATCATTATTTCAGGATTTCATATCTAACACTCTTAAAAAGATCCAAATAGTTTTTCAAAACCACTCTGCTCAATTCTATGAAACTTCTACTACGAATGCCGTCAAATCCTGGTAGATTTCAATTTTAAGGATCTACTATATGCACCTCATGTGCCCACTTCGTAAACCAGGTACTGTGAAATGGTGCAAGTGTGGTTCCTGCTGGTTGCAGTGCCGCTTGACATGGGGCATAAAGCTTTGCCTAAGCAGTCGCCCTAACGAATTACGCCCACCCCCTGTTTTCCCTACTGTTTTCCCCAACAGATTTTCCCTCCCATTTTCCCGCCTGTTTTCCCGGCAACTCGTGCTTCCTGCTGCTGCTGCTTCTGCTGCTGCTGCTGCTTCTGCCGCTGCCGGCGTCGCTGCCTTGGGTGCTGTTTGCTATTTTGTATATAAAGCCCGGTAGCAGGCATCGCCAACATCGAGTTACCAATTTCCCTTCTTGGCGTTCACATCGAGAGCGGCATCAGCAACAAGTAAATCAAGCCAAAAGGATCTGATCATCGATTCAACTATTAAAACTCACAGCAAACAGTTCGCGATATAATCAGATTATCAAATTTCCCGGCGCCAGTTTTCTCCAATTTACCGACGCCAATTGAATCGCCGTCCATTTCCCAACTCATTCAGTCGCAAAGTATCGGTAAGTATCGGCCAAAACCATGCCGACCAGATTGTGTGTTTACCTAAGCCAACTGGGATTGTGGCGATTAATTGAAATTAGGAGTTTTGTGTTGCCCAAAATTAATTTGTGGGCGCGGAAATTGTGCCACAGGTGAATAATTGAAGCTCACTAGATTTATTGCCCGTAATATGAGAATATGTTGGCTATATCCGAAAAATATATTAGCAAAAACATAACTATATAAAATAGAGTGCTTAAACATACATATATTTATTAAAATTTAAACTTGTCTAAATCATTTTTTACGAAATAAAAGTTTTGCATTAAAGATCCTAAATATTTAACACTTTTCTCGAAACAATCTAAATCTTAAAAATATGTCCAGCTGAATTTTAAACTTACACAACTCTTTACAAAAAATCCAATTTAAAAAATAAGTTCTTTTATGAATAATTGAATCCAATTTGTATGTCTCGCATTTAAATTGACTCAAAGCTGCTCCCCTAAATTGAGTTCATAAAAGTTCCTGCAAATTGATGGGCCTTTAACAACGTTGTAGGTAAAGAAAGGTTCGTGTTTGCGTTGAAAAAATGTTCACAAGTTGACGAATATATGCAATTCATAGGCCATATATCACCACCCCAATTTCGGCTCCTTTTTTGTTTTGAATATGCCATTCCCTGAGGGACTTTCCCAGACCGACCTAATGACAGGACCAAAGCAGGACCAACTGCTTCCTGTGCTCATTGAAAATTATGTGAATTATTAATGAAGCGTAGAGAAATCAGGCACACGCACAAAACATTCACTTCATTTGATTTGGACTTCAATCTCGATTCGAGTTGCTGATAATAAATAACTTCAGTTGACTTGGCTTCAGACGTCTCGGTTTGCTCGATTCCCGCCGAAACCGCAATCAAATTGCAAATTTAATATTTATTAGAATACGCCTACAGTTTTCATGGTGGTTTTCCTGCGGGTTAAATCAGATCATTTTCCACTGAATTTGTGGGCGAAATTCGGAGAAGGAGGTCTATCTCCTTGTTTGCTTAAATAGCTTCCTTGTTAAAAATACTTCTCGTTTTAATATTAAATAAGCTAAAACAAAGATGAGCTGGTAAATTGAACTACAGACCTTCTGGGCAAATCACCTTGCCGATTTACCACAATTAAGTGACGTAAATTCTCAAACTGCTAACTTTTTTCCCGGAATTGAGACAAAAATGTACGCGGCTTTCGAACTTGAAGTCTAATTGGGTAAATAACTCTTCTGCAAAAGCCACTTTGAACCGCATTTTCCGTAAATCAGTACGTAACCGCACAAAAGATCCTCATGAAACTCGATACAACTTCAAGTGTTTCACACTCCCGCACCCAAAATAACGAAAACATGAAAAACATTTTGATACGTATTTGATGATGTCTGAAGTTTCCAGTTTTCGGCGACTGACTGACGTAATTTTAATTTGCTCCCTCGCAAAATATCATATGACCAGATAAATCACATGGCCAAGGACACGGACACGGCCATCCTGTCCTGACAGCCAAACATTTAATGAAGCCCACGCCAGGTCCTTCGGGCAAATATTTGCCCAGCGACATTTGGTCTTCGGCTAATTTTAAAGTTCTCCATCGCCGCAAGCGGAAAATGTGACAAAAAAATGACGATGGGAACTCAAAGTGGAAACGGGATTAAGTCGACGGATTAGTCAGGGCCTAAAACCGCACGTGAAAATTGCATTTTCTTTTTTTCCTTTTACCTTCTTCATTTTTTTTTTTTTTTGTTTTTCATACCGCCACTTTTTGTTTCAGTACTTGCAACTCTTGCGCTGCGGCGACGAGATTAAATTTCCAATTAACACTGGAGCATTATTTATCGGCGGCAATAAATGTGTCCTGATTATGTTTGGCTTTGGGTTCGGCTTTAGTTTCTGCCGCTTGGTTGGCGCTGTCTGCTTTTGGCCTTTTATTATTCCATTTGATTCGGCTAAAGTTGGAGCAGGGTGGGTGAAAATTAGCCTTATTTTCATTAGTTTTTATTTATCACCCACTGGCTGTTTAGTCTAACAAATATTTTATGAGCTCAAAGTTGAACATATCGGCTTGCAGGCATTATAGTTATCTCCGGCAGCCTATATACATTTGCAAAGTGCTTTAAGAGTTCCAGTTGCACTTTGGCCAGGAAAAAACACGGAAATGTATCCAGATGTTGGTGTTGTTTTAATCTATAATACGTGATTGTTTTTATGACAGGAATTAATTGACCCTTTTTGAGATTAGAAAACTTAGAGGGTGCTACAACAGAATGAAGTGAACTGAAAAATTATTAATCACTTTAAAGAAATTAAATACACATAAATCTTATAGCTACATTTTTTTCACGTTTTAGTTTTTGCTGTTAGATTTTATTATCACTTAAAGAAATTAAGTAGGTACACGTAAATCTTACATTTTTACAGTTTACATTTACATTTACATTTACATTTTTTTAAACATTAAAATTTGCTTTTAGTTTTTAAAATTCCCAGATAAAAATGTGTGTTTAAAAAGCAAAACAACCTTCTAACAAATTTACTTTATAAAATGGTTGCATTTAACGTTCAATGAAATTTTGAATAACGAGAGTGAAGAAGTTAATTTGCAATTCAGATTTTTCAAACCATAACAACCTTCACCCGCAAATGCATTCACATTAGCAGCTGCTGGAAATTTAAGAAGGAGCAGCTCCTTTTACAGGATCAACAAGGAGCAGCAGCATTTTATGAGCTGCAGCGGCAAACGAGACAAGTCATTAACATTTACGGCCCACATCGTTGAGGTCCTCGATGGCTAATGGCCAAGTCTATAGCTTTTTATGCCGAACCCTCGTGTTTACCTGTTGCATGCAACATAGATGATGATACTGAAAGTCACTTGATGACCTCATTTTCCTTCGACTAAACGAACGTATCCTGCGGATTTATGTCTCGCCTGCTTTATTTAAGCTGCGGCTATTTACGTATTCATGTCCTGCGGGCAAAATATTCCTTTTGATTTCACACCCACTTCAATTACCAATGATGTCATAATTTATGTAATTAGTTGCTGATTGTAATCGTCTGGGAATGTATGGCAATTGCCGGCGGCTGTATTTCATTTGTTTTTGCCTTTGATGTGAATCGTTATTTAATATATTTAATTTATTAGGCAGTAGGTTGGGAGATAATAAAGTCACATTAGGAGAATTATTTAGATTTGACAGCTTTATATGAAAATTATAAAAGAAAAGTTATTTTCCTTATGAAAGATATAAAACAGATTCGTTCTAGTCTAAATAACTAAACAAAAAGTATTCACACTTAAAATCAAATTTCAAGCTGGTTATTCCATTTACTAATTTACATTTTAAATTCAATTTGGACATCACGCATAAAAAAAGAGTTATACATGCATAAAGGGATAAACATTTTTGATAGGAAAACGTAACTTCATGTCTTTTCATACATTAACCTCTGACCTTTGATGCTTTTAAAGAACCCTTTCACCTCGAATTCTCAAGAAAGTGACCATGAAAGTTACTCAATCTCACTTTTCGATTGCAAGTGAAACTATATCAACATGCATCACGTTATTTGTCAGTTTCTGACGAAATCAATTAAAGTTTGACCAACATGGCCTTTGGTCGAAAAGTCTGTTCCATTGTGTGGCTGCAACACGTTGCACAATCGACATGGCATTACGGATGCAATAAGTGTGTGTCCGAATGGCTGCTTCGGTTGCAACGCTTGAGTTGCAGGCTTGTATTCGCATCCGTATCCGTTTTTAATTGCGGAAATGCACTTAAGCCGGACTAAGGTGAAAAAAACAAAAGTCTGAGGCGGCCTTTTAATCCCTTTTCAAACTCTCACAAATGCAGGTCACGTTTGTGTGGCAACAAGTGTTCTGGACTTACTCGAATCCGCTTTGTTACGCGTTGCAAGTCCCTTCGAGCCATCCTGACGCAAATTGTAATAAAATAGTAAATACGGGCATAAAAACAATTCCACTAAAATCTGACCTTTAATTAAAAATGCGGCTAGTGGAACTTTGTGGCATTTTTTTCTTCTGTTTTTTTGTTTTTTGTTTTCACATTGCCCTCTTGACAGCTCTTTGAGCTTGGGGATTAGCTGGGGACAAAGTCGTCGCTTTTCCCTTTGAAGTTGTGCTGACATTTGCATTAATTGGTAAACTAGAAAAGTGCGTAACTATGTATATTGCCATTGAATAATTTACATTAATTGGCTTACAACTTTTGACAAGGGGTGCAGGTGAAATTTATTTTGAAACAGAAAGTGCAATAACAACGAAAGAGGGGGAATTAAGTTATTAAATATTTATGATCAAAAATAATTCTAGTAATTTCATGACTCATATTTTATTTGCTATGATACAACAGTGATTGCATACATTAAAATAAAAGTTTATTTATGATAAAACAATACAAATTTTATTAAAATGGGCTTAATTAAAACTAAGTGGTTCGATATTTAACTTATGCTATTTTAAATAATCGACTAACCAAGTAAACCCTTTTTTCTTGAAGTAAATATTTTTTGGAATAATTGTCATTTCATTTAATAATTTAATTAATAATTTATTTTTGTTCATTTTAATTTCAGTCCTATACCGCTACAAAATGATGAAGTTCGTGCAGATCCTGTTGTGCTACGGCCTCCTGTTGACCGTGCTCTTTGCCCTCAGCGAGGCTCGTCCTTCGGCGGGCGAGACAGGACCCGTGAGTAGAACCGACTTGGCTTTAATAAACAGCAAAGCTTATTGGATTCCCTTTGCAGGATTCGGATGGACTCGATGGCCAGGAGGCTGAGGAGGTGCGAGGAGCCTACGGCGGAGGTTATGACATGCCGGCCCAGGCAATTTACCCCAACATTCCCATGGACCGACTGCAAATGCTCTTCGCTCAATACAGACCCAAGTAAGCTAAGCCCATTAGTAAATATTACTAAATATTGGATAATAATATGTTAATTTATAAAGCAGTTACGGCGCCTACTTGAGGAGTCCCACCTATGGCAACATGAACGAACTTTACCGGCTGCCCGAGAGCAAACGCCAAGTTAGATACAGGCAGTGCTACTTCAATCCCATTTCCTGCTTTAGGAAGTAAATCCCCAGCCAGCCAGCCGGAGGATTATCCAACCAACATCCTACAGATCTTGGATAGATTAACAATTCAAGCATTTCCACCAACCAAAAATAAGCCAAACACGAACTTTAGCATAATGGATCAACAACAAAAACCTAACGCAAATATCTAGTGCAATTAAACTAAAGCTAAGACTCAACTATATCCGTTTATATATATATACAGAAGTTTATATGTGTAACTTATCTATTTAAATGTCTAAAAATGATTGAAAAAATGTTCCATTGTAGTTACCAAAAAAATAAATCGTGTATTTATTTGAATATTAGCACAAATGTTACAAATTATATTATTTCGTTTCTTGATTTTCGCTTTGCATATGGTGTGGTAAAATAAAATACATCGCTTTCCGAAGCTATTCATGTATTAAGAACATATTCGAAATAATAACGTGCTTTTGTAAATTAAAGTGTCCCAGCTCTTGTATAATACAAAACACTATTAAATAAAACAATGAAGAACGCGAACTTGGAGTCATTTAATACCTACAAAAACTATACATGTAAAATAAATTCCTAAATTAATGTAATAATGTTATAATCATATACGTATGAAATAAATGCGCCCAAATGTTAGAAAAATATATTAATACTTCTTTAATAAAGCGGAATGGCAAGGTAATTGATAGCATTTTAAATATTTTATGAGCATATTATGAGCATTTCTAGTGGCTTATTAGCTTTACAATTTATTTAAAATTTTTTACATATTACTATCAAAATTAATATTGCTGATATTTGTATGATGATTTATATATTTTAAGTATTACTTCTTATATCTTTACTTTTTCCTTGTTAAGATGATACAACCAAGTAAAATCAAACGATGAAGTTTTTTGTTTGCTTTATTTAAGAAAGTTAGTCAAGTCATAATATAAATTGTACAGATTTTTTTTTAGTTTTTTGCTTAGCATTAATTGGTAATTACTAATTAGAAAATGAATCGCAGTAAATGTTTATCATATTTATGAGTGTTTTATAAAATAATTGTTTTGTGTATTTTTATGCTTAGCTTAAATTGTATTTGCCTCTGAGGCAGTATCATTTTATATTCTTTTAAGCTGATTCGATATTGAGTTCCGAATTTCGGATCACTGATTTGAGGTCTTCAGTGCTTTGCATTCCTATCACATTTTCCAGGTCGGACCCTTAGATTTTCAGACGCCTCCTCTCCAGGTTCTTGGATTGGCACTTTCCGCCGGGTCGCTCCATCTTGATGACCAACCGATCCGGAGTGGATATCTTGTAGCCATTGCACCTTCGATGGCGTTCCTCGATCTTCAGCGATGTGGCCACCATGAAAATGGAGAAGACCAAGGCGATTAGATAGCGAACGATTAGCATATTGTGACAAATGCTGGGAGAAATCAAGACTGTTTGGTTTACAGGATGCAGAGGGTCTTTTTATAGATCGAAATTCTTCATGAAAAGGTATCGCTTACCTGTCCGTCGACATCCTTCCTTCGCGAAGATTCCAGAGTTCCCAAATGGATTAGGATGCGATTTTATGGCCGCGACTCGCCAATAAACCATTCCGCGCTAATCCATTCGCTCATTTCCACTTCCTCTGCGCGAAATCCTCGATTCTTCGCCATGAATCCCCAGATGAACTGCACCCGATACAAAAAGGGAAAACTAATTGCCTCGACTGATGAGTGGAAGTTCCAAGAAGGAGTCACCAAGTCGACCTACCTGATGGCACAGAACATCTCGCCTTTATGATGCCTCTTTCTCTATCGCCAGCCTCATTCTTTTCTTTACTTCTACTTTATTTTTTTTTTTTTGCTCTGCCATTAGACATTTTAATTGTTAATTTTTGCAAAAACGCAAGGGGATGGGGGGAGGTGGGGTTCGGAAAAATTTAAATAATGGCCAAGCTGCAGGCTGTGGCAGCGAGAATCCAGGAATCCAATGGCTACCTGCATTTATTATCTCTTCTGCCCGCCGTTGCAACCCGCCCGTTGATCTACTCCAATGTGGAGTGGAGTGGAGTGGAGTGCCATCAACGTGAAAACAAGTGGCAACAATTTTCTATAAATTGCATTTGTGCAAAATTAAGTTCAATCTTGGCCGAGTCGCGAACCAGTAGCTGTATATCTCTCGCTCTTCGTTCAGCATCCGCTCGAGTCGCCCAAGAGCCCCCCAAACACTCCCCAATACCCCACCACCCCCTCATTCCCCCTCTGTGTTCCCTTCACCCCCCCATTACTCCGATCTCCATTTGGCCGTTCACCGCTGGAGTAGCCAAACTCCATTAACTTTGCAATTGGCCACCATAACTCGTCCGTCGGTCGACCGCCCTCCCCTTTCTCCTTCCCCCTTCCACTTTCCACTTTCCCCCTTCCCTTTCCCCTTATCCCGACTTCTCCGTCACCTTGCCGCCCATCCACATCCACATCCACTTGCATCTCTGCCTCCACATCCATCCACATTTATCCGCATCCACATCCACATCCCCACATCCCACAGAGCGGCCAGCGAGGTCCATTCCATTCCAGTCCAGTCGCGGCCCCATCGCTTGTTAGTTTTTGCGCCAGATCGTTTATAATAATTCGTATGCGAGTCATGTCATGCCCCTAAAGTGTATCTGCAACCGCGCAGTCGCAGCAGCAGCAACAGCCGCAGCAGCAGCAACAGCCGCAGTTGCCGCTGGCTGCGCCTGCGCACTCGTCGCGCTCGCCGCGCATATCTGTATCTAGTCGGTGGCTTCAACCAGATCTGATCTCGTGACACGACTAAAGGGATCCAAAATCATTTAATATGAGTAGGTATTAGCTGACTTAAATTTGTTGAATGTTAACTTAAAATTTAAATTTCAATCATAAATTAACTGTATTAAATGTTTTTAAATGCTTGCCATCCAGAAAAAAAAAATTTTTACTAAAACCAGCAGGAAAGATGTTTAAGTTAAAAAATTTAAATGGAAATTTGAAAAGTTGTTGCATGATAAAAATGAAAAAAAATCGGGCAAAAAATTTAAAAATGTTCTAATTGTGCAGTTAGAGAATTAAAAGATATACTTTTGGAGGTATGCCACTTCAAACTCTGATTACATTTAGAAAATTAGTATATTTTGGTAAATTTTCAGCAAACCCACTTTTTGGAAATTCGGAAAGTGGTTGTATTATAAAAATGGAAAAAAAAAGGCAAACAAATATCAAATTCTAATGATGTAGTTTCTTAGCGAATTAAAAGACAAACGTTTAGAGATATGCCGCTTCAAAATCTGATTAAAATTTCAAAAGTTACGCCCTCGGAATTAGTGCATTTTGGTCAATTTTCAGCAAAGCAATTTTTTGTAAATTCAGAAAGGGTTTGTACATAAAAAATTCTTAGAAAAGTTATGGGCTTAACATTTGAGAATTATGGTCAATTTTCAGCCAACCCATTTTTTTCGAAATTTGGAAAGGTGTTGTATCATAAAAATTGAAAAAAATAGGCCAAAATTAAAAAAATAACTAATGATTATTTATGCAGTTTTGTTTTGTAACTTTATTTTAGGTCATGGAAGTGGCGAAAAACTGGTCTACCGACTCAATGGAAATCTGGAAATCCTCGCATTTAAATAGCTTCAAACGTACTGATATATTGACCCTTTTAAATCTTCACCAGTAGATTTTCCCACTCACGAATCCCGCTCATCTCTGGCCAATGGAGTGGCAAGTCTTGGGATCGCCAGCTCTCGTTGGTCCCGATCTGGTGAACTATGCAACCGGCAGCTCGGCAGCTCGAAGATCGGGAGCTCAGCAGCTCGGGAGATCGGGAGCCCGGTGACTCGAACTTGACTTCACCTGGCTTGATCTCGCCCCCGTTTCTTCCCGTTCGGCATAGCTTTGGGTCGCCACCAGCACCGGTTGGCTCTTTCTCCATCTTCCCAATCGCCGGTCCCTCGATCTCCGCCAGCTCGTTGTCATACCACTTTATCCGCGGCGCTTTGTGCTGGTTTTGTTCTTCTATTGGTAAAAGGAAGTTAGAAAAATGCTCTCGATTCGCGGGGCAAGCCGAGGCGGTGGCCTTAAGTGAATTGTGCTCTGGATGCCAGCTGGGCCATCCCAGCGTTTAGATCCCAGAAAGGGACTTTCAACATGGATTTGTTCTGTTCTGAAGTCAGGGAACTCTGCAGTAGCCAATATTTAATTCAGTTGGCAACAGTGAAAGTTGGAAAACGTATTTAGTTGCTTATTGAGTTGGTAAGGCAACTAATGGATGTTGTATATCCGTTCAGTTTAATGTCTAATTAAAAAATATGTAAGTTGCTAAAAAGTATTTAAAAAATATATATCAAAGTCTTAAGAATCTATTTTAGTTTAAGAAACAAAAATGTTCGAGTTTAGAATTGACTTTAAAGATTTACAAACTAACGTTTTTCCTTAGCAGATTAAGAGTGTTTGAAACGAACATAAGGTTATTTCATGGTAAGTATTTTATATTTCCCTGGTAAACTTATCAACAAATGAATTTCTTAAAGCAAATGCATCTCATCGAATATAAAGTGACATCTATGCAATTCGCCAATGCATCTCAATCCCATATTGAATGACAACCAAATATGTTTAGGCATCATAAAGCACTTTTGACACTGATTTAATTTTTGGCTACAGACGGACTCAGATCACCAAAAAGCAACTCTAAGTATTGACAATGGTGCATTGATGCATCTTCAGATGCCCCAAAAGGGAAGAGGAAATATGAAATTCCAAACAACTTGGGGCACCAAATGCACTGCTCCACTGTTAAAATAAATTCAGTTAATACATTATATTAACTGTATAATAATAACATTTAAATAACTAACTAACAGGTTTAAAACTATGCAAAAAAAAGCAAATTGCAGTTCATAATTGTTAGTTAAGCTAGCAATTTAAAACAATTTTCATGCTTTCAAGATCATAATTATATGCTTGTCGTTACCAAATATTTTCTAAATAGCCAATTAAGGTAGAACACTATTTTTTAACGTGTGATCCAATTGGCTTTCGAACTGCCAACGTAACCGGTAGTCGGTGTCGTGGCTCTTTACTCTTGGTTGTTGGCTGTTGGCTTTTCCTTGGCCACTTGGCCGTGGCCTAAACCGCCGTCTTGGCCATCGCCATCGCCATGGTCGTCACCATGTCGACTTGGACAATGTTGCTACGTTGCTCTTATTTCAGAACATGACCACCGTCCAATGGGAGGCCACGGAGGAATGCCTTAATTCAGGAATTTAATGAAAAATGCTCTATGAAGCGGTGCAGCAAATTAAAAACAGAAAGAAAAAAAAAATACAGAAAGAAAAAAACTGAAGCACTGGCCAGGAAAAGTTGAGTGCACAGAAGCCGTCGACGAGCAGTGGAAATAAGGGGAGAAACGAGAACAAAAAGGTTAAAATTAAAATCTGCACTCACTTGTTCTTCTCAGCTAAGCACTTTTTTTCAGAATACCCTGTTGCAATAGATTAAAAAGGGGGATCTGGTGGGAACTGAGATTAAGAAACGTTTATCACAAAATGGGGATAGGCTGCTTACCGGAAATCAATTATGGGTAACAGAAAAATTAAGGAAATGTTGGTGGATAATGATGGGATTGTTAATTTCTGAACTTAAACGAAAACATGCTTGAAATATTGTATAAACATTTTTATAAGAAAACCTTAGAGTATATTTGAAAAAAAAAGATTTTGAACTATTTATCATGAAAAAAATATTCTTTATAATTCAAAAACGTCTTAGAGCGTTATAAGTTTTTTCTAATTATTATCCTTTTTATATCATTATTTTAATTTGTGACCTAACGTTGGCAACATTATTTTATATTTTATGCGGTTTTTTATTATTTTTATTGATTTGTGAAAATGTTTAATATTTTTTTTCTATGGGCATATTGAAAATTCTTTTGTATAAGAAATAATCATTGTCATTCTGTATTATAATAAATCTTAAAATGCATTATAAAAGTATCTGTTGAATTAGTTTATTAATATGTCATTGGTATGATTGATGACTTTTATTTTATTGATGACGAGTTTTATTATTTGGAATACGAATATGTACGGTACACTTTATCAGAAGAATCCTAATCTTCTGGGGAAACCTCTGCCACAGGGTACATCCCACTCGATCAAAGTTGTCCCACCTGCTGGCTCCTGTTTCCTTTTTATTTTTTATTTATTTTTTTTGTTAGCTGCTTGGATTTCAATCCGAGCGCGATTCGCTGGCTGTGAGCTGTTCGCTGTTCGCCCGGTGTGAGATCGGTGGCAGGTGATGCCGATGCCGTTCAACTTTGAGTCCGAGGTTGAGTGGCTCTTGATGGGACCCAGTGTCCAACCAAAGTTGACCAGTTCCCCGGGCAAGAGTGTATATGTATTATGTGTGTGCGAAGTGGTTGCCGCTTGGAGCTGAGCGTTGTAAATTACATTTTCCAAATGCTTTTGCCATGTCGAACCAAAAAGCCATGTACATATGTGGCATAAAGGAGCGGCATGGCTTGGCTTGGCCTGGCCCGGCCTGGTTGAACGGAGCCACTGCAGTTCAGTTGGCTGTGCTTCCGTTTTGATTTGGAACACTTGTTGCATTCGGCGCGCACTCCGCCGTTGGCCATCGGGATTTGTCCTCTGGGCCAGAACGACAACCAGAAACATCCATTCCTTGGGGATATGGCCACTCACACAGATTCACAGATACACAGATACAGATACACAGATACACAGATACAGATACACACGGCAAACCCAACACGATGTTCCTACATGGATTCCTACATGGCATTTCGGATGCACCTCCTCGATTCTTTTACTTTTCTTATATTTTTCTTTTCCTCTTTTTTTTTTTTTTTTTTTTTTTTTTTTTTGTTATTTTGGCCTTTTCTCATCGCTGCGTATTTAAGCGTTTTGTTGTTGGCCTCGCATTCGAGTGGCCGCCGTTGATTATGTTGTTGTAGTTTGTTCAGATTGTTGTTGATTTGAGTGTTGATTGTTGTTAGCGGAATGGGCTCGTCCCTCGGAGCTGTTGGCTTCGATTAGCCGAATGCCGAATGCCAGATCCGCTGGGGATCGCTGCGAAAAGGTGTTGCAGGTGAGTGGGAAAATAAATATCTCTGTTTTCCGGGAGTTCATAACTTTTTATATCTCAACCTTTGCGATCAAATTGTTAAACAAATTGTTAAAGATTAATCGAACATGTTTAAAGGTAATTTTAAAATTTAGTTGATTTTTTTTTTAATTTTCCCTAACCTTTGGGAAATTGGTTCAGCAGTTTCACCTCAAAAAATTATTTGAACCAAAAGAAAAATTCAAATAAAAATAATATAGAAAAACATTGTAAAATATTCCTGCAAATATTTTTTTAATGCTGTTTAAATTTAAATTTGTTAAATCATTTTCTTTTATCCTATAATTTTCAATTTAATCATTTCAAATTTGTTCTTTAAAACCTATTAAGATACGTATAACACAAATATTTTAGTTTGAAAAAAAAACTTTATTTAGATTTAATAGTTTTGTTTTATTTTTTCTGCATATTTTGTGACTTTACTTTTTTACATAATTATTATATTTTATTCTTTATTGTAAAGAAATGTCAATCATAAAATTAAATTGGATTTAATTCATCATCTGTTCCTAGAAGAAGGCTTCTGGTTCCAGGATCTCGTAGGTGGACATCGGCTGGGCTTCGTTTCCGAAGTAGTTAAATCCACCAGGTGCGATCTCGGGAAGAGGATCGTTGTAGAATCGTTCGAGGAAGGGACTCCTTGACTTCGTCATCTTTGAACCGCCGAAGGAACGCCTTTTCAGGAAGTAGTCCCTCTTGTGTGGCCTCCTCATTGGCGATATTTGGTCCATTATTTCGTTGCTCATCTTTCGTTGCGCCGGCAAGGAGGTTACCTCATTATATAACGAAGATCTCGACCTGGGTCGTGCCCAAGCGATCAGGAACAAACAGACGATGACCAGAATAATAAGGGCAAGTTTAGGGCTCGACATCTTGACTGCTTGGCAGTTGTGACTTGACTGTGATGAAGAAGTGACTGCCATCAGGAATTTATAGCAGAAAATATTTGTCACAGGTAGCTAATCCTCTAAGTACTTTATAATGAGGCCATATGTTGGGTTTACCTGGTTTTACCTATCTTTTATTGCCAACAAATGTCTCAAGTCCGTTTAAAACATGATTTCAAACATTTTACAACCTTATCATCTGGAATAGTCTGGAATAGTTAAATATCAAATATTTCCAAAGGAATATCAGTTATTGTATAGAAAATTATGTATAATTCAGTATTATTTTAATTGTTATACTTAGGTCAATATAAATCAATATAAATTCGCAAAGTAATAATATAAATGAAGTGTAAAATAATGTAAATAAAAGTTTAATCGCAGTTAAGCGTTTCATAATATTGTTTTAAAAAATTAATTAAATAACTAGCCAAAATTATTCAATGTTTTTTAATGTAATATAATATTTCTGCACAACGAAAAGGTTTCTGCTTTCAAAAACGTACAAAATAAATGGACGAATGGCTTCAAAGGTTGCAAGCCATTTAGATAAACGCCCGCAGAGAGTAAGTACTTTGGAATCCATCAAAGCGCACAATTTCCTTGGCCATTCCACCCGGGGCCATCACTTAACCCATCCACCTCATCAATCTCGGACATTTGGCTAACTATCCGCCAGTCGATCCGGCTGAAAAAAAAAAAAAACGGGGAGTCACTTAGAGTCCACTCAAGGCATCAAGATCGGCTGGGATTGGGATTGGATGCGATGCCATTTCATGTTAATCAAACAACGAAATCCATCAACAGGTGACACACACACCGCAAAAGTGGGCGGCTAGAGGTGGGTAGCAAAAGGGGGAGCGGCAGGGGGAGGGGAAAGTGGGGTTGGGGCAGCGGCGACATCCAGCAGACATGTCAGTGCGATAATGGTGCTACTTCTCCTCCAGCTCGCGAGTATCTAAAACAACTTCATTCACAAAAATCGGACCAACGAAAAAAAAGGAGGAAAAAACTGAGCAGAAGCAAAGTAGCAGAGCATCTGCAAAAAGGAAGCTGGGCCATTAAAAATATCTTGTGGATGCCACGGCGCGGCAGATAGCAGCCGCCATGAGATGCAGCCGCAAAGGCAGAGGCCACTTGGTAGCCTCCTCATCATCATCATCATCATCGGTTTAAGCCGAGGCTTTAGCTCCGGGAGCTGCTGCCGCCGCCTCCCGAAAGGAGCGCCTGCGGGGGCGGGGCAGGTCGGCGGGGCATCAACCGTTGAGTTGAGGGGGCAGCCAAGGAATAGCCAAGAAACATACGCCTAATGCCACAGTCATCGACATCCGCCATTTAGCTAATTAACCCAAGGAAACAAAAGGGGTTCTTGTCTGCTAAAATGCAAGAAAAGAAGAAAATTCAGTAGAGCAATAATAGAACAAAGGACTTTTTCCAAAAGAAGTCATTACTATTTTTATTTTGACAAAAAATTGTAACTATAATGTCTAAGAGATTAGAAAAACAATGACATTTTCTTTAGACAAAAGCAGAAACATTTTAAGAACATTATATTTAAAAAGCAATTCAACGTTTAAGTTAAATCGGAAAGCGGTTAATTAAATTTAACGATATATATTTAAATAAGTTATATACAATTTTTTATCAGCTAAAATAACTAAAAATTACTTTAAAAAAACCATTGAACTCAAATAAAGTATTTTTGCTTAAATAAATTTTTGCTTAAATAATTTGTAAAAATCATAAGAACCATTATTCATTGAACAAATGGCTCCTGCCGATCAGATCTTATAAAATATAGTAACATTTTAATACATTGCTTTATTGTTTTTTCTTTTCCAATATTTCTACCTTTCAATAAAATTTATTACAAAATTTTTCTTTTAATATTTTGTTGTTATCAGGATAAGGATCGTATGCTAATGCTCATCAACAACATAATCTGAGATTCCTCAAAGCGAGTAAGTTATTAGAGTAAATTAGGTAATATGTACCCACATATTACCATAAAAATCCCGAAGCCACCAAGGGGTTAATCGGTCTTCCATCAGCGAGCTTTTCTCGAGCTCCTTCAGCTTCTTCAAGTTTTCTGCTGCTGCGTCTGCGCAGTCGCAACTGTCTACATTTGTCGGCCTGCCTTCTCTTTCCCACCTCCCACCTCCCCTTTCTTCTGGCCCATTCTGGCACGGCCTCGCCGCTGTTCGTCTTGTTCTTCTTCAGTCGATTGGATGTCCAGCTTTCAATTTGCAACATAAAGCATCTTCATCGTGGGCCGCATGAATGGGCAAGTAGTGGCTGCAAGAATAAAAAAAACAAAGTGGGGAAAGGAAAGGGGAGGGAGTGGGATTTGGGTGTGGGCTTGGGAGCTGGTTCTCCACCTCTTCGTTCGGTCGCTACAGGCCCCGTCCCCTTTGATGATCCAGTGCAGTCCGGCAATCCGGCAAAGCGGCATTGACGGTAGGCACTCAGGCGTGCCCCGGCGGTAGTCGGTGACCTTTATTGATTGCTGTTTGACCTCCAGCCAGTCAGCCAGCCATTGTGGCCGTTGTGTTGTTGCTGTTGCAGTTGCTGTTTTCGCTCTTGCTGCTGCATCTCCTAACCATTTGTACTTGGCCGATCGCTGGCATAGATTGCAATTGCAACGAAGAGAGTGAGAGGGGGGAGAGAGGAAGGGAAAGAGAAGAGGTGGGGAGAGGGAAGAGAGCAGGGGGGCGGGGTAGCAGTGGGCGGATGGGGAGCGGTAAACGCCCACTAGCACCGCCGCTTTGTCGTTTTGCTTTCTGGCTTTTTGTGCAGCCTTCATTGTTGTTGAGCTTCTCTCTCCACTGCACTCGAAAATAAAGGCACTTTAAATTAAAAGTTAAACATAGTTAGTCAATAAGATATTATTTTTATTCAATTAAATTATGTTATTAAATAATGAACAACCTTAAGTCCAATTAGATACTATATATTAGTTTTCCAAGAAACGAGAATAAGGTTTTAATTATTTTAAATAGGAAAATATCTTAAATGATTTCATAATAACCCACACTATTCGTTTTTTAATGGTTAATTTGGCGGTGATATTATTTAAGTACATATTTGGAAAAGCATTGAATTTTTATTTAAAAAAAAAACATCCTTTTTCTTTTTTTAATCAGGAGTTAACTTAAGTCATAAATCTCAATAATGGGGTGTATACTTAATGTTGTCAACATCTAGTTTAACTTCACATCAAATAGCAATAGATTTGTATTTGAAATAGCAACTCCAACAGGATTATTATGCTATAATCCTTACACAAATCTGAAATTTAAGGGAGTTTTAAAGGACATATATTTTTTTCTCACTACTGCCACTGTGGTTCTGGCCATTGTTGCCCCATTACCTCGTTCATGGCAGTTAATTTATATTCGATGCATCTTTCGCTCCTTTTCTTGCGTCTGCGATTTTTATAGTGTTCTCTTATTTTTCTCATTTTGGACTTCCTTTTTGATGTGGTTGTTGTACTTGTTTTTGTTGTTGTTGCCGCTGGCGTTGTTGCCGAAGGTCGACGTCAGTCGTCTTCTTCTTCGTCGGTCGTCATTGACGCCTTTCCTTGTACTTAGTCTTCCATTTGCCATGCAAAAACAAAAGACTAAGGCAGGGCAACAATAAACAAGCCAGTAAGCTGGAGTTGGACATTTCGACTACTAAATACCTGTTGGTAAAAAGGATTAAATAGTTGTAGGTAGGTAGTTCTTTCTTCCAACCGGACTCCTTTCAAAATTTGAGTCTACGCCTTCATTATGTATGTAAGCTTATGTAAACCTATCAAAGAGGATTAAATAGTTGTAAGTATATTATGCATTTTAATCAATCAGTTCCAAAACCCCTTTAAGATTATGATTTTTAAGGCACCTATCGGTTAATTTAATATAATGCAATAGAAAATTAAAATTGTAACACAAATACTTATATAGAATGTTGTCATTAACTTAAATTATTACTCTTACTATTCTAAATACTATTTTAAAATATAAGGGACTAAAAATCCTTCAAAATGTAAAATAAACTATTTTTTAAATAATAACATTAATTTATCATTATTAAAATGTGTATATTTAGTAACTATATTTCGAAGAACCGAAATAAAAACCTTTATAAATGGAGGCACAATATTTAGACTTACTGTTAAGTGCTTTACCCAAAAAGGGTCAAAATAAATCCAAGAACCCAATGGTATACCTTCCAATGGCCGGGTATTGAAACGCAGCACACTTTGGGAGCCCGCTTTGTTTGGCTTCTATCGTGTAGTTTGTTTTGTTTGACAGTTTCTATCTGGAGGGGCTATCAAGAGTCGGAGCTGGCGAGTTGGAGCTGAAGTTGGGGCTGGATCTGCAGTTTGGAGACTGCAGCCGTGGTCGCTGTCGTTTTGTTTGCTTAATTGTTTGGTTTCCCCCATTTGAATGGAGGTGGAGCCCCTTTGGCAGGGAAAATCGTTCGCCTTTTCCGAGGTGGTGGGGGCGATATTTTCCAGCGAAATAAATTAGCTGATTGAGGATAACCGTAGTTAGTGGACTGGGATGGCATCGCAAATAGCGAATGGCGAATGGCGAATGCAAATGCAAACGGGTGACGTACAAGTGAATTATCACCTCATACATTGTATCTCTTTGCGGGGGAGATATCTCCATCTTGTCGCCCTAATGGGGATCTCTGATGATCCCATCGGAAACACGATGTGCCCTTGTTTTAATCACATACCATATCATTATTTAAAGCGCGTTTTAATCTTCTTCGCTTGGAATGGATCTTGTAAGAACTATAATTACACTGGGTTACAAAAACTAAGTGATGCAGAATAAAAGATGGGAAAGAAGTGTTATCTATGCTGTAGTATCTTATATGTAAAATTATATTGTGTTTAATTAAAAATGTATTTTCTTGTTCATGTATAAAATATAAATAAAAAATCCCTTTATTTACTTAATGAACTCTTTAAAAACCTATTTGCTTTTGTTGACCAGTGTAATTATTG